TAATAGTAATTGAAATGGTCTCAGTAAATGACAGGACATTAGTATCTCTTACAAGGTAAATATATGTCTGACCAATTGACTGAGGGGTAATTTGTCTCGTATAATAATAACACCTGGACGCTGTTGTCCTAGTTTTGTGTTTATGTAAACATTGTGTTTATGTTAACATTACTGCAGTTGTCTTACAATGACTTAGTATGTCTTTGGTAACCAACAAGTTATTTTTGGAAAAATCAGGTTTAAATTTAAAGGGTACAAAGCTGTATCTTATAAAATATTTTGAATGAAAACCATCCGGTAAGCACAATAGGTAGAGCATTGGACTGTGAATCTGGTGACCCGGGTTTAATTCATGAACCATTTAGGTCACTTACTTTGTGATTGATCATAAAATCCTTTCTATGACCATTCGCACTATACTTCTGCTCTGGCATGTACAGAAGTTACTAATTTCTTGTGTTAGTGAGGGCAACTAATACTGGTTAACTGCGTGAAGGCAACAAGTTCTGGTTAACTGCGTGAAGGCAACAAGTACTGGTTAACTGCTTGATAGCTTACCCAGGAACGATGTGATGGCTGAAATATGCTCTGGTAAATTCAGTGTGGCTTACTGCCGTGATCTGGAAGGTAAACTACCACCAGCACCACCATCATATTTAAAGAAAAAGATATAAACAATAAAATGTTGTTGTTTCTATAGCCGTATGGTCATATCTCAAAAGATTTGTACCAAGTAATGACTCTGGTATTTAACACATATAAATGTGGTACAAAAACTGCAAACAGAATGTTCCAGATCTTGAAACAAAATAATATTCTGTTTTGTTTTTAGCTCACCTGTCACAAAGTGACAGGGTGAGCTTTTGTGATTGCTTTTCGTCCGGCGTCCGTCCGTCGTCCGTCCGTAAACTTTTACTTTAAATGACATCTCCTCATAAACCACTAATCCAATTTCATCCAAACTTCACAGGAATGTTCCTTTGGTGGTCACCTTTAAAAATTGTTCAAAGAATTTAATTCCATGCAGAACTCTGGTTGCCATGGCAACCAAAAGAAAAAACTTTAAATATCTTCTTTTAAAAAACCCAAAGAGCTAGAGCTTAGATATTTGGCTTGAAACATCTTCTAGTGATTGTCTACCAAGTTTGTTCAAATAAAAGCCTTGGGGTCAAAATTGGCCCCGCCCCAGGGGGTCATTGATTTTCCCTATATGCACATAGTAAAAACTTAAAAAAATCTTCTTTTAAAGAACCCATAGAGCTAGAGCTAAGATATTTAGCATGAAACATCTTCTAATGGGTGTCTACCAAGTTTGTTCAAATAAAAGCCCTGGGGTCAAAATTTGCCCCGCCCCCGGGGGTCATTGATTTTCCCTATATGCATATAGTAAAAACTTAAAAATCTTCTTTTAAAGAACCCAAAGAGCTAGAGCTAAGATATTTAGCATGAAACATGTTCTAATAGGTGTCTACAAAGTTTGTTCAAATAAAAGCCCTGGGGTCAAAATTGGCCCCGCCCCGGGGGTCATTGATTTTCCTTATATGTGTATAACAAAAACTTAAAAAATCTTTTTTGAAAAAACCCATATAGCTAGAGTTTAGATATTAAGCATGAAACATCTTCTAGTGAGTGTCTACAAAGTTTGTTCTAATAAAAGCCCTGGGGTTAAAACTGGCCCGCCCCAGAGGTGTCATTGTTTTTAACTATATGTGTATAGTAAAAACTTAATAAATCTTCTTTTAAAAAACCCAATGAGCTAGAGGTTAGATTTTAAGCAGGAAACATCTTTTTGTTGGTGTCTACCAAGTTTGTCCAAATAAAAGCCCTTGGGTTTAAATTGGCCCTGCCAAAGGGAGGGGGGGGGGCCGAGGTCATTGTTTTTTGTTATATGTGTGTAGTATAAACTTAACATCATGAAACATCGGCCCTCTTGTTTTTAAGTATGGCTTTGTGCATGTTAAGGACACATACAAACATATAAACAATAATTGTATAAATGTAACAGGCATTAGATACATGTATATAGCTTTAATCAAATTTATTTTGATCAATCAAATTGTCTGTTATACTGTAACAATTAAAAATACATGTGATCTGTCTAGACCTGTATGTTTTTCAAGTTTAACCAAAAATGGTTTTGTTAAGTAATTCTACATAACCAGATTAACAATAGATTACCATTAATTTATATGTAGTTATCCCCTGTTTTCAGGCAAATTATTTTCTCAAATTTTATTATGTAATCAAAGATTTTATATAATTATTTTTTAAACACAATTAGATTACAAATTTAGTCCAGGTACAGTGAAAAGTATTTTCTCCGTGAGATTACCAAAGTAAATTTCACTTTTATTGATGCCTTTATATTCCTACAATTTATCTAAAAGTATTTAAGAAATGTTGATTGATATTCTGATATTTATATTACAGATTACAGAAAGCTGAAGAGGTTCAGAATGAAGTTGTAAGAGAGAAAACTGATATAGAAAAAAAATATAAAGAAGAAATAGAAACTGCAAAGGTATAATTTGCTTTGTATAACACCTCGTGAGGGAGGTCGTAAGAGAGGTGGTATTCCCTCTTGTTCGCGTTAGGTGTTACTTACTTAATCTCTGTCTAATTTTATAAATAGACTTGCCCTACATTGGATTTGGACCTATCCATTGCCTGAATAAGGGACTTTGATTTGAAATTCACTGATGATATTGGACAGTCAACATGCTTTATGAGGGTGATAAAGTCATTGTTGCTCATAATACTAAGATGAAAAAAAAAAAGGATCTTCATAGGGGGCCAGTGTTTTTTCCCTGTCCTTCAGAGTGATCTGGTTAAGGCACCTAGGTATTTCAAAAAACTAGAAATTCTGATTTTTCCCACAGAAGTGTTAAAAAAAAAACTCCCAGTGACAAACATTAATTTTTACGGTTAAACTTCATTAAAAAAATAATTGACCTTTTTAGCTCACCTGTCACAAAGTGACAGGGTGAGCTTTTGTGATCGCTTTTCGTCCGGCGTCCGTCCGTCGTCCGTCCGTAAACTTTTACTTTAAATGACATCTCCTCATAAACCACTAAGCCAATTTCATCCAAACTTCACAGGAATGTTCCTTTGGTGGTCACCTTTAAAAATTGTTCAAAGAATTTAATTCCATGCAGAACTCTGGTTGCCATGGCAACCGAAAGAAAAAACTTTAAATATCTTCTTTTAAAAAACCATAAGAGCTAGAGCTTAGATATTTGGCATGAAACATCTTCTAGTGAGTGTCTACCAAGTTTGTTCAAATAAAAGCCCTGGGGTCAAAATTGGCCCCGCCCCGGGGGGTCATTGATTTTCCCTATATGCATTATATAGTAAAAACTTAAAAAATCTTCTATTAAAGAACCCAAAGAGCTAGAGCTAAGATATTTAGCATGAAATATGTTCTAATAGTTGTCTACCAAGTTTGTTCAAATAAAACCCCTGGGGTCAAAATTGGCCCCGCCCCGGGGGGTCATTGATTTTCCCTATATGCATATAGTAAAAACTTAAAAAATCTTCTTTTAAAGCACTCAAAGAGCTAGGGCTAAGATATTGAGCATCAAACATGTTCTAATAGGTGTCTACCAAGTTTGTTTAAATAAAAGCCCTGGGGTCAAAATTGGCCCCACCCCAGGGGGTCATTGATTTTCCCTATATGCATTATATAGTAAAAACTTGAAAAATCTTCTTTTAAAGAACCAAGAGAGTTAGAGCTAAGATATTTAGCATGAAACATGTTCTAATAGTTGTCTACCAAGTTTGTTCAAATAAAAGCCCTGTGGTCAAAATTGGCCCCGCCCCGGGGGGTCATTGATTTTCCCTATATGCATATAGTAAAAACTTAAAAAATCTTCTTTTAAAGAACTCAAAGAGCTATGGCTAAGATATTGAGCATCAAACATGTTCTAATAGTTGTCTACCAAGTTTGTTCAAATAAAAGCCCTGGGGTCAAAATTGGCCCCGCCCCAGGGGGTCATTGATTTTCCCTATATGCATATAGTAAAAACTTAAAAAATCTTCTTTTAAAGAACTCAAAGAGCTATGGCTAAGATATTTAGCATGAAACATGTTCTAATAAGTGTCTACCAAGTTTGTTCAAATAAAAGCTCTGGGGTCAAAATTGGCACCGCCCCAGGGGTCATTGGTTTTCCTTATATGTGTATAGCAAAAACTTAAAAAATCTTCTTTGAAAAAACCCAAATAGCTAGAGTTAAGATATTAAGCATGAAACATCTTTTAGTGAGTGTCTACAAAGTTTGTTCAAATAAAAGCCCTGGGGTCAAAATTGGCCCCGCCCCGGGGGTCATTGATTTTCTTTATATGTGTATATAGCAAAAACTTAAAATCTTCTTTGAAAAAACCCAAATAGCTAGAGTTTAGATATTAAGCATGAAACATCTTCTAGTAAGTGTCTACAAAGTTTGTTCAAATAAAAGCCCTGGCCCGGCCCCAGGGGTGTCATTGTTTTTAACTATATGTGTATAGTAAAAACTTTAAAAAAATCTTCTTTTAAAAAGCCCAATGAGCTAGAGCTTAGATGTTTAGCATGAAACATCTTCTTATTGGTGTCTACCAAGTTTGTACAAATAAAAGCCCTTGGGTTAAATTGGCCCTGCAACGTTGGGGGGGGGGGGGTTTGGGGGCCTATCGACAGGTGAGCCACATCAGGGCCATCATGGCCCTCTTGTTAAAGCAGGTAGCTGATGTTGGAAATGAATGAAATAAAAAAGCATATATGTGTATTATTATTCATCATACATGGGACAATTTGCTCATTATTGCTAATGTTATTGTTGTTGCCCAAATTTTTCTAAACTTGTGACATGGCAATTTCTTGATAGGGTGGACATATGCCCATTCCCAAAATGTTGTAAAATAAAAGCTGGTGCAATAATCACATGCTTTTTCAACTGTTTTATTTTTCTGTTTAGAGGATATAATGAAATACAGCTATGTCTCTTATTTTATCAACTAATATGGATCAAACCTGTGGCATTAGTGTATGTAAGATGTTTTTTAAGCATTATATGAAAAGAAAATATAATAAGAACAGAAAATATCAATAAAAATGGGTTACTTTTATTGCAAGTCTTTGTAAACTATCTTATCATGGGAGAACAAATACCAGCCACATATACATGTAGTTCCTAACCAGTGTTTATTGGCAGTTTAACACGTTTTTTTTCCTTCTTTGTGTATAGTGACAAAATCACAAGGAGTGACATAATATTTATTATACCCCCGCACAACAAAGTTGTAAGGGGGGTATACTGGAATCAGCTTGTCCGTCCGGCCGTCTGGCCGTCCGGCGTCCGGCCGTCCGTCGGTTTTTTCTTGTCCGCCCAATAACTTAAGATTCCTATGACCCACAGCCTTCATATTTGGCATGGTGGTTACTCATGATTAGTAGATGACGCCTATTGATTTTGAGGTCACCAGGTCAAAGGTCAAGGTCACAGGGGCCTTGACTTCAAAAACCTTGTCCGCCCATTTACTTAAGATTCCTATGACCCACTGTCTTCATATTTGGCATGGTGGTTAGTCATGATTAGTAGATGACCCCTATTGATTTTGAGGTCACCAGGTCAAAGGTCAAGGTCACAGGGGCCTTGACTTCAAAAACCTTGTCCGCCCAATAACTTAAGATTCCTATGACCCACTGTCTTCATATTTGGCATGGAGGTTAGTCATGATAAGTAGATGACCCTTATTGATTTTGAGGTCACCAGGTCAAAGGTCAAGGTCATAGGGGCCTTGACTCCAAAAAGCTTGTCCGCCCAATAACTTAAGATTCCTTTGACCCACAGTCTTCATATTTGGAATGGAGGTTAGTCATGATAAGTAGATGACCCCTATTGATTTTGAGATCACCATGTCAAAGGTCAAGGTCACAGGGACTTAAACTTCAAAAAGTTTGTCCACCCATTTATGACCCACAGTCTTCATATTTGGCATGGATGTTGATCATGACTTTAAGGTGACCCCTATTGATTTTGAGGTCACTGGGTCAAAGGTCCAGGTCACAGTGACCTTGACAAAAAAGCTTTTCTTCTTAACTGTTAAAGAATGTCCTGTCTGCAATGTATTGATTTTGACATTTTCACATTTGAAGCATGTAGAATACATAACTTAGCAATGCACTGGCTTAGTAACCTCAGATTTGGCAGGGAGGTTGTCCTTGAGCTCTAAATGGCCACTGTTGATTCTGACAAAGTGGTATGCGGGGGTATTCACGCCATGATAGTGGCAGTTCTAGTTTTACCACCTTCATTCATAATGTCTCATAATCTTTTTGTAATAAACTGTTTAACACCATCCTACACTTTTTATGCCAGTGAGGCAATTTCTCTAGAAAAATTCAAAAAGATATTCACACCTCATATATCAATGGATTGGTGCAAAACGGATGTAACTCCTTCATTATGTAATATGAGTTACAGCTGTTTTGCAACAAACCCTAGATATTTCCTCATGTCAGGAGATGTCATTTGTTTTTTCCTACAATAAAGAATGATTAGTACCATAAATGTGCAATACAAGAATAAGGCTGGTTGGTTTTATATCATTTTCTGTCTGGAGCAGTCGTTCAATAGCATTTTAGAAAATATATCTTACCCATTTCCTGCTGAAAACTGTTATTAATGGACTTGCCCTGAGTTTGGAAGTGCCCATTTAATTATATTGAGGATTATGGGTGTGAAATTTAGTAGTCGGTAATTTAGAGTTCGGTTAGACTGCACAGACTTGTGGGATGTACTTGCCCTTTACTATTGCTAGTAACCTTTTTATGTTTTGTTAAAAAGAGGCGGAATTTGTGTGTTTTCAATTTGCGTGTTTTTGCAGTCGAAATTGTTGAAAATTCTCCACTTCATTTTGATAAATTCCAAATAATTTGAGAAGATTCTTCCTGTTAGCTAGATTTTTTTGCGGTATCTGGAATTACAGTACCCCATCACATTCCCATCCTCACTGCCTCAATTATTTCTTTTTGTAAGTTTACAAACAGTCAAATAACAATGAACATATATTTTACAAGTTTTGTTTATACTTTACCCAGTTTTTAAAGCTTGCACCATTTTGAAGGAGTTTAGTTGATAAGAAAAGAATAAAATTTGTTAAAAAATCACTGGACTGGTGTAGGTGTAACAAATGATCTATTCTGAGTACAAACAATTTTACAACAAGAAACATGTCATGATATAAATTTTCAAGTTTATAAATTGCTATAAATGACATATTATAATGTACAATGTATAATATATAAATTGGATTATTACAGGAAGTAGCAGAAAGGTTAAAAAAAGAAAGACAAGATAGTAATTTAGAGGAGATGTCAAGGTTACAGCTAGCTGAAGAGGAACTTATTCAGGTAAAGTTTCCGTGGTTACCATTTATCTGTTTTATAATAATGATAAATGTAATGAATGAATCAGCTTCCTAACAAAACATAAAAAACAACAACAATATATTCAACCAAAATGCGAGCATCCAGTTATTAGTTTAAGGCAATTCGCTATAGGTACAAATTATAGTTTCAACTTTAGTTCCAGATGAGTTCCCTACCTAAAAACTAGTTTCAAAAAAATAATATTTAGCCTGGAGTTAATGTTACAGATAAAGCTGAGCTGCCTGGCTTTGTAATGGTGACATACTTTGATTACATGATTCCAGTAGGTTAAAGGTTAACAAAAAATATATGTATGTATTCTCTTATAGGACAAATAATTTTCCAGCGATTCATAAATCACATCATTATGCAGAATTTTAGTTGTGAATAAAACTACTCCAGTGTTTATTGTATCACTGTACATTATTCTATACAGTGAGTATACATGTAGTAACAACAGCCTTTCATTAAGCTTTCAAAGTGCAGACGAGGAAGTCAGAACAATTTGCATGAAATAAGTCATGATCAGATTTTACAAAAATGAAAGTCAAGGTCAATTTATATCTCTGCAGTCTATTGCCTCCCAAAATGGAATTGATATTGAATGTGCCTTTCACATTTTTTATAATTAATTTACGCTCCAAAATAGCACTGCAACTTCTGTGAAAGAAAATCTGCATTGTGCAGGATAAATTGTAGATTAAAGACAAAAATATAGCAATCTGATTACATACTCAAGACATAATTATATCTTAAACCTTCTGACATATTTATAGATAAAAAAATTGCCAAGCCCTTTAGATAAATGACAGTGAACAAATTTGGTTAAAGGCACATTATGCCTCAGAAATCCATATTTTTGTTATTCTTTAGAAATGCCAAACATGAGTTTGATTATGTTTAATGGATTAAGACTATGTTAGATATTCAACAACTGAAAAAAGTAGTGCTGCAAAATGCAGTTATGTGTCGTAAAGGTAGCAAAATGTAAACAAAGTAGTATTTTGACTTCAATACAAAATACTAATTCACCAAAGACGCAATTTACAAGCAGAGCAAAATATATACATGTATAAGCAAATATAGTTTATTTATATTGCAATCGTGTATTTCTTGGAAACTGTGACAAGATACCAAAGCTAGAAAGTTTATGAATATGAAAAAATTCAAGGATTTCTAAGGCATAATGGACCTTTAACTGCAGGTGGGCTTATAAACCATAGGAGTCAACTTTCAAATTTTCTCTAACCTTCCCATATTTACTTAAATTGGGTTGCCTCTCATATATATTTGATATCTGAGAAATTCAAATCTCTAAGGTTAAGTCATTGGTGACTGAAATAAGAGATCAAAATATAGTAAGAAAAAAACTATTTCCTCATCTGTTATGAAAGGAGCTCAGTTACAGTTGTCACTGTCAGACTATTGACGGAAATGTGAAATCTGTGGGGAAAGAAAATTCGTAGAAAAGAAGGATATATACATTAGGTGCACATGTTGTCATAATTTTAAATAGAAAGCACTGTTAGTTTTGTTCAGTATGGCTTGACCACTTGTACTTAATGGTTTGGATCTTCTTTGACATTGGACAGGTGATTATTTTTTCACAAAGTAGAATATGCCAGTAAGTTGAGAAATTGAATTCACAGAATTTGTTAAAAGGTGGCCAAGGAATAAAGGTAGTTTTGTATATAAACATGAATGATTTTGCCATAAAAATGTTAAGTTGTGATGGATTTTCTATTTGTACCTAGGACTAGTTATCCTTGTCTGGTAAATTTATTGCGATGTTTAAATAACTTGGTGTAGACATTGCTCATGTCTATCAGATAACTGTAATTGATTTTAAGGTCAAAGGTTAAGGTCACAGTGACAATTTGTGTAAATTCCTTGTCAAAGTAATAACTTGAGAGAGAAAAAGCCTAAATTTGTTAAACTTATTACTAATTAGGAACATTGCCCTTGAGGTGACACTCCATTTTTTTAGGTCATTAGGTCAAGGTCACAGTGACACTTTGGGTAATATCCTTGTCTGATGAAATCGAGAATGTGGCTCTCTGAATGTGATTTGACAGTAATAATAACTTGACTGTAAATAAATGGGTTTTATTTTTAGGTGCGACAAGCATTGAGACAGGCTGAGATTGAGTTAGAGTCAAGGTGGAGTTATGGGGCACCAGCTGAACTTCAACAGTGGCTGCAATATACTTTTGAATTAGAAAATGCACATTTCACAGCGAAACAACAAGCTGCGCAGAGACAATTTGGATCTGCAAAAGATGCTGTAAGAATATATATGTTGTTTGATTATTAATTGTTTTTATGAGCAATGAGGCTGTGTGGAAAAATCTCATCTGATGGAATTCAATCCCTGAGCCACTGTTTGAATGGTTTGCACCACTACTTAAGAGGCAGGCATTTGCATATCTTTGATTTTGCTGTATTGAATTTGATTTTAACATTCTGATATGGAAGGGGCGTCCGTGGCTAAGTGGTTAAGGTCATTGACTTCAAACCACTTGCCCCTCACTGCTGTGGGTTAGAATACTGACAGGGACTTAGAATTCTTTCATGTGAAGAAGCTATCCAGTTAGCTTACAGAACATCGATTTCTACTCAGGTGCCTGTTCATGCCTGAAATAATGCACGGAGGGGCAACTGAGGTCTTCCTCCACCAGTAAAGCTGGAACATTGCCATATGACCTATACTGTGTCAGTGTGACATAAAAACCCAATCAAACAAAACAAACAAACTTATATGGAAACTTTTATTCTTATCAAATCAAAGCTTGGAAAGTCTATTATACATGTATAAATTATACTGTGTGAAAAAAGATAAAAAACGTAAAGTAGTGCAAGAAACTTGCAAAATTAATTAAACACATAAAACTTTTTAAAAAAATAAGACGGGGGAAAAAAAAAATAATTCATGTGTCAATATCTGTTCAAGAATGCAGTGTGAAAACAATTAGTAAGGTGTACATGAATAAACATATTAATTAAGAATTACATATATATATTGCATATTGTAACAGTTTTGTGCGAAGTTTTTTATGTAAATTTATATATGCTTTATGAAAATGCATTGTGACAAATATTTGTATTAAGGGTACATATACTTGAGAAATTGGAACTGTAGATTTCTATTTTTGATCTGAATTTGCTACAATGTGAACAAATTTTCAAGAAACTTATTTCGATGTTAGGTACAGTTCTATAATATATATAATATTATGTGATATAAACATTTAAATATAAACATATAAATATTTTATGTTACAGTGTGAAAAGATACGAAAGAAGCGTACAGGAGTGTTAGGAACATGGAGAATAGCTCAGGGAAATTCTATAGATGACATAGATCAGAGAATTGTACAAGCAAGGTAATATTAACACGTAACCTGCTGGATTAATTTCATGGATTGGCCTGGCTTGTCCATTAATGCTTATCAATTTTAAGGATAGCAAGATGAAAATCTTGTCTGCTAATACTATAAAGCCTGGTTAGAGTGCAAGGACATGCCAACTGGCCTAGCTCTATGCTGATGGCATAGGTTAATTACTATCATTTCCAGCAGGTGAAGGGTTTAGGGCATCTGTTGCTGAGAGGTTAATGTTGTTGACTTTAAACCACTTGCCCCTTTCCGCTATGGGTTCGAATCTCACCAGGGACTTTGAATTCTTCTATGTGAGAAAGCTACCCAGCTAGCTTACGGAATGTCAGTGGTTCTACTCAGGTGCTGGTTTGTGTCTGAAATATACATGTTCGTGTATTTGAGGTCTTCATCCACCAGTAAAGCTGGACAGTCACTATCTGATCTTTACTGTGCTACGGTTAACCCCACCCACCCCACCCCCCCCCCCCCCCCCAAAAAAAAAAAAAAAAAGATAGAAAAAGTAAAGGGTTAGAGTTATATATTGATGTAAAATGAGGAGGAGGTGGTTTAAGATAATGTTTTAGCCAATTTTGATAAAAAAATATTTAGAAATCAATGTCTAACCATGATTGAGTAAAGTGTTCTTATAAAAGAATATATTTAAGTGATGGATAAAATTTTGCTTATTTCGTGAATGGATTTTTGCAAAAATAACTTTGCTAAGTGTCTGTCATACAAGTGAAAATTTAAGCTCAGCAGTTAGTCATATATGTTGATGTTCCAAAATTTTAGCCTCTCGCGAATATATCATATTTTACGGTATAAGTCTGATTCTGTACCAAAAATAATGGGTCAACCTTTCTGAAACTACTGGTCACTTAAACTATAGATATAATGTGTAAAAAAATTCTTATTATGTTAAATTCTTCATATGTTATGTTGAAACTTTTAATATTTTACCAGAAATTTCTTTTCTGGGAAATTTCTTTTTTAGTATGACCTTCCATAATTTGTTCATGTGAGGAAGCTATCCAGCTAGCTTAAGAAATGTCAGTGGTTCTACTCAGGTGCTGCTTTGTGTCTGAAATAATACATGTACGTGTATTTGAGGTTTTCATCCACCAGTAAAGCTGGACAGTCACTATCTGACGGTTAACCCCCACCCAAAAAAAAAAGAAAGAAAAAGTAAAGGGTTAGAGTTATATATTGATTTAAGGAAGATGATGATGTTATATTAAGGAAGATGATTATGTTGATTTTCATATTGGTCTCATGTTTCAGAATGGCATTAGAGGAAATAAAACATGATATGCAGGAACGGCAGCAAAGATGGCAGAGTATAGAGAGTTTTTGTGGTTTTCCTATTAGAACAAATCCAGGCATGGCGAAATTGGAGAATGCTTTATACGGGGATGGAGGTAGATGTATTGTGGTTTTTACATGATGTTTAAATTTTTCAAATATGAAATTCTAATTCAACTCAGACATGCTATTTTGGAGAGCTTTTTTGTTGGATTATAAAAGTCATAATGAAGGATAGTTCTGAACAGTCTGGCAAAATAGTTTCATTTTCATTCTTAACTTTTAATAACAAGATTTCATTTTCAGATTGGTTTCATATAAATTTAACAATACATAAGTAATCAAAAAAAGTAATTAAAAAAGTAAAAGAAGTTATTAAAATTTTCCTTCTTGCCATTAGGGAATAATTACTATTCTCTAGAAACAATATACATGTGCAGTTATTTCTTGGGTGTTTGTAGAACAGTCAAAACTGTTGCCGCGAGGTATAAGGGATGAAATTTTGCAGAAATGTGAGGTTCCAAATGTCATCCCTGATACCAAGGTACAACAGTTTACTCTTCCACAAATACCCATGAAATAACTGTTTTATTACCTAATACGTTGTGATTAAACTACAATATATATTGCAACAGCATACTTATAACATTTTTACAACTGTTTTAATTATTTACAACTGAATCCTACATATGAATCACTAGGTACAATAAGCTGAGTTATGTTCGAAGACAGAATAGTGGTGGGGGGCATTGACAGAAATACCGGATGACATCAACTCGGGTGTAACTGTTAAAAATGTTGACCAGTCAACAGTTCATTTCATCATTTTGCATGCCAAGGATATGAGCTGTTTAGTTAAACAGATGTAAATATGGAATTAGTATATATAGAAGGCATTAGGTAATAAAAACAAATATCCTATCTCTCTCCTGTATATTGTACAGGTTCGGGCTCAGGTCGCCTTGCCAGTCTTGTTGCACCAATGAATGTCGAAGATGCAGATGAAGATTTCCCGCCACATTTTCCTACTGCCACAGGTAAGGCCAAGGTTCAAATAAATCTAGATATATTTAATAAGCTAGGTAAATAGAATAATTGGAACCTAAACTTGACATTTCAAATATTTCTTGCTTTTAAAAGATATAGTGTGAACTTGAACTAGTTGAGCTAGCAATTTTTTTTCCGAAATCTTAATTATTTTACAAAGCATTTTGTATTTTTGGCACTACATAAAAAAGGTTACAACAATTTTTATGTGCCTGAATTTTTGAGCCCATTTAATAAGGGCTTAATCTGTTTAAGTATTTGATACCATTAACAACTTTTATAGAGATATTGTTATCAAAATTAATTTCTTGTAACATGAAATAATTTTCCAAAAAATGTATCTAAATATAAAACTGCTTGTCTAAATATAAAATTGCTTTTTTTTCTAAAAATAGAATTTTAAAATGCTCTCACTGCACTGCACATAAAAACACACATTATTATGCAGTGCATTTAGACATGTCACTATATTATTATATGTCCATAGCCGTACGAGGGAGGTTCAATTAGTACTAAAGTAAGTTTGGAAAATGTAACAGACATGTTAGTTTATTTCTATTGTAGAGTATTTTTTGAGTCTTTGAAAAACAAATAGCATTGAATATTTAGTTTCAACCTTGCACAATTTCCTCCCCTCAGATTTTAAAGAGCACTGCTTGTTAGTTAAAAGTTATGCTCAAAATATTCTGTGAATGAAGATAAGGCTTGTACGATAGCAGTTGAAACATTCCAAATTCCACAATCTTCAATAAACATATTTAATTGTTTAAAGTAACATTATGCCCATCCAAGTGTAAATAGTCGGCGAACAGGTAAAAGTCAAAATAACGTGATAATTGCCTTAATTGTATTCAATTTTATATTTTGGTCCTGAAAAGCAATCAATAATACACTTGCCCTATGAAAATTTATATAAATTCCATTGAGAATGCATCGGTAATGCTCAATTCTTAAAAAGATTGGGGCAGCCTTTTTATAATTTTGGTTATTTTAATATTGTCTCATAAAAATTATTGGTCAGTCACCATCATAAGAATCAATCTTTTGAAATATTTTACTTATTCAACTCAACTTGACAATGGAAAAATGAGCAGAATTAACTTTAAAAAAAAATATTCATCTTGAAATGAAACAAATTTTCAAAAAATTTATGAATCTATAGATATTTGTAACAAAAAGAATTAATTCCAGCATAGCAATGTATTTATATGTTTGGCTATTGTGTAAATAGATCCCATATTTAAATGTAAATATTTTATTATGAAATGTACATGTATTCAATTGTATCCAAATTATTTTTCACTGTATCATTCATGTTTTTCGTGCTATATTGAGGGTTGATTGCAAAACTTATATGAAATAAAAAAAAGAGTTACAACAGTCTTGCGGCCAACCCTCAATATATAGGTGATAAAAGTATTATTTTCCCTTAAAAATTATTTGAAGGACTTTTAAGCTGGGGAGGAAACATTAGGGAGCATTTGTAATCATGATACACTCTGTGGTTTTGTTTATGTTGGAAAAGGCGAGGGGGATTTGGGCTAGGGGGCTGGGTTTTCTTAGTGTTTTACCTTTATCTTTTTGTATAAATCTTGGATTTAAGTATAACAAAGTCTACCATTTTAAAAAACAAGCCATCAAAATAGTTAAAATGTTTTGTGAAACAGTCATTATATTAGGTAAACATTGTACATCATTCTTTACAAGGCATGAACGAAAAGAATTTACCATTATGTGTCGTTTTTTTGGTAAAAGACAGAAAAAGTCAAGCATCTGTTCTGAATTGTCTAGAAAGTATTTAGTATAGAATACATATGTAATGATTAATAAACTAATAATTAACAACTTTTTTTTATTTGCATAAACATTAAGCAATAAGTGATGAAAAATGTTAGAAAATGATGTTTTGTTTTTCATTAATGTATAATCCAACATATGAAAATATCTAACCATGCAGTTTAATTTTTGTGCTAGTTATAGGTAGAGAGTTGATTTACAAAAATGAAAGATATTTATCTCCCTTTTTAATTTTTTTTTGTAAAATTGTCTTAAAATTGGTATGAAAATAAATTTGTCAAAAATTGCTTCAGGCCTAATCTTTATGGTATGTATATCATCCCATATTTAGGTATGGAAACATGTACTGATAAATCAAGAGGGGGAGGCGTGGGTGAATGGGGGGTGGGATGGGGTTCCTGATAATTGAAGAGGTGGGCAGTATTCTATTCATTTTTAAGAATATCTTAAGCAAGGGAGATAAACATTGTAAGGTTGCTTGTTTTTTGTATTACAAAAATCTAAAAATAGCTCAGTTTAGTCAGAAAAGTAACACTTTAACTAAATGTTTTGTCTGTAGCGATGTTATTTACCCAGAAGCCCAATGGTTGTGCTCGCTCCCCGACGTATTCAGGTAGGAATCGTTTGCACGTTGGTTATTATTTGTCATACATACATACTGGCATACTCTTTTAGTTTTTTCCCTGCTTGTACATACTCATGTCAAAGTTCCGTTCAGATCTTTTTTCTAATGTTACATTGCGCAGAATTAGCTGTTTTGTGTTGTATGACTTCATGTTGCAGTTGTTGTTTTTGCTGACTTAGTTTGTTGTCCATCTGTCTGTCTGTCTGGAATACTATGTGCATATGTCTGGAAAAAAAGGTAGCATGAAAGGCATTGCTTTTGCCAAAAAAATGCTGCAGTATTTTTCATAAAATGCTGCAGTAGTTTTCATAAAAATTGTTCTTTATTGATGTTTGCTTTCAAGACTGAAAACTGAGAGAAATGAGAAAATTTGCACTTTATTGTATGTTTAAACAAAGCAGTCTATCGGATTAATAATTAAACCCCAGCTCGCAGAATTTAGACAACAGACATTCCTATCTTTGACCTTGAAAGTCTTCATTGTTAGTTAAAGGGGTTTTGATATGAAAGTATGAAAATTGCAATGCAAAGTGTTAAGTCTGGTTCGAATGGATATAGTTTTAAGTTTGGTAGGCCTTTAGTGATTACACCTTCCCTTAAAGCTTGGTTCAAGTTTCAAAACATACATAAACATTAGGGTGGTGGCCTAGTGGTTAAGTTATTAGTAACATTTTTTTTTGCAAGCCCACATAACTCAATCGGTTAGAGTATAAAACTACTTGTAATCTCAACATTGTGGGTATGATTCCCGGGCTGGCCAACTAAAATTACTTATCAGTCTTGTAGATGAGACTTTAATCAAAGTCCTGTCTTTGGGTGCTTAAACACTTGGCATGCTAAAGAACGAGGAGATGCTTCTGGAAATGGATCTGTGTCTTGCAATATCCTTCAAAATCTTAAATGACTAAGACTTGCCCAAAGGGGTAGTGGGTGGCAAGTATAAATAAACTGATATACACAAAAGTTACATTTTTATATCAAAATCCCCTTGTACTAACAATGAACTGATCTAGCTTCCAAGCAGGGACAAGTCAATTTCATAAATTTATCATGGGGCAAAAAAGGACTACCTTCATTAGATATATTTCTAGCATTTTATTATCAATGTGGTATATCTTAAAACTTTGTAAATTATAGAATATCTGCTTATGTTTATTGTTTTGTAAGCTTTCATGAAGCTGTTATATGTTTGCTGCTGAATTCATGTTTAGCTTTTAATTCGATCTATTTATTGTGCCTGCTGAATATATTTCTGTACTGTCATATCTTCTGATATTTGCTGCTAACTAGAAATTAAACACTTTACGACATGGATATGTGTTTTAACATGTGTGCGACCAGTGAAGATCCAGATCAGTGTGCACCTTTGTGCAGTCTTTTCAGTCAGAAATTCTTTTATGAATTTAAAAGTGAACAGTGGAGATCCTTATCAGACTGCATGGATGTGCAGGCTGATCTGAATCTGCACTGGTCGCACATACATTTAAACACGTGTCCATGTGTGAAAGGGTTAAACACTTAAATTCTCTTGCAGTGTTTTGGCTTAGTGTTTCTTATAGTGGTAATTGTTAGTATTGTCTTTAACTTGTTGGTTTATTTTGTTGTAACCATTGTTTATTGGCACGATTGCTGTTGAGTGATCTTGCATTCTTGGTTTAAAAGAGTATTTTTTCATGTTTCTATTTTAAAGGGGACTATTGATATGTGTTTCTATATGGAGAATACACTATTTTGCTTCCTTAATAAGAATATTGGAAGTCAAGTGCTATTGTTGTCTGTTTCTAGTTTAAAAGAACTTTCTTGTGTTTCAATTTGTGGAGGACTTTTTAAGGATACGTTTTTGTGTTTCTTTTTAAAGAGTGCTTTATTTTGTATTTATAATGTGGTAAGTCTATTAGAAGAGTACTTCTGTATCTTTTTATTATGCCCCCACTTCAAAGAAGAGGGGGTATATTGCTTTGCACTTGTCGGTCCGTTGGTCCGTAGACCAAATGGTTTCCGAGTGATAACTAAAGAACGCTTAGGCCTAGGAACTTCAAACTTGGTATGGTAATTGGTCATGACCAGCAGATGACCCCTATTGATTTCGGGGTCAAGGGGTCAAAGGTCAAGGTCACATTGGCCTTGTAGGTAAAAACAGTTTCCGATCAATAACTAAAGAATGCTTAGGCCTAGGAACTTTAAACTTGGTATGGTGATTGGTCATGACCAGCAGATGACCCCTATTGATTTTGGGGTCAAGGGGTCAAAGGTCAAGGTCACATTGGCCTTGTAGGTAAAAACAGTTTCCGATCAATAACTAAAGAACGCTTAGGCCTAGGAACTTCAAACTTGGTATGATGATTGGTCATGACCAGCAGATGACCCCTATTGATTTTGGGGTCAAGGGGTCAAAGGTCAAGGTCACATTGACCTTGTAGGTAAAAATGGTTTCCGATCAATAACTTAAGAACGCTTAGGCCTAGGAACTTCAAACTTGGTATGGTGATTGGTCATGACCAGCAGACAACCCCTATTGATTTTGGGGTCAAGGGGTCAAAGGTCAAGGTCACATTGACCTTGTAGGTAAAAACGGTTTCCGATCAATAACTTAAGAATGCTTAGGCCTAGGAACTTCAAACTTGGTATGGTGATTGGTCATGACCAGCAGATGACCCCTATTGATTTTGGGGTCAAGGGGTCAAAGGTCAAGGTCACATTGACCTTGTAGGTAAAAACGGTTTCCGATCAATAACTAAAGAACGCTTAGGCCTAGGAACTTCAAACTTGGTATGATGATTGGTCATGACCAGCAGATGACCCCTATTGATTTAGGGGTCAAATGTCAGGGTCACATTGACCTTGTAGGTGAAAACAGTTTCCAATCAATAACTTAAGAACGCTTAGGCCTAGAAACTTCAAACTTGGTATGATGATTGGTCATGACCAGCAGATGACCCCTATTGATTTTGGGATCAAGGGTCAAAGGTCAAGGTCATGTTGACCTTGTAGGTAAAAACAGTTTCTGATCAATAACTGAAGAATGCTTAGGCCTAGGAACTTCAAATTTGGTATGATGATTGGTCATGACCAGTAGATGACCCCTATTGATTTTGGGGTCAAGGGGTCAATGTCATATTGACCTTGTACTTAATGATGGTTTGTGACCAATAACTTAACAACTCAAGTTGCCTTGGTTGATATTTTTATATTAAACTAAAAATGCTTTTGGTATACACATTTGAAGGTCTTATGTAATATAACAACTTGGCTGTCATTAATGAGGCCTACATGATTCATAAAATTTATGCATATATTATTTGTAAGATTTGTAATAACTTAAATTGCTGTGACTAGTCATGACCTGTAGAGACTACATAACCCTTATTAATTGTTTGTTCACTGGGTCAGAAGTCATGCATAATAACCTGATCATATGACTAATTGGCTGCAGATAGGGGGCATACATGTTTTACAAACATATCTTGTTTTAAGAGAACTTGCAATTTATTTTAAAGAGTAATTTATAGGATACTTTCATGTGATTTATATGATCTGTACTTTCTTGTGTCTCTTCATGAAAAGTTCATTCTTGTGTTTCTATATTATAAACAGTACTTCCTTGTGTTTCTGTAGGAACAGTACTTTCTTGTCTTTCATAATGAATGGCAGGCATCAAAAACTATTTTCAGAGTCACTTGTCCTGCAGGACAAGTAGCTACTAAATACAATGTGCAGGCAACATTTTTCTACTTGTCCTGCACAGAATTCTCTTAAATTCTACTTGTAATTACGAGCGGACATGTGTAATTTTCGATCTCTGAATGGTAATTACTTATGTTTCTATATAGACAGTACTTTATTGTGTTCATTTAAGAATGGTAAATTCCTGTGTTTTTTGTATGGTCAGTATTTTCTTGTGTTTCTGTATGAACAGTACATTCTTTTATTCCATTTTGAAGAGTACTTGTTTGTTTCCATTTGAGTGCAGTCTGTTGTTTATTTGTTTGTTTGTTTTTTATGTAAAGTATTTGTTGTGTTTTAACCATGTTGTGTTTTTTTACTGTATTTATTATAGAGTTTGTGTTGTTAACAACTACTGTAACAGTTTGTTCAATATTAATACTCAAAATAATATACATGATCATTTTACTGCTCAAGAAAGTTACCTTTAATGTTTTAATTTCATTTAGATGTTTAAATGATTTTAGTACAAAGTATGAAGTTGGACATCTGTATGCAAATACTCAGTTCATTGTAATAAATCATTCTTTAAGAATTGAACAAGAAGGATACATTTGAGCCGCGTCACGACAAAACCAACATAATGTATTTGCGACCAGCATGGATCCAGACCAGCCTGCGCATCAGCGCAGTCTGATCAGGATCCATGCTGTTCGCTATCAGTTTCTCTACTTGTAATAGGGTTGGTAAGTGAACAGCATGGATCCTGATCAGACTGTGCTGGTCTGGATCCATGCTGGTCGCAAACCCATTATGTTGGTTTTGTCGTGACGCGGCTCATTTATATAGTTTGAAAAAACTTGTTAAAGTTCATAAAAATTTCAGGAAATGAATGTGGTGTTTAGTATTAAAGAGAGAAAAGGAAAAATTTGTGAAACCGAAAATTTTAGTTCTGACTGTGCTGAATTTGTGTAATGGATTTACCCAGCCTGGAATTTGGAACAGTCCATTTTAAAATTCAGGGATTTCAATAAAAGTATACTGAAATTGAGCTACGGACAGTATAAAGCCTGCTTTGTAAATTTAGCGCTTTTTTTTTGACGGAATTTGCCAATAATAATTATGTTTTAAATATGCATCTAAAATGTCAATTTAGTTACTTTTAACAAGCTCTATGGCATGTCCATTTGTTGAAAATGCTTCCAAAATAACATTACTTATATGCATCTAATATATATGGGATATTATATGCCTTTTATGTTTTGTTGTTAGTGCAACTTTGAATGTGCATTTAATGTTAAGGTACAAAAAATATGCTTTATATGTGTAGATTCTAAAATATGTATTTAGCTTAGGACAATAATGCACTAGGACAATAAAAAGCGTTCTGTAACAGTAACCTACTAGGACAATAGCCCAGTAGGACAAGAGCCCACTAGGACATTGGTGCACTAGGACAATAGCCCACTATAATTCGATTTTATATTACATGTATTTACTAATATGAATCCAAAAAGAACAACCACACGCGTACATTCAGTTATTTTTTTTAATATTCAAATCGATTTCGAACAAATATGTTCTTCGTCAGTGAATAAACAGGAAGTGAATAAACAGGAATAGACGTCACATGACGTCACCGTCCGAGATGGCGGGAAACATACATTGTTACGTTACGTTATATTAAATTTCATTAAAAATTAATAAAGTTAATAAAGATTTCGATATATATGTATATAAACATTCACGGATTATGAAATACAAGTATTTCCTATATAAAATACATAAAAAACAATAATAGGAAACAACGTGAATGTTACGTAACGTGTATACATGCATAAAACAGATGAAATATTATATTGGAAAAAGTATATAACCATTTATAATGGAATGTCTACGCAAAAGAACTTACGGAAATAATTAAATGTCGTATATAATTTTTGCATTTAATCCAGCTGGTGAAAATGTCTTAAGCTTATGAATCCAGTAGGTTCGAATTTAATAATGAGTTTTTCATGCAAACGTGCGGTACTGCTATGGGATCATCTATGGCGCCAGCATATGCCTCCCTGTTCATGGGGAAACTGGAAAAGGACTTTATCGAGTCACGAAATATCAAACCGACGCTGTGGCTACGTTTCCTGGATGACATTTTTCTAATCTGGGACGATACTCGCGAGGAACTCGAGAATTTCATTCGTGATCTAAATGATTTTCATCCGACGATTAAGTTTACGCAAACCATTTCCAGTTCATGTGTTGATTTTCTTGATGTGCGTGTTTCCAAAAATAATTGCACTCTTTCAACGAACATATTCGTGAAAAACACTAATAATCATCAGTATCTTCATTATACCTCTTGTCACCCAAAAGCATGCAAGAATGGTATACCATACAGTCAAGGCAAGCGTTACCGCAGAATAATATCCGATGACAGTACATTCAAGGACTCTCTAGTTGATTTGAAAGACTTTTTTCTGAAACGTGAATACCCGAAAGAAGTAATTGACAATGCATTTGAGAAAATTAATTCTATGAGTCAAAATGAGGCACTGCGACTCACAGAAAGTAGCCAATCTAATTTTGTCATACCATTTGTTGTTACTTATAACCCTCATCTTCCTAACATTGGTCACGTTTTAAAAAAATATTGGGACTTACTAAAGTTGTCAAAAAGTGAAACTGTAAAATATGTTTATGAGACTTACAAACCTATTGTTGCGTTTAAGAGACCCAAAAATATCCGTGATCATATTGTGCATTCTAGCTTTTCAAAGCAAATGTCAATTCATTCATCTTCTCCTTGTAGCAGAAGTAGATGTTCTCATTGTAATCGAATTACTTCGGATGTATCTTTTGCAAGCAGTGTCACAGGCGAAAAATATACACTGAGAAACCCTACAAACTGTTCTACAAATAATGTTATTTATTTAATCTCCTGTCAAAAATGCAATATGCAATATGTTGGCCAGACATCTCAACCGGTTTCACGTAGAATGAATAGTCATAAATTTGATATTACAAATTTCAAAGATCCAGCGTTTTCAACTCTTGTTGCAACGCATTTTAATTCAATTGATCATTCATTTAATGACTTTTCATTTTTACCGTTTGAGATTGTCAGCGACACAATGGAGCGTCTATGTAGAGAAACCTACTGGATTCATAAGCTTAAGACGTTTTCACCAGCTGGATTAAATGCAAAAATTATATACGACATTTAATTATTTCCGTAAGTTCTTTTGCGTAGACATTCCATTATAAATGGTTATATACTTTTTCCAATATAATATTTCATCTGTTTTATGCATGTATTTACTAATAAAATTCTTTATGGCACTCTGATTGACTATTGTCCTAGTAGGCTGTTGTCCTAGTTGGCTATTGACTGTTTCCCCTGAAATAAAAAAAATGTATGCTTTTAATGTGTAGATTCTAAAATATGCTTTTTATATGTTTTATTATGTATTATTTGTTTACATTCTTAAATACAAGTATGCTTTAAAGATGGTGATTTCTGAAGTATGCATTCTATGTTTAATTACATGTACTAGATATGGTGTTAATTTGTTGTTACTCATTACACATTTAATGTTATGTCAGTAACATTGCAAATATTTTACTAATTTTTAACATGCATTCAATATGTAACTTAATGGTTAATTAAGAACTTTACATAATGATGCTCATTGATCGGGCCAGTTTTTTGCGTCTTTTTGTCCTAATTAAAATAGTACATCAAAATTACGGTACATTTATATTTAATCATTGCATTATATATCAATTCAAGTTTATTAAGCTTATCCTACAGTGACATTGAGTAACCATTTCTCATAAGGTGGGGTCTATGTGGCCAATGAGTTACAGTCACTGACTTCAAATCACATGCCCCTCATCGCTGTTGGTTTGAATCCCATTTGGACTTTGGATTCTTTAATATGAGAAAGCTATCCTGCTTGGTAACAGAACTTAGGTGTTTTACTCAGGTGACTGTTTGTGCCTGAAATAATGCAAGAAGATTTTTTTGCACCAGTCAAGCATGAAAGTCTCCAATATGACCATTACAGTGTTGGTGTGACCTAAAATTCCAACATAACAAACTCATACAGCCTTTATTTATTGACAAATATCTTAATTATTTAGTTTAAAGTTCCATTGCATGAATCTCTACCCCATTGATAAGGTTTTGAGATTCATAGGGTCAAGCTTGCAGAGATGAAATGTTGTTTGTTTGCTGTATATGACCACCAGTGAACCTTAGATGGTTAAAGGGACTCCAGGGGGGCACCTGAGGCAACTTCATTTACCAGTAAAGATAAAAAAAATTCAATGTTTTTCAAATGTGTGAGATTTATGTTTACATAATATACATGTATATTGTTTTTGCACTGCTTTTAGTGTATGATAAGCTGTGTTCACACTTAATTTAGTTAAAAATATTTATATAAATATATGTTTATTTATATAACATTGCAAAGAAGTTATTATTGCACAGCTCTTGGTGTTTTCTAGTCAATAGAAAAATACTTGACACTTTATTTTTAAAGCAATTATTGCAATGCTTGTCAGTTTTTCATGAGCCATGCCTAATATTTGTTGTAGATTTAGCATCGCTGAAACGGAGAATGAGCCTACGAGGTAGAATGATTTCATTTACCTGCAAAAATCTCCTTGTGGGTTTTTTTGTCTACTTGGGCCAAGATTATAAAGAATGAAAATTGAGACCAGTCTTTGACTCTAGCATCTGATTGGTTGATTTTGATCACAGATTTGAAATCGACCAATGGTAGAGTATCGTTTGGAGACTGGTGTCAAGTTCTGATTGATAAACTTGTTTCCAAGTTTACACCTGTATATTTTAACAATTAGATACATTACACAAGCATGTGTATTGCTTAAATGCATTTTAGAAGTTTGTCAAGGAAAACAGAAAGAAATCATTGTTGTTGTTCAATAATAAAAATTCTCAAAAAAGAACAAAAAAAAGTTTTCACACCAGTATTTGAACTGATTTGAACTGCACACAACGGAATTATAAAACAAAACATGCTTCTAATTGTTAGAATAATATATCTTGGTGGACTGTGTATGCTTATTTCAATAATTTGATTTTGATACTTTTTCTTTAGCCTCAAATGAAATATGCCTATTTTCTGTTTTCCAAATTAATATCTATCCTTTTACAAGGCTGTTACATATAATAAAGCACACAATGTTAGAAAACATTGAGAACGATGTTGTAAATCATTGACAAAAATTTTGCAGCTTTTTATTTCTTTAAGAAGAAAATTTCTTCTACTGACTGACTGACCATTGTTTAAGGATGAACCAAAAATAGACATATTTTCTTTGGCTTTATGCAATTTATATCGATTATATAGCTTTTAATTAATATATATATATACTATTTTTCGCTTAAGACGCTGAATGTTTATTTTTTTGTTTGAACAAAGTTGTTCACAACACCTGAATGGTGAGTGACGGAGCCTTTACCTGTTAGTCTTATCAGTTAAATAGTGATGATTATTTAGCTACTGTTATCTTTTGTTCTTAACAAAATTTGCATTTGCAATGCATGTTGAAATCAAAATTTGTCTGAGTGTATTTTGTACAAGTATCAGGCAAAAAATGGTTTATATCAATTCATTCTGTCCCACCTAGGTCAAAAGGGATTTAAAAAAATTTCTGAATTTTGGTATTTAAAGATTTTCATTAAAAAATGTTGATTTAGGCCAGGTTGACTTAAATGAAAGTTAAATTTAATCTTACCAAAAAAATGTATAGCTGTTACTGTGTTAGTAACACAGTAGAAATATGGTGATAAATACTGAAAAATCAGTCTTTAATTGCACATAACATGTAGACTTCTTTGAATCTCAAGACATTTTATTCAAGTTTGATTTTCTTGAAATTTTTCGGCTCATCTGGAGACATACAGCTTTAAATTAACAATGGGCAGCTTTAATTTGAAACAACATGAAAGGTCTGTTATACAAATCAAGCAGGATGTTATACAAATCAAGCAGGGTTAGGGTCTTTTGAATGAAATTTAAATTTTACCCAAACTTTAAATACATTGATTAAGAAAAAAATCTTTGGAAATTGCAATGAGATTTATGAAGGTTTGTCACATAAAAGGAAATAAACGGTGGAATTTGAAATAAGCTTTTTTTAGCCAGATGTTTGTTGGAATATGAGATCTCTTATTTATGTCATGTTGATTTTTCTTTTCAGCATATTTGATATTTGTATAGATTATTTTTAAGTTTTAGCATATTTATTTGGCATGTTGATAATGCAGTACATGTATGTGGTAATTTAGAATATAAAGTTATGTGTTTCTTCTCTTTAAAAAGCACCAACATTTACTTACAAAATGCATCAAGGTATTTAGAATATTTTATATCAAAACCTTTTCTTCCATAATATTGTGTGTGTTTTTTATACATTTTTCCATTTCAATGTGAAGAAGTCTCTCTCTCAAAAAAAACAAAAACAAAACAAAACAAAAAAAACTTGCCTAAAAAAACCAACTTGCCTAAGGTCAATGCTTTTTTCTTTCTTCACTGTGTATTTTAAACTCTATGTCCCACTATTTTGTATTTATGTACATGTATAATAGCCACGAACCTACTGGAATTGTATGCTTTGAATTTGGAACAGTCCATGTGAAAATTCAGAGATTTCAATATAAAAATACAAAAATTGAGCTGCCTACAGTATAGAGACCAAGTCAGATGGCACAGTTGTGCATTCTGGCCTGGCTGTGTACTGGTGGCAAAAACTAATCACTTTCATTCAGTTCCAGGAGGTTATTGGCTAGTTTAATTGTTGTTGTCCAATGATTTTACAAAGTTCCAAATTCAGTTCTTCAAACAACTGACCCATGCTTATATCCTTAAACACATGTCAATTTCAGCTGACTTACATAAACCATTAAACTTTGTGTACATTATGTTACATAAGGCAGTCTAAGTTTTAGGGTCCATAGGGTCCAAGGACGAGTGGGTTGTAAAAGTCATGACTATGGGTTTCTACTATGATAAAGTAAGACAAAATTTGTATATTGTTTCAGTTAAGTTAATTTCATAAGGTTTCATCCACATTTTGTAGTATCATAATCATTTTGCATTTCATTTCATTCTGTCTACCATTGTCTTCTGTTCCATGATAATAATCACTTTTCAGCCATTATGACTTATGAACAGATAAAGAAATAGGAACACAGAAGTCAAATTACCATTTTGAGAAAAGCTGTTGATATTGCATTGAATGAAATCTTTAAACACTTTTCTCTAATGGAATCTTTGCACACTACTCATTTCAAACTTGTTTATTTTGTCTAGACTGATAAGAATTTATTACTTTATGGCTTCTTTAGGGAGGCTTTCAATTATTGCACCATATCCATGTTTTGTTTCCTTTTAAAGGTTGCCATTATTTGCAATTCTGTCCTTTCAGTTTTGGTTAAAATTGTATCTTGATCCTGCTGGAGTTATTGCCCTTGCTTAAAATTTTAATTGCTCATCAGGGAATAGGCATAAATTTGTTGACAGCTCTTATTTTTGGATCCATTTTCTGCCATGTCTGCCGTTCTTTATAACAGAAACTTTAGAAAAGCTTAATTTTTCGCCTGTCTATGAATAAGCTTGTTTGCATTCAACTTGAGTTATTTCCCTTCGGTTTTAATTTCTCAGTAAAGGGAGATAATAATTTGAAATTTTGACAAGTAATTTTTTTTAAGTGTGATGTGTGTATTCTATTGAGTATACATTTGTCATTTGATCCTTTGCATTTCATTTGATTTGTTTTCATCTATTTCTACTTTACCCATAACTTGCTGAATTTCTTTTTAATACAATCATGTACATGTACAATTATAAATATACTGTACAGGGTTCACTTTGAGGAAATTCGGGGGAAAAAAACTGCCTAATTTTAGCATTTTCATATTTAAATATCTCATATTAACAATAAACAGTTCCTAATTAAATGACAATAAGTCCATTACTCAGATTTACTGTATTAAAGCCTTAACAAATTTGCTTGTAACAAGCTTGCAAACCAGCTAGCCAAGCTACTAGTATATAAAAATGCTAGCAAAACAGCCTGGATAAGAAATATACATGTATTGCTTCATGCCAGTCATTATTCAAACATTTAAAAAAAATATGTTACTTTATTGTTAATGTACAAGGATTAGTAGCCTCTGAAACAGAATGGTTAAGGACTCAATGCATACTTAATATCATACTGAATTACGCCCTATTTTTCAACTAATTTTAAAAAATCTTTCCTTTTTCCCTTGTCAAGTACAAAGAATAGTCAAGCACACTGTATTACAGACAGCTCTTGTCATAAAATGAAGCATGGACTTTTTGCTTGTGTTACTTTATACATGTCATAGAAGCTTATTTTGCATTGTTCATGTCTTGTAATGTTTTTTACAGTTTTATAATATAATAATACCTACGTAAATAGTGTTTAGTATGTGTATAAATAGAAACTGAAACATTGCTCATTTATAATTTTAGAAGAAAGAAAAAAAACATTGCATAGTATTATTTTTCAGATTTTTCACCTCAAATTTAACATCACAAATAAATAAGATTATAATAGACATACAAGAAATGCATAGAGATGTACCGTTTCACTAATGATTTTGGTACATTGGGGCAGATTTAATTATAATAATTGTACCCTTTCACTAATGATTTTGGTACATTTGGGCAGATTTGCGATGATTTTGGTAAAAAAGGGCAAATTTGCAAAAATGTATTTAAAAAGTTTATCATATTTGTCATAATGTTTAACTGGGTTAATTTTTGAAGCAAGAAAGTATGAAATATTTTATTTTGTTATAAATTAAAATGTCTGACAGGTTATATCCCATTATGTAATATGTTTAATATAATGATTACATGTAGATATTTTGTAAATGATAATGAAGGCTTTGTAGTTTATAGGGTGGTTGGAGAGCTTTTTAATCTAGGTATTGTTGATGGAATATTTTTTTGCAAGCATCATTTCAATAAAAGACATAAAATGATGAAAATAATCCTAAATATTTTAAATAAAATACAAAAACGCATTCATTTTAGACATCAAAAAATAAAAATACTCATTGCATGAATTAGTGAAATGAATGTATATATTCAGTACAATACTGAAAATATATTCCAAAAATAATTCTTGGGGAAAATCTTTCTTTCTTTTTTTCATTTTGCAGATTTGCCAACCTTTATGATCTAACAAATTTAATTTTGATGGTTGAGATTTAGATTTTGATAATTATTTCATACCAAACACTTTTCTTCCAGCTAGTTCATCTTCATACATGTAGATAATAATCATTTCATTAATTTTACACACAAAAAAAATACCCCAAAAAACAACAGAAAAAACAACTATTTTTGAAATTCTTGTAACCAATCTTCGTTATTTTCATTACAGGTCTGGGTAGCAATTTAACAGAATTAAAGCGCCGTCAAGTAACAATGGGTAGCACAAATTCACTATCAAAGTCAACGTCGTTCACTACATCAGTGAAGCGAGATTCCCTCGATTCTCCGCCCGTCACCAAACCCACGGTAGTCGCCAGCTCAAATGTTAACGGAAACCATTCCCCTTCTGTTTCATTCCATTTAGGAAGTCATAGGTAACATTTTAATTAATCTAAAATTTACTACAAATATTTCTTTATTCTGTGGTTTCTTATAATTATTATACAAAATTTGTAGCAAAAATGATCTTGAGACATATGCGAGAGCATGAACTTTGAAACATAATTATTCTAAGTTTAAGACACCAAACATTTGTTCTACTTGTTATGAAAGGTTTGTATTTAATTCTTGTTCTCTTTTTGAGGGCATTTGTTAACCCACTCTATATGTTTGTGGTTATCGTAACTTGTCTGTGTCACTAATATAAAGCCAAGACAGATTTTTTGTCCCCACAGTCTGTCGAGGCTCTATATAGTTGCCTATTGGTATTTCATATAAGCATTCATTTCTACACTAAACAGCAAATCAAGAGGGGCGTCCTTGGCCGAGTGGTTAAGGTCGTCGACTTTAAACCACTTGCCCCTCACCGCTGTGGGTTCAAATCTCGACAGGGACTTTGGATTCTTTCATGTGCGGAAGCTATCCAGCTAGCTTACGGATTGTCGGTGGTTCTACTCGGATACCAGTTTGTGCCTGAAATAATGCACGGAAGGGCACCTGAGATCTTCCTCCAACGTTAAAGCTAAGAACGTTGCCATATGACCTTTACTGTGTCGGTGTGATGTAAAACCCAATCAAACAAACAAACAAAACAGCAAATTAAGGGGCGTCACTGGTGGAGTGGTTAAGGTGGTTGACTTCAAACCACTCGCTTCTCACTGCAGTAGGTTCAAGCGGCACAAGCATGTGAGAAAGCAATAAAGCTACTTTACAGAATGTCAGTGGTTCTACTCATGTGCCCGTTTGTATCTGAAATGAGGCACGGAGAGTCACCCGAGGTCTTCCTCCGCCAGTTAAGCTGGAAAGTCACCATATGACCTATACTGTGTTGGTGCAATGTAAGACCCAATAAATAAATAAGAAAGGAAATTTAAAAGCTCTACACCAAAAGAAAACAAAAAACAATTACATGCAAGAGTACAGAGAACTGTGTTTATATTGTAAAATTTTAAAATGTGGTACCAATTTGGTTAATATAAATCTTTAGTTTTGAATAAGCATTCATATTATAATCATCAATTTAAAACCATTTACCCTGCTTGAGCTGAAAGTAATAAGCCTTTGCCACCACTATAGAGCTGGGCCAGCCTGCACATCTGTGCTGTCAAACTAGGCTTTAAACAATCAGTAGCTTAATTTTTTGTACTTTGATATTAAAATCCCTTTAACTTTGAATGGAATGTACATGTAATAAATCCAAAGGATGGCATATCCATTACATGTATTTAAATTTAGAATAGAAAAGGGTAAGGTTTCATTTCTTTAATGTTGTTATTCTTTGAATTCATGGTGGTATGGCAGTGTGTTATTGAACTCACTATGTAAATAAAACTTGGAAAAAAAACTTCTTTTCCTGAAATATAGATGAGTTTCAATACATTATGGTAAGTATAAATGGCTAAATAGTCATTTAAAATGCTAGTTGTAAAAAATACAACTAATGCTAGTTACAAAAATTAATATTTGTGGTGTGGCCAAGTGGTTAACACGTCACACTAGTAATCTAAGGATTGCTGACCGCGTGGGTTCAAACCCCGTCAGGGGCAAGCCGTTGTTTCCTGGAGCAAGAAACTTTACATTCATTGCTTAGTACTGGTTTGTTCCAGGAATGGGTTCAAAAGTGTTTCAGTAAGCTTATAGCTTCCAACACAATCGAACTCAAATAAATTTGTATTAAAACTAATTAATTTAGAAGATTATTTGATGTTGGGAACTGTAAACGCTGTTCTGATTTGAGAAATAAGTGTACAATATCAGCAGTAAGTTTCTTAGAATAATGTAGAATTATGGTTATTAATTAGATATACAATGTTTTTGCAAGTGAAATGATAATGGTAAAAAAAAATGTGTGCTAATTTTATAGTTATATATAGTACAAAAGTGGTGTGTTCTCTACATTGACTATTTATTATTAGATACAACATCTGCTCATGTGTTTATTTGTACCTGTTGAATGCTAAAATATTATGTTACATATGTACTAGGTAAAGAAAAAGATTTTAAATGACATATTATGTTACATTTACTAGGTTTTGTAAAGGATTTTAAATGACGGATATTAATGCATAAAAAAACATGTTCTTTGTCATCATTTTGCATGCATTCAGAGGTTCATATTCATTCATTGTTAATTTTCTATCAGAAATCTCACTACAAAATTCATGACCATGGTGCAGTAACAGGTTAAGTTCTTTTTAGAAATTTAATAGGAGTTAACCAGTTATAGCACTAAAGTGATAAAAATTGAGCCGTGTCATGACAAAACCAACGTAATGCATTTGCAACCAGCATGGATCCAGACCAGCCTGCGCATCCACGCAGTCTGATCAGGATCCATGCTGTTCGCTATCAGTTTCTCTACTTGTTAAAGGGTTTGTAAGCGAACAGTATGGATCCTGATCAGACTGCGCGGATGCGCAGGCTGGTCTGGATCCATGCTGGTAGCAAATGCATTACGTTGGTTTTGTTGTGAATGTTAATGCAGTGTCTCAACTCTGATATACTTGCATTATATATAGAATAAGTCAAAATTATGAGATGAATAACTTTAATTTCTCAGTACTCACATCATATTTTCTTTTTTCCGAATCTTATTTCTTTGTAGCCCAGGGACTTCACCAGACACGCCCGATAATGTATTTTTAGGGCATACGTCTCCTGTTAGCGAGGACTCACGATTTCCACGTTCTAAATCCATGTCGCTTATGGGCCCAACTCAAAATGGGTCACGAATCCCTAGATTTGATGCTGCAAAAACTGTTAAACCCGAAACCAATTTTCCAAGAAGTGACTCCGAGAACAATCTTCAAAAAAGGATTTTACAAAAACAGGTGGGGACTATAGGTGGGGTAGGCAGTTCTAGCCAAGACGAAGATAGCCTCTCTGGAACGGAATCTTTAGATAGCGAAGGAAAAGTTAAAAAAGAGAAGAAAAAACTAAAATTAATTCCTAAATTTATGAGAAGAACTGATGCACACTGAAAGGGAGGCTTCTATTTTAAAAAAATTAGCATCAAAATAAAAATAAAATTACAAAAAAGAGACAAACAAAAAAACTGAAAACATACCTTTTTTAATGAAAGGGCAAGGCCAGGTCATGTGATAATGGTCATGTGATGTGATAAATTTGCATATTCTGTGAACTTATTTGCATAAATATGAAAATGTGTATATAGTTATTTTTCTTATTTTTTAAATGGTTATGCATTTTGATATTTCCTTTCATATTTGAGATATTGTGTTTAGCAAAAAAAAAAAATCAGTTTTAATATTTATTGTGAGAATTATTATCATAAATTTATTACTTTTTTCATCAGTTAGTTTATTTTGTGCCCTGTTATGTAATATTATTTGTTTCCAAATCTAGAGCTATATTGGGAATATAACGGGTTTCTTGGTGGTTTTATTCCTCTCCTCTTTAAAGTCTTCTTAATTGTTGAAGAAGCTGCACTGATGCACATTATTAGACAATGGACCATACTGTAGAACACGTAAAATTCGCATTGTCAAAATTTCACGTTTTTGTTTTGTTTTGTTTTTTCCCTCAAAATATTGCATTTTTCTTTTTTGCTTATCCATGAATTTGCTTTTTCATCACACGAAGAATCCAAAGGGTTGCTGAATAAAATAAGATCATAAGTTTGGGATTGCATATTGAGTCAAGAAAAACTATAAATTCACGAAGAAATTGATTTTCCGTTGTTTGCAAAAATTAATCTAATGCGAATAATATCAGTTCTACAGTAGATTGATTTTTTGAAGGGGAAAAAAAGTTCTCAAAAAGTATGGTACAATGTTTTGAATTAAAAACAGGTGAGAAAATAAGCTTAAGTTGTTAATTTAGCAGAATTGTGTTTAATTTTTTGTTGTAAGTAAATCAATTTTTTACGTACTATATTTATATGATTGTGTTCATGCTTACCTCTTATGCAATGTTAACTTAATCGTAAAACCTAGTAATGTTTTATAAAAGTAGTCCCATTTGGCTACAAGGTTGTGTGGCTGGCATTTATTAACTGTTTTTGGTAATTTTTTCCAAAAATTGTGAAAGGTATAAAAGACATTTAGTAGGTATTAGAAACTTGTTGAATGCTAGTTGCAGTAATGATTTGTCTTCGCTACTCTTATAAAGTCAGACGTTTCACTTCCGCAGTCCGTCTGCTACTTAATTTGAGCTTTTTTAAAAATAATACTTCTCCCTATATTAACAATTGACTCTTCCAATTTTCAAAGCAGGGCAAGTTTATTATACAAATTTAGTGGGGTAAGCAGGAAGAACATAAAGCTAGGATATTATAGGATTAAATTGTTAATATAGATTTTAAATAAAATGATAATAAAAAAAATATGACAGATTTTCTTTTAATTTATGTTTTTACATTAGTAGTTCATGACAAGTATATGATTTACAGACAATTTAGATTTTTGAACATTTAGGGCCTACTGATCTGGTAACATGAACAGATATGGGTACATGTTTTAGCCAAGTAATTATTGATATTTGTTCGAATAAATGATCAGTATGTTGAATACATAATTGTGCAGCGTGTGTGTACTTATATCAAACATCGAATAATGACAACAACAAAAAAATGCTCTTTTAACCCTTACCACCCTAAATATCTTAAATGGACTTGTCCATCTTAAAATCTGGACAAAACCATTTATCAGGTTTAGGGAAAATTTTGAAATAAGTAAATGATTAAATTGTGAACAACGCTGACCACGATCAGACGGCACTGACGTACTGGCTGATCTTGCTCTGCCCTGGTTGCATATGTAGTATCAGTTTTATTTATTTTGTTGTTTTCCTGTAAAGAATGAAATGAGCCGCGTCATGACAAAACCAACATAATGGGTTTGCGACCAGCATGGATCCAGACCAGCCTGCGCATCCGCGCAGTCTGATCAGGATCCATGCTGTTCGCTATCAGTTTCTCTACTTGTAATAGGGTTTGTAAGCGAACAGCATGGATCCTGATCAGACTGTGCGGAGGCGCAGGCTGGTCTGGATCCATGCTGGTCGCAAACGCATTACGTTGGTTTTGTCATGACGCGGCTCAAATGTTATAATACAATCTCGATTTTTGTTACATATTTTTGTCCATTTGAAGAAATAAATCAAAATACATGTATACAAACTTGTATATTGAAACTTTGACAAATGTATTTAATTTTCTACTTGTAAAATGTTTAATGTAGGTTTTTGTTTGTTTTATAGTGAATTTTGACTAATACCATTGCTGAATTTGTCAGTTTTCAAAATGTCTTCACACATAGGTTAATCATTTTTGATATTATTTGAATAAAATATTTGTTTGGATTGGTTAAGGGTATATCTTTTTTGGCATTTGTAAGTTTAAAGAGAATACATTTTAAGATGTGAAAAGGTATTTAAAGCTATAGTGGCATACATGAAAATTAAAACTATACTGGTATACACAGAAATTACAGCTAGACTGGCATACATGAAAAAATTAATTAAAGCTAAACTGGTTTACACAAGAATTTAAGCTATACTGGCATACATGAAAATTAAAGCTGTACTGGCATGCACAAAAATTAAAGCTATACTGGCATACATGAAAATTAAAGCTATACTGGCATACATAAATATTAAGCTTTACTGGCATGCACAAAAATGAAAGCTATACTGGTATACATGAAAACCAAAGTTTTACTGGTATACATGAAAATTTATTTAAAACAAACCTTTTTTCTGATATACATATTATAGGTTATGTTTACAATGTACATTCCAAATATGTACAGATATATGTTCATGTGTTGTTAACAAGCTTACATTATATATTTATGATCTCTAAACCCTTGTATCAGTTGAAATAAACCACTGTTTAATCTTTACATTGTTTTATTTATACTTATTTTTTCAAGCTGTCAATATGTTATGATGTTTCGCAAAAAAGCTTGTAAAAATTCAGCCAGCTTTGTAAACTTAAGTGTCTTAAACATTTTTGTTTAACTCTGATAGTTATGTAAGTGATTGGTAAACAAACCTGTACCACCAGTATAGAGCCAGGCCAGCATGTATATACATGCGGTCTGACCAGACTATGCTCTAGGCTGATCAAATAATTATTGATACCAAAATTGTCTTAAACTAATAATAGACTGTTCAAAATTCAAATCTGGGAAAGTCCATTATATAAATTTGGTAGAGTAATGTTAATGAATTGAGTTGACAAAATTGTTTGTTGCCCTTGATTGTGTAGATGCTCATTTGATATTTACATGTTAAGCAAAGAAATGAAAAATGCTGAATTTTCACTGGCTTACAATTAGCTTATTTTAGTTTGAAAATGGCTAAAGTACTTACAGTGCATCTCTTAAAAGGAAGTTTAACGATAAGTTTTTTTTTTTTTTTTTTTTTTTTTTTTTCATTAAAAGCCTGTCATTCATGAGTGTCAATCTTAATGTGCTAAGATTGTTCATTGTTCTATTTCTAGATTTTTTTTGGGAATTCCAATTATATAATTTTGTTGCTATTTTCAGAACCAGTGTCTGACCCAGCATAATTCAGTAAGTTCAACTAATATGTGACTAAATGTTGATATAATGTTTTTCCTGTGAAGTGTATGCAATTATAAATTGCCTGCTTCTACATATAGTGTCTAATCTTTTATCTAAATAATAATATACAAATGGTCAATCACTATAATACATATATGAGCCACGACACGACAAAACCAACATAGTGCGTTTGCGACCAGCATGGATCCAGACCAGCCTACGCATCCGCGCAGTCTGATCAGGATCCATGCTGTTCGCTTACCAACTCTATTACAAGTAGAGAAACTGATAGCGAACAGCGGATGCGCAGGCTGGTCTGGATCCATGCTGGTCACAAACCCATTATGTTGGTTTTGTCATGACGCGGCTCAATTATATCGCCTTCATCCACCCCCCGTGGTTGCACTAATTTTTTCATAATACCTGTAATCATATTTTCATTCACAGTAAAGGAAATTTATAGTTTGTTTCACTATTGAATGATTTAATTTTTTCGATTTTACTATCTGGTGGTAGTTCCTATACTATCTAAATTTATAGAAATACCTTCAGTTTCTACACCTGTAGCTATAGCTAGATTTATTTGATTGAAAATATTACAGAAACAGTCTAAATGAGCACTAATTTTTATAGTTCTTAAAATAATTTAAAATTTGATTTTCACATATTTTATGGTAATTTAAAAAATATATAAAGGAAACCATATAAGTAGTATAATTATAAACCTGATATTTTTGTCTATGATTTTCTGAGTTGGCAGCTTGCCAAATTTAAATGACTTGACATCTTTTGTTTTAAGATTACAGATTGGCAAATTGCCAAAATTTTAACTCTTTAATTATTTTTTTTTAGAAATTGACAACTTGCCAAATTTGCATCTCATTTCATCGTCAGCTTTGTCAGTACTTCAATTTTCCAATTCAGGAACTTGCAAACATTTTGGCCTGCTCTTTTGCTAAATGCTTTGATTTTTCCCTTGGCTTATACATTTTCATTTCTCTGCCATAGCCATAGGTCTCATCTGCAATTCTCTAAAAACAACCAACATATAACTGCAAATCTTCATGCAAATTTGCAATAACTCATGTTTCCTTATCAAATGTATCAGTGAAATATACAATAAAAAATGTTTATGTCTGGAATTCATATACAAATGTATTCTGCTGCTTTTAATCAGAGATTTAACAAACAGTACATAAAATGATATATGAATGATATATGATATATTCAGATACAAAAGGTATAGGGTGCATGTAATTTCATAAATAAAAATATATATATATCAAGATTTAATGAATAAGACATTTTGCTACATAGCATGTGAATGAATACATGTATACATTGCAGCTGTTCATCAATTTATCCATGTTGAAAGGATAAGTAATAATGAAAGATTTGAGGTTGAATTATTATAGTAATAAGTTGGCGAGATATGGTTTAGTATTGTCAAAGGCTTCAAGGTGATAAATTTAATTTTTAGTTTTGATAAAAAATAATGTGTGCTGTGGCTAATATAATATTCCATGTAGTCATTGGGGCGTGATTTAGTCGGTGTACGGTATATGACATGCTAGAACGAAAAATAAATTTGTTTGTTAATATGAGTATATTCGCTAAAGTTGGATTCTCCCATGATTATGTAACTATGGTAAAATAGGTTTTCATTGGCAAAATACATGATTTGTATGAGACGTTTAGCAATATTGTATAATAGATAATACTGATCCTGTTGTATTGATTAAACTATCAATGTTTTTAATGTCTGTTACACCTGTCTCTATAGCAACCATTTCATTATGACAGATATAGCTTTTCTATAGATATGGGGTCATATTTTGTTTTATATTATTACAGAGATTTGCCATGGCATTTCAACAAAGAAGTGGATACAAACATATTTTCTCATATATTTTTAGGTGATTACATCTTGCTGTGAGCATAAAAACTTAAAAGTGATTTTAAACATTTGGGTATTGTTTTTTGTGTAAGATATTGTTAAGAATCTGTGTAGCTTCATATTTTATTTTCTATTTAAGGAAATCACTGAAAAACTTCACAAGTGTCTGTAGGATTATAATAATCGGTCACTATCCAAGACCCATAACTCCAGCATGAATTTTGACAGAATTAAACCCTTTTGTGTACGTAATTCTTGGTTAAGGATTAGTATGCAAGTTTTTTCTCAACATCCACTGAAGATATTTGCTTTAAAATTCACACCTGTCTTTGATGACATAATTGTAGATGACTGGCAAAGATCCATGACCGAACCTTTGAATTTTCCCTGAATTATACCATTTTATGAACATAAAATATTTCTGCATTATCCAAGAATATTTCTACATAATATTTAAGCTCTTGTTGAAAAAGCAAGCTCTGACAATAGACTAGTGTACTGTCTGTCGAGTAGCTATTGTTTATTATCTTGTTGAGTGACAGCTGTTCTATATATACATGTAATGTCCCAATTTCAGTAAGGAACCTGCACACTTTATTTGTAAATTACCAGTAATGTTTAAAAATTGTCATATGGCATCATTTGGACTTGAAATCAATCAATGGCCACAATGGCTAGAGGGTTACAGTTGCAGACGGATGAATCAGTTGCCCCTGACCACTGTTGATTCCAGTCTGGCAGAGGTCATTGGGTTCTTTAATATGAGAAATCTATCCTCATAACCTATTGAAAGTCAGCTGTTGTACTCAGATGCCAAACTTGGCTTGTCTAAAAGGAGATTTAACTTTGGGCTGGAGATTATAATACTTTGTGTTAGAGAATTTGAGACTTTTCTACAATTGATTGGTTGAATTTTATCACAACTTTGAAATTGACCAATGGCTTCTTGAAATGGCTTCAGTGTACAATTGTAAAACATTATTGCTTGAGTTGGTATCTTCTGCTTGGAATTTTTTTATCTGGTATGTTGCAAGAAGAGCATTACTAAGTCTATGCAGTAGAATACAATAGATATTTGTATATTTTGTTTTGTTATTGCATTTGTTTCTGAAAAGCCTTGGCTTTGCTTTGCAACTGTTTCCCTTTTGGCAAGATCCTGGAATTTGCCCCTGTAGAAAACCTTTAAAATATGTTGATAGTCAATATCAAAACTGAATAATGTAATTGTAATGAATGTAGTGAAAAATATATTTGGTAAACTAATATTTCAAATATAAAAGACATATAAATCTGAAAGAACAGATAAACTAACAATTACTGAAAAATTACTTATTTTTGTAAGAAAAAAAAATTTGTGTATTTTCTTTTTGCCTTTAGAAAAAATTGTGTTTTTTTTTTAAAAGTCAAGTACGTTTTTGTGCGGTATTAAGTAAATTTTCTATCTATACTTTAAAATAGATTATTTGTATTGTCATCATAGTTTTCCAAGGTTATTTTATTTAGCGAATATTTAATACATACATTACAAAAACTTTGTTTCCTTATTTTAAGATATATAATTGATCAGGAGACTGGTAAATAAACAGTTTCTCAGATATGCAAATTTAATCTTTATTTTGCACCATTTCTTTTTTTAAGCACAATAATTATCATTACATGGCTAAAAACAGGTTAATGCTTGTTGAGAATCCATTGCTTGCCCATATGGTTTATTCTGGTGACGGGGGTTAACAAACCCAACCAAACACACACTAGAGAATCCAGACACTTTCCTAAGTTGTCACTAGTATAAAACTGAAATCCTGTAACAAGATGAAGCTTACCCTAAAATTATCTACAATGTTAGACTTGGTTATATGGTCCTTGCAATGATGATCCCCCTTTATTATGAAGGCGAAACAATTGCCAAGTCCAAGGGAATTATGAAAATGGACTGCTCTAAAATGGCACCTGGAAAAGTGCATTGAATAACATTCACCAGGATAAGGGGTTACTTAACTTGTTCTTGAAAAATCCAGGACATACCAGTTTCAATTTTTAATTTTGACAAGTACTGTTGTTTTAAAGTCTTCTGGTCAATATAACAAGAAATGATCTTTGATAAATACATGCAGTTTACAGTAAATACCAACTTGCTGGAAGGTACTCCTCATGATTCATACAGTTATGTGACAGAACAATTTCATTTTAGTTAAAATTTTCCTCACAATTTGTATTTTTTACCATCACAGTGATTGAGTATATATCATAAAGAAATCTGATGTGTGCAAAGAATGAAATCAGCATGTGAAGATAGTCCAGGAGAACAAGAGATCAGCAGCTTAGATATCTAATTTTACTGTTATATTGTTGAAGAAAACTGCTGTCATTTTTAAAATACTCTGTACTAGGTGATGAATTTGCTCTGTAATGGACATTTGTACTTGTTAAGTTTTCTTGTTTCTTGAGATAACGAAATCAAGATTTGAAGATGTCATTTTATAGGCATGAGAATCTAGATGTTAGGACCTTTTATTTTGTTTATCAATTTTGTGGTATTCAGCTCTCATAGCGGAAAATAATGATGCAAAGTACTAGCAAATTAATTGACAATTGTTTTGTTAAATTGGTTTTAGTAATATTAAGTTTTTAAGTAGTTTCTTGTTTATTTTTTTTACACTTTTGTCACCACTTCTGAATATTTTCATCAAGTATTTATTACACATTGATTTTATATCCATGACACTCATATTCTATAGATGCTTATTTGTTAAATGAACATTTCTATTAATGAAGTCATGACATCTGTGTCCTATAGACGCTTATTAAGTATTAAAAACTTTTTAAAAGTGACAAAGGATATTACGTTAGCTAGAAATGTTTGTTCGATCGATTGCCTTACAGAAGAATTAAGAAGTATTTATAAGGACATTTTATTGAAGGTGACATAATTAAAATGTAAATCAGTTACCACTGTTGTATATTAATATGTTACGAATCTCTGTAAATCTATTTCAGGCGTTTTCAGGATTTTGTTTTCTTTAATTATTGATAATGATAACATGTATTATAAAACAGTTGTAGCTTCTATGCTACATGAAGAATAAACCTTTTCTTGCCAAGCCCTTGAAAATAAATGTTGTCTCGTCGAAATACAGATCACCAAAGGTTCATTTTATGTGTAATTATTTATTTTCCTTGAATCTCTGTAAACCCATGTCAAATAATTTTCATGACTTTTTGTTATAACTTTGTTTAAAACTTAATAAGAATAATGCTATTTGATACTTTTATACCTAGCTGGAACTGAAAGTGATTAGCCTTTGCCACCAGTATAAATCTAGGCCAGTCTGCATATACATGCAGCCTTAGAATACTGTTAGCTGACTAACTTTAAATTCCTTTCTTGATATCTCCAAGGTTATAAATGGACTGTTATAAAAATAGAAACTGGATAAATTCATTTTTGGAATTCAGTATGCAATAGTCAACAATAACTTGTCTGTTGCCAAGTCAGTTTGTTTCTATACAGTCTGACTAGATGCTGTCTAGCTTTAGTGTTTTTGATACTGAAATCCCCTTGAAAGAAACAATGGACAAGTCCAAATTTAACGCAGAGCAGGTCCATTTCACAAATTCCAGGTAATTATTTTCTTAACAAAGTTAAATGTACAGTAATGTATACTCTTAATAGTGCACACTCAAGTCATTGCCAGTCCATTGTCTGCAAAGCTGATGTTATTTGTTGTACAATACTTGTTAAAAAAAGATTCTTGAATATTTGTTACATGTACTAACATTTGATTACGTGATGTTAACAAAATCCTGTTCATTTTTATCCATCATAATATTTATATAGATTGTTATCATCTCTGAGTGAGAAAAAATACTCATCTCATTTTGATGACTATTTAATGTAAATATTGTATATATCACAAAGCTGTGTAAACACACTGAAGTGTATGCACAACATATATTACATGTGTGAACAAATTGTTAAAGTTGATACCATGTTAATCCAATACATGAAATTAAACTGTACCTTTTTGTTGCCCTGTTTTTGCCAAATCATTTTTGATTATCTTAATTTTTATTTAAGGAATGCACAATTTGTTTTAATGCTCTAGACATTTGGATTATGATTTATGCTCAAAGCAATTTTCAAATTTTGCTGTGAACTCTGTTAATGTATTCTTGTGTACTTAACTCCAAGTAAAATAAGTATGTTTAGTTCTGTTTTTATGAGTTCTTATTAATTTAATAAACATACGAAAATAAATAACCAGGTAAATTATTAAAGCTCAAAGATGAAATTTAATTGTCATACTGTTGTTGATTTTTTCAAGGTGCAAATCTACATGCTCAAAGGTTTTAAACACTTGTAACTGTAGACCAGTCTGGCAACCCTTGAATCTAATTGGTTGATTCAAAGCACATATTTGAAATTGACCAATGGTTGGTAGCTGCTGCTGGACTGGTTTCCATTTTCCGTACTTTCAGGTTTGTTTAAAATGATATATGCAGAAGGGCATTGAAAACCTATTCCAGAGTTACACCAATCTTATAGGAGGACTTTTGGGTATTTTTGGTTGAAATAGATTATTATATATTACTGAACACTGACTCATGCATTCCAAAATTAAAATTCTATGCACATGCTGAAATGAAATGTACATATGATTTGCATCTTTGAAAACTTTTTTCCAGAATTTCAAAATTGTACATAATTGGTATGTAAATAGTACATGTATTTAGATCACTAGCTCTGTGCTTAAGCGTGAAAAGTTTGTAAAGGGTAAGAACTTAACTCTTTAGTATAAGGTCAAGGTCACCAAGGTCACATACTACGGGTCAAATGCATGCTGTGTATTTTAAGGAAAATGCAGGTTTTCATGAAATGTTATCTATTTTAAATAAAATGCTAGGTAAAGCTCCAGTTTCTCCGTTTTTTAAAATGATTTTTGTGTCACATCTTATAACAGCTAAAATTTTATTTTGTTATGTCTTTTTGTCTTTAATTATTGATAGAAGGGTAGAGTTTTGTTAAATTATTTCTGTTTTACTGCAAGGTAATTTTAAGCAGCATTTATACTCATGTCATATGGAGTTTTGTTACTAGAACATATGAGCTACGTCAAACGTTATGCGTTTGCAATCAGCATGGATTCAGACCAGCCTGCGCATCCGCTCAGTCTGATCAGGATCCATGCTGTTCGCTATCAGTTTCTCTACTTGTAATAGGGTTGGTCAGAGAACAGCATGGATCCTGATCAGACTGCGCAGATGCGCATGCTGGTCTGGATCCATGCTGGTCGCAAACCAATTATGTTGGTTTTGTTACTAGAACATAATTATTATTGCTTATCTTAAAAGAAAAACCAAACATATCAATCTTTTTTTTCCTTTTGCAATTTGTATGTATATATGCATGTAATTTGTACATTTAGAATGAATGGGAAAACATTTTACTTAAGAATTAGCATAGTTGATATAGAGGTTTTTTTTTTTATATCAATAGTATAGCTGTCCTGCACATATGCTTTTAATTGGTTATTATCAGAAAAAAATGGAAAAGACATTTTTTGTTTTTGTTAATTCACATACATTTTTGTGGGGGGTTTTTTTTGACCCCAAGATTATTTTGTCAGTCGTTTATCTGATATGCCCAATATTGTTATATCAAATTTAGCTCCTTAAATCCCTGATATTTCACAATGGGTATATTATACATTTTTGCTATGCACAGAATACAAGCACTCACTTTAAAAGAAAAAATAACAAAATTGTAAGAGTTGAAAAACTTTTATGACTACCCCTTGCAAGACAGGTGCATTTGAATGGAATACTTTAAGATTATCTTATTGAAAATAGTAGTAAAATAATGCACATATATGTTGGTTTTTGTTGCATAATATTTATGCAGGTGAGCTCGAGTAATCTGATAAATTTAAGTACACATTTAATATTTCCACAACACATGATTATTTACATTCTGGAAAATTTCATTGTAAAAATGTTTTGGTATATGTATGTAGTTGAACATATTTATTTCTGTCATTATTCATTCCATGCATTTGTGTATTTTTGTTGATTTCTAAGTAAGCGAACATCTCATTATATTGTCGCTTATTTTTGTGCAAATGTTATTTTCACTAGTGAATCTTTATTAGGGATCATGCTTTGAAGAATCACAGAAAAAGGACATTAAGAACTTTTGTTTGATCACTTTAACCCTAAAAGTGCAAGGAGAGAATGATTTTATCTGTGTCATCAGTATAGAGCCATGCCAACCCGCACAACTGTACAGTCTGACCAGGTCCTATACTGGTGACTACTTAATTTGAACCCTTAACCAGCTGGAACCAAAAGTAATAAGCCATTGCCATCAGTCTGGTGCTTGACCAGTCTGGACATCAGTGCAATCTAACCAGGCTCTATACTGTTGGTCCCATAATTTTTGTACTAAAATCTCTTAAACTTTGAATAGACTGTTCCATATTTCAAACTGGGCAAGTCCATTACACAAAATCAGCAGGTGAAAGGTTAAGGTTTTTTGATGGAAGGCCTTTCAAACTCTAAATGGACTGTTCCGGGTACAAAACTGGACAAGTCCATTAATCTATTTTTAATGGGTATGGTTTTAAATTTATGTTTTTCTTTGCCTTTTTTTTTCAAGTATTTTCTACAAATTATTTCACTAAGCTTATGATTCCATATGTTTGTTCAGTTAAAATGTTCTATTAAAAGTTAGAATAAGCATGTTTAAGAAAATCAGGTAACTGCAATGGTTTCCTATAACTTTTTGCATTGCCCAAATGATAGTTCTTTCATACATTTCTATCTTGTAATTGTGTATTCTCAGCAAGCCCTAGGGACAGGCTTATGGCACTGCAGAATTTACTATGAGCTACTTTTGCCTTACCATAATATGTAAAAATGATACTAAATCACTTAGGAGTGCTTTACCACTGGTTACTGATGGGTTTTTTTTAATTTGTGAAGAGCACTGACCTATTGTGAATGGAAAAGCGGCATAATTTGTTAAAGCTTTATTATTTAATGTATAAAAGGAAAAATTAAAGATTTAGAGAAATGGATATATTATATATATGCAAGATGAATATAAGAATCATGTCCAGTAGTATAAAACTGTTTGTAAAATTTGATGTATGTTTAGTAATGCAATTGATTAATACTGTGTAAATTGTAACTCCTTTGAAAATGAGAAAAATCCTAACTGTGTACATGTATGTATTATTTTGTGTATATCACATGAAGATTAAATTGTTTAAGATTTTTATTTCTGGTGTTGTTTTCTTTTACTGACATGTCAACTCAATGACAACCATAAAGACTTGAACTTTAGCACAAGTATAGAGCCAGGTTAGCCGCCAGATCAATCATTACAGTCTGAAATGGCTGCTTTATTTTGGTGTCAAAATGACCACATGTTGAGAAATCTGTCGTACAAATTTTGTAATGTAAGAGCCAGCTATAACACTGACAGGTAAACTGCTCAATCTTAAAATTACATTGCTCAATACCAGAGAACTGCCCTCCTAAATACTGCTGAACCAATGGCTGTATGTATGTATGCTGAAAATACAGCATTGAATATTGAAGACTATCCTGCGAGTGTCCTTGCTGGATACCCAGCACTGAGAGGATAATTTACCAGCTGTCAATTATAGCAAATCAACATAAAATCAATGCACACATCCTCAGGTGTTGTTAATTAAAGACATTTGACTTGTGATTCCATCTTACCTCATACATTTTGCTTTGACATTGCCACTCTCATCTAGTCTTTGGACATTGTGATTCCATATTACCTCAGACATTTTGCTTTGACATTGGGACTTCATCTTGCCTAAGACATTTTCCCTTTGACATTGTGATTTCAGCTCACCTTTTACATTTTCCTTGGACATTATGATTCCATTTTACCTTAGACATTTTGCTTGGACATTGTTATTCTATCTTACCTCAGACATTGTGAATCCATCTCAACTTAGACATTGGACATTGTGATTCAGTCTTACCTTAGACATTTTCTTTGCACATTGTGATTCCATCTAACCTCATTCATTTAGCTTTGACATTGCCACCTTCATCTTGCCTTAAACGTTTTGCTTTGACAATGTGATTCTATGCTTGGACAGTCATTACCATTTGACATTGTGATTCCATCTTCCCCAAGAAATTTCCCTGTAACATTGTGATTCCATCTTACCATATACATTCTCTTGGACATTCTATCGTATATCATAATTTTTGTTTTGACATTTCCACTTTTATCTTGCATTCAACATTTTGCTTTGTCATTGCAATTCCATCTTACCTTAAGACATTGTTGCAGTATAAAACTGCCAACTAATGCTCAAATGTGCTTAACTTGCACTTCTTATAGTACTTCAGTACTATAACCATAGTGGCGATGCATGTTTATTTATTACTGGCTTAAGAATATTAATTTTCTTTCTATCATCATTAAAGGTATATGAACATATTGTACATTTAAATTTGATTGATCTACAATAGTCACCTTTTCTGTGAGTACTAGTACCCCATTTCAAATATTGATAAGTGATTTAGTACAATCATTTATATGTGGATTCTAGAACAATATATTTTCTGCTTTATATAGATGTGTGAACTGTGTGATAAACAGACCTTCCATTAGCAGACCTTCCATTAAGAAGGAATTTACTTAAATGCCAATACTTGATAACCGTGAAATGGTATATCATGTTGAAGTGATCTAAATGAGTATAATATCATTCACACATCTTGATCCGTAATTCCATAAAAGCACAAATCATTTATGCCTTGATCTTACAAAAAGGCCTTTAGATCAATTGAATAGTAACCTTGCAAATTCATTTAATATCGGAAAAGTTGGCTGCATTTATTCAAGAAAGTCAGATTGATTCTGCACAAAATAAAAACATATCTATTGCATTGATTTTGCTACTGCTCTCCAAATTTGTAAACATTTACAAATCAAAAATATTTTCTAATACAAGTCCCATCAGAATGAAAACAGTTCTCTTTTTTAATTGGTTAAATTCTAAATCACAAAACCTTTGTAATAGCAATGCATCATATGACAACTTTCAAGTTTTACTGGTGAAAGAAAACTGGAATCTGGATGTTTTAATTCAGGTAATAAGTATCCTTCATGATCGAAAATCCATAACATTATAAAACTCGTATTTGCCCGTTCTAAAGAAGGAAACAAATATTTTCATTTCTTAGGCATAATGTGCCTTTCAACTGGACATCCTGCTGTACCACAGTGTAACAAAAACTATACAAGCTTCTGACATAATAATCAAAAACTAGGGCCTTAAAATATGTATCAAAGTCAATAAATTAAGCATTTGTCTTGTCAATGGTGACAATAAAAATGACTTCATTGCTCTTGGTTCAAGATTTGTTTACAGTTATTTGAATTCTAGAAAGGGGAGATCACTTAAGGGCAATGGTAACAAATTGTTACAAATAGCACGTCAACATTTATTGAGTGTAATCTTAAATAATTAAGCCTTTTTTCTTGCCAAAATGTCCTTGTTAACGATGCCCAGCCAAATTATTAATACAATTCATCTATCAATATTTCTAGAGAAGATACAAAAGACAACTTGAGAATTCTAACAAACAGTTTCCTAGCTAACTTTTATTAAGTAGGAGTCACACAGGAATGGACTTAAATCTAGTAACATTTTTATTGTAAGTACACTCAAACAATAAATGAGCCGCGTCATGACAAAACCAACATAATGGCTTTGCGACCAGCATGGATCCAGACCAGCCTGCCCATCCACGCAGTCTGATCAGGATCCATGCTGTTCGCTATCAGTTTCGGTACTTGTAATAGGGTTTATAAGCGAACAGCATGGATCCTGATCAGACTGCGCGGATGCGCAGACTGGTCTGGATCCATGCTGGTCGCAAACGCATTATGTTGGTTTTGTCGTGACGCTACAATGTTTAACTAAAGTTTAAGACAAACAATGTATAAGAAAATCTGTTTAAATTTAAAATGTTTTTATTTAAATTTGAACAAGAATATACAGTTTAATGATGAATCATGATTATTTTGCACAATCTCCCTATACATATACCAAAATATTTGTGACCAAAAATAATCCAATACTATATTTCCTCAACAAAACACAAGGCTTCTTCTATTTTATATAATAAACATTGGATATCCACTTTTTTTTTAACAATATTCACTGCAACACTTTTTTCTTAAAATTTGATTTTTTTATTTACCTATTTTTATTTTTTGTAAAAATAAATGAACCCTTGTTATACTTTATATAAAAACATATAAATAACTCTACACTTTGTTTGCCCTATAACAATAAGATACTTAAAATAGAACAGTTTAACAGTACAATTTCAAGACTTTCATACATAAATTGAATTTAAGTTAATTATCATTTAGCCAAGTTATCTTTATTTAGATGCACCTATGTTGTGTATTTTAAAGCTTACTTAAAAATGAAGTTTTTAACTATGAATTTAACTGATCAGATTGGATTTCAATCTTTTTAAAATGAGAGAATATAACATGTCAAATTATCATCAAGTAAATTAACATTTTATAAAAAAAATTTGCATATATAGTTGCAAGATGTATCACTCAACAGAAACTGTTGGGTTTTTTTTTTATTGTAATTCTATTTTTTGAAAACGTTCAAATTGTATAAAGTAAAATTTCACTTGGAAAAAAGAAAAAAATATATTTAAAAACATCATGTTTTTAAAATTCTTTCTTTCAGGTTTCTTGATTAAGTTTTCCATACCTCATTTGATTGTTCTCATAAACTTCAATTTTACATAAAAGTTTAATGTTCAAATACAGACTACAGTTAAGGATAAGATAATTCCGAAAAGGGAGGTAATCAAACAAGAGAAAATATCGGACTTGGTTTGATTAAGTTCATGCACAGACGAACATTGGATTTGGTTAACTGCAAAATCTCACATGTCCCTAAGCACCACTAACTGCTAAAAGTACTGGATTTTATGATTGACAAAGACAAAAAAATTAGCAATGAAGAGAAAAAATAAACACTTGAACGTTAAAAAAAAGAAAGAAAGAAAATAATTCAAACAGTCTTATAAGCCAATGACAAGTATTGCGTTCATTTCAAACATATTTATCAACAACATAACACTTGATTACAAAAAGTTCCTCCAATTTAATGTCAAAATACAACTATCCTTAACAGTATGTATTTTACATGACAAAATATATAGCATTCAACTTTGCATTTGTTAAGATTATCTTTAACCAAGCTGTTTTTCTCTCTCATCTTTTTGCATAATATATGTATAACAATACTTCTAATGGTTAATATTGCACCAAAAATTCAAATCTCAGAGCATTTCAAGTTGTCTCTTAGAAGATGACAAAGCTCTTGTTATGCACTTTGGTATATCTTAACTAAGTCCTGATCTCTGCCTTTTTTCTTAACATCACAAATAAAGAAATTTTCAAGATTCAGTTTTAGCTATGGAAATATATGGAATTATTTTCCTTGTTTTAGAGAGCACTAAATATTTCTGTATTTATCCTCATAATATGCTTATATGAAATATAAATGTTGATTTTTTTTTACAAAAAGCTAACTTTCCATGTGTGGTTGGACATATAAAAAGGGTTAAATATATACAATTACAAAAGGTTTATAAATATGGTCCACTCTTTTTTCAAAAACATGATTATTTGTAAGTTTATTTTCCTTCAAAACGAAATTTCTTCAAGATCAGTTCTTCCAATAGAAAAATAGTACAACATAATTTGATAAATTTTACTACCTACTTCATATATACATGATATAAAACTTGTGTAACAATTATATACAATTGAGATCAATCGGAAGCCATTAACAACATTACATGGACAATCATGCTGTCAGCTTGTTATACAAAAACGGATTTAAAGTAGACGCAACTTGGCATAAATCATTAAACTTATGCGTATGTTAATTTGACTAAGGCCTATAAAATAATACTCATTTCCAATAGCCTAAATTTTGTTGGCCTTTAGAGAATAATTGAACAAATGAAAAAAATAAAACATCCATACCTTCAAAATAGTCAATGAATTAATGCACTTTTTCATTTTCAAGTCTCCTAAAATATCATATGTAATTATAATATCAACTAATAAAATATATTTGTATTGTTGGATTTTATTTTTTTATTTTCAATTTTTTTTTGTTGAAGACAAAATAGTTGTTTACTTTTTTCTTTTCTTTTTGGAAGTTACTAAGAAGAGTTATTTTTTAGACCTGATGTTAATTAAGATCAATCAATTCACCAAACACTTACAAAACTCCATTTCATTCAGTGTTCAAATACATCAAGTTAGATTATTCAAGTTTTCATACTTTTGTTCCAGCTTTTATTACAAAAAAATGCAGAAATTTTCTTTAAAAACAAATTAAAAACATGCAGATCACAAGTTCAGTTGAATTTAAAGGGACTCCACTGGGTTTTTTTTTTTTTTGACAGGACTGGAAATCTTTTTCCTAGATTTGTATTGTTGTAGGTCTGGACTAATAACTCTTACCCAGTTTTTCCAGAATCTTTTTTTTTGTGTGTGTGCAAAATGACAAAAATGAAAAGCTTTGGAAAGCTTTTCACTCAAATCAGGCTAAGAATCACTCAAAATATGAATATTCTAATTAATTCTGTGTAAATTTCTTTACCTTCGAAGATTTTTCTATTAAAGTGCTTTACTTGATCTATGTATTTCTAGGCCTTTTGTCCTCAGTGGAGCTCCTTAAAAGATCTTGCGTAGAACAATTTCTAGGTTTATTTACCGTACTATCAGTCTTGCTTAATTAAATGGCAGCATAAAAACAGCTAAAACATGATTGTCAACTAAAAAAAACACAATTTACTCTTAATAACAGTAAATATAAAAGACAAAAACAAAGACAAAAACAAAGTAATAGGAAAATTAACATCTTTCACAACCTGTGAAATCCCTCAAATACAAAAAGGTATCAAATTGAATAAAATGCTTAAAAAATACTCAACATATAATTCTATATTCATGAATGGTCCGATAAGATGTATTTCTGCACAAAAAGTCTTTTATTTGGATCTGTAAACAAGATTTGTATTCTTACTAGTTACAATTACTTGAGATTACCAAATAATTTTCCTACGTAATTTTAAAGATCCCAAGTAAAGATCCATTTTAAATGTATTCTATTATATATATGACAAAAAATGAATGCAAGTTACTCTTTCAGACATAACACATTATAACTTCAAAAGTACATGGATTATAACCGTCTTTAACTTCAAACACATAATTTGCACCATATCTGAACATAAACCAGATCAATAAAACAGCAATATGGCAGTGGCATAAAATATAATATTTTTCAGCTGCACTAGATATATAATATATTTATAACAACAGTCTCAACTAAAGTGTCTACCAGCCTTCAAAATGAAGGCTTATGTAACAATCACAGTCAAAAATTTCTCACAATAAAATGAGATCACCCTAAACAAGTGCTGGTTTTTCATTTTAATCTTGCATATATGTGTTATTTTTCTACGCCCAAGTGCATCGATCAATGGTGTAAATTCTCACATACCATTGCCATGTTTCACAGAGCACCCTGTTGCAACAATCTCGTAATAAATGGTAACTCAAAGAGTCTAGTCTCTCTTCCGTGATCTTTATAACTTAGCCTAAGATTTCATGAGATGGCCCTAGCTGGTTGTCACAGACAGTTTCTGTGACATCAGCTTACTCTTTAACACCTGGATAAGGTCATACACCTTTAAAGAAGAACCAACTTTCATTCCTGTTAAACTTGCTATCTGCTCTTTGTTAAGCTTCACAAATTGTTCTCCATTTATGTTCTGAAAAATAAAATGAAAGCAATGAAATGTAATGCCTTTCAGAATAAAGTATCAATAATAATTTAAACAATTTAGACAGGAGATACCATTACTAATAAGTTTTCTCGGATACTAAGTAGAATTTATGAATGGCATTAATAAATTTTACAAAGTATCTGAGAAAATTTATCCTTTTAATTAATTCTAAATAATTACTAAGACTCCAATGAAAAGCAATCAGACAGTTACGATACAAGATTACATGAACGCACTTCTCATACATAATAAAAAGACAAAAGAAGCATTATGTTTTCAGCAGGTTGCACAAATAATGGTCTTATCTGAAATCAACAAGTCTTTAATTCCTCATAATTCTAGACATCAATCACGATCAAATGCAGACTAGTCTAGCAAATTAACAATGAGTGAAGTTTTTTACGCCTGAGCAGACAAATTATGCATGCTGTAATAATTACCTTTCTGTGAAATATCTCCACATAAGCACTGCAATCATTATACTTTAGAAAATGGCACACATCTATTACACTCCACTGATCTGGAGACAAACTTTGCTGTCTTTGGGTTAAATACAGAGTCTGTGGCTCTGAAACACTTTGTTGGGGACCAGGCAATAAATTTGACTGGTTTCCCAATATTACAGTCTGACTTCCAGCAGTTGCTGGGCTAGTTGTTGGAACCAGTCCAGAATTTTGTCGGATAGGAATGGCACCAGTCAAATGGCCAGCGAGCATACTAGTCTTTAAAGACTGTGGCACAGAGTTAGGAGAGGAATTAATTCTCTCCAGTAAAGCACTTTTTGTAGCTGTACTGACATTGGTTGGTAATGAAGATGTTCTGCCAGGTTTGCTTGCTGACTGATTATTTACAGTGTTCAATCTGGGAAGACTGGTGTTTGATGGTGTTCGATTTAATGCTGGTTTTATATCTGGGATGCTGGTTAATGATGAATGATTCCTGTCTAATGAAGGCACTTGTCTAGGACTTTCTAATGGTTCAGATTTCACTGAAAATAATCATAGATCTTGTTACATACTGATTGTGTGATTTGTAAATTCAATACTCTCACAAAATATGATCATTTACTTTATAGCTTTCAGAAAATAGAGAAATGATATAATCTGATAATTTTACATTTAATATTTCATCCTAGAGCAAATACAAAGAATATAAAATATAAATGGAATTATCAGAAAAATACTATGTCATAAAAAATGCATTACTAAACAAAACTATTTGCACCTGTAGGAAATTTTTTAAATAATTATTTTTAACACAAACACTGTGATAAAGCAGGCTTCCAAGTAACATGAGATAATATTTCACCAATAAAAAAAACACAAGCTGTTATATTTTCACATGTGGCTATGCCGCTCATAAACATATTTCATCTGGTGTCCACTCTGCCAAATATATTTTACAGGCAAAACTAATATATATACATTCTACCTTTATAAATAAAGATAACTGACTCAAATAAAATATTACTGTGCACTTTTTATAAAAAAAAGTTTTGCATCTCAAACTAAGGAGCAGTTTATATTCTTTTTCTTTGCATAGGCTTTATTGGCTCTCACAAATAAAAATGTTTTTCATACCAGGTTCTATATTAAATAATGCAAAATTACGGCATTTAGATTTTTAAAGCATATCCATTATCCATTTGGTTATGTGATACATTGATCAAGTAAAATAATCCAAAATTCACTATAAAATACTTCCAAGCATTAACGAAGGAGCAAAATTCTGCCTTAATAATTTACCTACAAAACTAGATTTACTCTTCTATAAAAATGGCAATTTTAAATTGTAAGAATCATTTACCTTCAATCTTAGGTTTGGTGATTTCAGCAAGAAGCTCAGACACTTGGGGCACCTCTTGCGGTCTTTCTGTCATCTCATCAGGTCGTGTGTTTAATATACGATGACGCATTATGTCAAACTGGGAAGACATAGATTTCACACCTGGAGGAGGTGACAATGGGTTCTTTGGCTTCCTCTCTGTAAAATGTAGAAAGAAGATTTTTTTTTATCTTGGCAATCTGCTTTAATTTAAGACAGTTTAACAATAACAACAACTACTACCGTATAAGTGGTTTTTTCTGCGGGCTCCAAATTCTGCGGTTTTTCCAAATTTTGGCATGTTTTTATTTCTGCAGACTTTATTTCTGCGGCACATTCTTTGGACAAACGTGATTTAAATTCTGCGACTCGTCTCATCAAAATCTAAGTCACATTTCTCAACCTATTTTTTCGCACGTACACATTTGTTTAGTTTCGTCACCGCAAAACAATAAAGTAATTACAAACAAATGTACTGTTTGCTTGCAAACAAATATAATGCGCAACAATAGAAAGGTATGCAGCTTTTGATCATCGTGAAATGACGTGTGAAAAATATAACCCTGTAGTATCTTTAATTGTATAATTAAAAAGTTGATAGCAGTTGACCGTAAATCAGATGACAATTATAGTAGACGACGATTATTTAGCAGTATAAGGGTTGAAATGGTTTGAAATAGCTTTATTCTTAAATTAGCATCATTAACAATTAGTACATCCTTTAAAAACACAGATTACATAATAAGCCTACAGCAATTTAATACAATTTGAAAACCCCCATACCGTTATAATACGTTAGTCGTTATTACTGTAGACGAAACAGGTCATAATGCAGGACACATATCGTAGCAGGTGAGTGAAATATTTTGCGGTTTTTATTTCTGCGGTCATGAAACTGACCGCAGAAAACGCAGAAATAAAGTCACCGCAGAAAAAAACACTTATACGGTATTGGATTCTTTAAAATGTTGTATTTCTTAAAAATTGTTAATTAGAATATGAATTAATAACACCACAAAAAGGAAGTGAAATAATAATTTGAGGCAATCATTCGCCTATTATTTATAAAAAAATATACATGTATATGGTTCGAGTACTAATTTTTTTAAACAAGTTATAACTTTATTTGAATGTTTTTTCAAACATTAACAAAATCTAACATTTAGCCCTTCAAAATCTTTCACAACGATACTAAAACGTCTAATACAATTAAAACTTACTCTTACGTGGTCCTTTGTAGATTTGGGTTTTACCCTTTCTTTTCTTGGCAGAACCTGGATTTACTTGTGGTGCATTTGGTACCTCAGCTGAAACGCAGTTGAATATTTGTATTTAAAACACTGAAATTAACACTGAAAGAAGATATCATCATTTTAGCCTAGGCCAGCAATGTTTAACATCAATTGATTTCTTGATAAATCTAGGTTAATCTTTACTATGCAATCTATTCAATTAAACAGTTCCATTAAAAATATAAACTAGTCATTTTTCTATGATCAGAAAATCTTAACAAACATCTTTTTAAATTCTGTTGACAATATTCCATCAGTTTTTATTTGTTATATGGTAAAGGCATAAAACTATGAAAATCATATGAAATTCTACACTTATAAAGTGCCTATTTTGTTTAAAGTACAACCGTTAGGAAGCAAAATTCAAATATATACTGATAGACTGATCCTGCTTAATAAAGTACTAGTGTAATGCACATTTTGATTAAGAATCAATGTTCATTCCATTCATTAATCAGCAACATTTTTATTTCATATAACAACACACTATGAAACTAGTATTACTTTTCAGTCTCGGACCCTCGACTGGGTAGTTCATCACCTCACACCAGCCTATAGGATAGAGATCTGGAGACTCACAGTCCACCCACTGGTCATACTCTGACTCCCAACCATCAAAATGGATTCTCAACAACCGTCCAACAACCTTAGCAATAGTTGCCACACAAATCAATCTGAAAATAAGACCATCTTGTATTTCATTGTATTGAATAAGCATTCAGTCTTTCCATGATCAATGAATGTAGATCTAGAATTGTCTGCTAGGTAGCACAAACAGCTGTTACACCCGTAAAATCATTATAGAAGACATAAAATTAATCTTAACATCTATAAACACAATAATGTCTTTTTTTTCTGTATGTAAGTTAAGCCATGAAATCAAAGAATAAAAAAGTTTCATAAATAATTTTTAAAAGTTCAATCGAGACAAAGTAATTGGTAAAACAGATGAAATCTATCACTTATTAGGCATGTAAAATATTCTTACCTTGGTTCCATCAGATCAACAGCTTCCAGCTTCATCCCAGACTTAAAACCATGCTTTGGAATTTCCTATACACAAGAAATAACGAAAACTATAATTCAACAAATTGTTAAATGGAAATTATCTTAACTATATACTAATCAATGTCTAGTTACTAAATATAATGCACCACTGAAAAAGTTCATCATATCAACTGAATGTGATAGCCAACTAAAATTTATAAATCAAGCTAAAATAATGTAATTATTTAACCAGGTTTTGAATTTGGACCTCTCTTATGTCATTGTAAGACAGTAATTTTTTATAATATTCAACTTAAGTTACCAACAGCATCTAGTCTCGTTAGACTGGGTGCATAACTGTATACAGCTTGTAGATGTTATAACTTTTTCCACAAGGACTAAGGAAGTTGAAAGCATTTTAAACAAAAATAATCAACCAATAATTACCTTATCAAACAGTTTGACCGGTGCAGCAGTTGACCTAGTCTGTTTGAGATAATCAAACCATCGGAATGGTGTCTTGTAGCCTCTAGGTGGTGTCAGCTGTAGACCATTTACCTCACAGAAACCTACAGGAAAGATACAAGGTGATGTTGCATGGTAGCAGAACCAATCAGTTCCATTCTGGGCGATCGAGCCATCAATACCTATCATAAGGTAGTTGTTCTTCAGTACCTAAAACAAATCATTCAAGCATTACATACTGATGTAGCATAGCATAACAAACACTACTCATGTTACATTTGATGCCCCAGAAAGCTTAGGCACTTAACATTGATTCTATTTTATGTAAAGATTTAATGCCCCAAATTATTTTCTTGCAATACTAATTTAAACGATTTACACTGGCCTTGCAGAATGTGTGTTTATTGATTTAACAAGCTTCAAATCAAACTGTCCATATTTATTTTAATATATCTAGCAGTATACAGTTTGGTCACACAACATTTATGTATAGTCATTTATAGTTTGATCTGGCTCTAGACTGTTGACATAGGCTACACATTATTCTTTACAGCATTTGAATAATTCATATTCAGAAATGGCGCAACAATTCCAAGAAAAACTCGATAAATAAAATGACTAAGTTGTTCTAAATATCATCTGATAGAGTAGGAAAGAAATTTACCTTCATGACAGTGGCAACACAAACTGCAGATAGATTAAGGGGATCAATTGCTTCCAATTTTTGTCCTACCTGGAAAGCGTAACCATCTGCTGGTGGCCTCTTCAACTAAAGCAGAAAAGATACAATTCAAAAATTTTAAACAGTTACTTTATGACTCATTGTTTTCAATTTTTCTACTAGAATTCAAAATGTGCTATTACTTCTTACAAAGATCATCATATAATGAACATGAACTTTGAATTATCCAACTCTCCCCAGGGTATTAAATTTTATGTGGAAAATTTTACAATACCAAGTTAAATTATTTCAGCAAATCTCGTGGTTCTTACACTTCACTGAAAACAAGTTGTAATTTTACTAAATTCATCTAATGTAAATAACTGTAACTACTATTTTACTGAATGTATCTAAAATTTATCTAATGTAAACAACTATAACTACAACTAAATTGATATGTACAAATATACGGTCAATGGACAGCATATAAAGGTATATAACTTACCCTGGGGAACATATCTGGTGTTGCATCATTAACATCATATTTCTGCATAGCAACCTTACTAAGGCACTGGTTTCTATATTCTGAAACATTAAAAAAAGTTTTGATCTAATTTTTCCTATAGTTTTCCAACACCTGTACATAATTTTAAATTATATAGAGGATATTAGTTTGTTTGTGTGTAAGATGAAATTTTATTTCAACGAGTGGGCTTTAAAAACAGTATTCTCACCAGGTGCTTAGCTTCACAGTGATGTTGATCATTTTTCCTGTAATTTAGTGATGTTGATCATTATTCCTGTAATGTTGGTTGATTTTAACTCAAGCACTCAAGGAACAAATAACACAACACAATGAAACGGTTTTTACTAAGTCAAAGGCAATAACTCTACAAATACTGGATCCACAAGCGAAACCCAAGGTGCACAACTAAATATGCTGAGCAACATTCCTGTAAGGTTTCATGACTCCATGTCAAATCCTTTTTGAGTTACATGCAACACAAGTTGAAAATTGCAAAAAAATTCTAAGTCAAGGGCAATAACTCTAAAAATACTAAATAAATCCACACGAAAATACCCAGGTGCACAACTACACATTCAACATTCCTGTAAAGTTTCATGACCCTAGGTCAAATACTTTTTGAGTTACGTGCAACACAAGTTGAAAACTGCAAATTTTTACTAAGTCAAGGGCAATAACTCTAAAAACACTAAATAAATCCAGACGAAAATACCCAGGTGCACAACTGCACATGCTGATCAACATTCCTGTTAAGTGTAATGACTCTAGGTCAAACACTTTTTGAGTTACATGCGACACAAAAGAGAACGGACGGACGGATAAGGGTAAATCTAAATACCCCCCTTAAGTGGGGGCACAAAATAACTTTCGACACCAACAAAAAAACTAATATCTCTGTCTATATTTAAGAATATCCAAATAAATATAACTTAATAACTAAAAGTAATGCCAAATACAGGGCTCGCGCTGGCAGGAGCCAATGAGCAAATTGGCTCCAAAACTATTAAATTGGCTCAAGAAAATCATGATTGGCTCCAACTTACGAAAAGTATAACTTTTGGAATATCCAGTCTAAATTTAGCATTTGCTATTTTAAGAATGGAAAAGTACACATTTGGTTTTCCATTTACAACTTCCGCTTTACCGCTTCTTATCACAAAACACTGCGACACAGTCTCCTTTTTGTGGGGTCATTGACTGGTCTATATTTGTTACTTCCCTTCCAAATAAAATATCGTTATAAACAGTAACACAGTCTAATACACTGACCTCATGGTATGTTTACATGTTTATCAGCTGATAAATATGACACTAATTGGTGTGAATTGTTGAATGTGCACTGGATAATTGGTCTTTATATTCAATATGAAACAATAACTAGCGGCATCTTAAGATTATCGCCAATCATATCAACAGCTTGGTTATGAAATGGACGACTTTACGGTAAGTTTGCATTCATATAATTTTATTGTTGTTGATAAAAAGATCAAAGGAATTATGAGTTATAGAATAGAAGTTTTTTTTTTTAAATTGCAAATTAAATCTCACCTAATAATGGCTCCAAAAAAGCATAAATTTGACAAAGAGTATATTTAACAATTAGTATTCCTGAAAAAAAAATTGACCTTACTTTAATTGTACATAACCTCTATCTGGAGCATTCTTGTTACAAATGGCATACATGACTGTGAAATTTTAATGGAAAATTCAAGAAGCATACAACATATTTTTAGGAAACTTATGCTAATTACTTTACTCTTATAATGACAATTTGGCTTTTTTCCCTGAATTATGTTTAGTTTTGAACTTTTCAATATTCTTTTCTTCTTCAATAATTATTCTTCTTACTCTCAAATGTTTCTGTTTTTATAATTTCAGATACAGATAGTCCTCAAACCAAATCTTTGGCATTAACCAAGCAAGCTGAAGCAGCACATTGGAATGTGGTTTTGATGTCACTGTCATGCCACTAGCTTAGATTTTATGAAAACATTGCTGACCAAATTAGCCTGGAAAATGTTATTCTTATAGCTACTGAGCTGCAAGCTTTTATGATCAGTTTTAAAGTGATTAAAATGTAGCTACCAAAATAAAGTTGGATATACATGTAGTTTATGTTTTTTTTTCTAAATATCTCATGCCTTTTTAAGGTGTTCCATATATGAACTAATGCTATAAATAAGTCTGACAATTGAATTCTGGTTATTTTGCAGTACCATTGCCTTCTTGAAAATAAAATACAGGCACGCAATTTTCGCCGCGAAAAATTGGCTCAAAGAAAAAATCTGCCAGTGCTAGCCCTGCAAATACCAAATCAATAGTACAGCAATCTAGATGGCATACTTTACTTTTATTGAACATTTAATGACAATATAGGAACAGTAAATCTTTACAATACCTGCAGAACAATGTAGTTTATGTCCAACCTGCTGTGACCAGCCCACTTGATGTATCAATGCTGACCTCATGTGACACCAAAACTCATCTTCCTCCTATAAATTAGTATAATAATATAATTTACTTTTAAGCTCATATTGGTACATTTTCTTACATATAATTTACTTATGTTTATATTGGTACATTTTTTTTATACACTCTTACTTTTTTGAAAGTTTAAATTGTATATAATGTGTATATTTTGATGTAATCTACTGGAAATGACATAAAAGGCATTTGAGATGTCTTTACTAATCGTATCATAAAGCAACAAAATAAAGCTTCTTTCAAGTTCACAAACTGTACCAAACTTTTAAATCTGCGTAGTAAGTAGAAACATTCACCTCCGATTAACCAAAAATATTTTTAAAATGAACAAAACAGTTTTTCTAACTTTATTTATCTACAATGAACTCTTAACTTAAAAACTTCTCACTTTATTTCATAACTAAAACTAACAAATGTCTAATAAACTCACTTTGGAATCAGCATATCTCAATCTTAAACGCCCGCCAATCACCTCTTCCACTGTAGCAACACGCATGGCAGACACGCACATTCTGTTGACCACTTCAACATGCATATCTTTATGGAACTTGTGATTGTTTATTCCTTCCTGTACTTTACTGAAGAAGTTACTGGGTAATGTACGGGATCCAGTCAGTCGTTTTACTAGATAGTCCTTCCAATCTGAATACTTGTGCTGAATAGCTGTCAAAATATGAATTCAAATTGATTTTTTTCTATACAACAAGCTAAAATCAATTAATTATAAAATGAATTATCCAAAAAAATAAACAAGAGCTGTTTGTACAACAGCATGCTCAACTTTTCTCAGCGCTTTATTGTAAAGTTAAAACAAGAGCTTGGATAATATAGAATTCTCTAAGTTCAAAAAGGGTCATAATTCAGTCAAAATCAATATGAGGTATGGGTCTTGGATAATGACCTCCTTTAATACTCTAAAAGAAGCCTGTGAACTTTCAACCAATTCCTTCAGTTGTTTCGCAGATACCAACTGGCAAGCAAAACTTAACCAAAGTGTGACACCAACACTAAAATTAGAACAATAGCTCTCCCTATTCTATGAATAATCAAGCTAAACACTGGAGATCAAGTATCTTGCAAATAAACTCGACACACTGCAAAATTTAATAAAATATTTCTTTTCAATCACGAAATTATTTAAGAAATCTGTTTCTCATAACATTCTCTGAAAGTTAAGATATCTTACTTTTTGGAGGAACAAGGGGCTTTCCACTAGTTGCACACCAGCCCACTGGGTGGACTTCCTTGTGACACAAGTTGATCCAGAAATCTTTATGGCCATCTCCACTAAAACCCTCATATCTCAGCAATGCTTTATATCCTGAATTAAACAACATAAACATCAGTGTAAATTACACCTCAAAATATGTATGAACTTCTAACATGCAAAACCAAAACAAATCATATGAATACTCGAGTATAAAGATATAATTTGTTAAATATTTTTATATAAACTTTGTAAACACTAAAATTATGTAGTTTCAATAATGTTATGCAGATTCTCAGAGTTGTAACATAAAATGTCGCTGTTATTTAACACACATTAATACTGTATGTAAACAGAATAAAATGTTCAGAAACAAAATAATATGCTTCTATTTTAAGAAAGATTTTGACTGTTCAGTAATGTTTTAATACAAGAGTGATCTGCTCTTGCGGAAAATTCAAAACTTACTTCTTCCATACACATAGTTAGAAATTATTCATTGTCGAAAATAAAAACACAAATTTTGTAAACAAAATACAGAAGGTATGCAGCTTTATACACTTTATATTATGGCAAAGTATACATTTTGGGATAAAGGCTAGTATTATTTGTTTTACTGATAAATCAAAGGACAGATTTGTATAAAAATTTGAAGAAAAATGACCAACTCAGAAATTCCTATTCTGAAATGACTTATGGGACACTCACCAGCTAATTTTATGACAGTGGCTATCCAGTAAACCATACTCTGAAGATCACAGTCAAAATTTTGAACTTCTACTTTCATACCAACAGTAATATTGTCCCAACAATCTGTCATAGGTACCTGTAAATCACACAAAAGAAAACTTTATCATTTGCGGCATGATCAGATGTAGCACACTTATATACAGTATTCTATTGTCTGCCTTATATGTAAAGTAAATATAGTCAAGTGAATTAATTCAAGTTCTATATATTTGGAACAGTCATCTGTAGCTCATAAAGAAAAGGAAAAAATATGTAGTCAGGGCCTTTTACAAACCATTAAAACAATTTAAACATTTAAAACCAAATTTCACTTTCAGTAAGTGATAAATATCCTTTGGTACAATGCACCATTATCAAAATACACATACTTACATGTTTGAAACAACTAACAGGTGCCCCTTCAGCATGGCTCCCTAGAATGTATGATCCCCAGTCAAAACTTCGCACAACACCTACAAAAATGTGTAAGTATTAAAACAATAAAATACAATAGTATACAATAAATAAAACAACAATTTAAAATAAATAGTAATGTACAAAATACAAGACCAAAAACAATTATAAAATATTTCTTAAAATAATCTTTAGACTTTTATCTAAACAAAAGGTAAAATCTTTGCCATATGTACAAAAGAAATGTGATTAAAAAAACATCCAATCACAAGAGAAAGACAAACTCAACAATATGAACATATATTGTTTCAAAAGTGTACAAGCTTCCACACCTGTGTATCAAAGCAGACTTGACTGGTCAATTTCTTTCAACACAAAGTATAACAATAATTACCTTGCTTATTATTACTGTGTTTATTCCTTTGTCTAATAAACTTTCCCGACTTTGGTTTCTTCACAGATACTTGCTTCTTCTGCAAAAAACGAGAAGATTTTTAGTTTTATGGCTTTAAAATTTTAAGAACCAAGAAACTGTCTTTAAAACAACTGTAAATGATACTACTTCCATTTAATAAACTAAACAAAGTTTTCAATGTTTGCTTCATAATCCAACAAATCAAAACATTGAAATCTTAAAAATTTATGAAGCAATATTTCCGAAACAAACCCAAGAAAACTGTTGGATATGTATGCCACAAAAAATTACTAAAAGACAAAACTGGATGATAAAAACTTACTGGTATGTTAAGTGGCTGTGGTGGGATATATTCCTCACCATTAGCAGCAGCTCTTGAACAAGCAAGAGAACAAAACCGTTTTGATTTCGAGTAGAATGCGTGTTTTATCCCAACAGCACCACATCTCTCACATGTAGCTACAATATAAAAGTATAACCAAATACATAATCATACATAGATCATAATTGCATACTTCAGAGAAGAATATAAAAACATCCTATAGATCTGTACTGTCAACAATCAATACCATAAACTTCATTCTTTTCTCTCTTCGTAGTTATAAATCAATTACTTCAAAGAAATTGTATCTGTTCACATCTGTTACACATATATTCATTAACCTCACGTTTTTGGACATCAGCTGTGGCCATCTATTCTATAATTCTTCTTTCATGTGATCTTTCGCCAAATTTGAAATTATTTGCATATAAATTCAACAAGACTTTTGAGTTCATATTCAAAATTGCTTAAAAAACTTATTCATTAAATAATCTTAAAGATACCCACCCATACCATCATTTCCATTCATGAACCTATAAGGTGACTGGTCTATTACAACTTGACTTCTTTGACCATCTTCTTCCTCTTCATCTGACATACTTTCACTCATTTCTTCAAGGCTTTCAAAATCTCTTTCAAACTGGTAAGTTGACTCTTCTCCCTATTAAGATGAAAGACACTGTAATTAAATGTTGTTTTCCTTGACTTATACTCATATTGAAAGTTTCTTGCATTTTCCTCAATTTAAACTAAAGAATACTGCTTTCCAAGATCTACAGTCTTTACTGTTAAAATATCTCTTATATTATCCATAGACAATGCCTTTTCAACAAACAGATGACCCTTCTGGTCACCAAACAAAAAATATAATTAACAGAACCATAGTATGCTGAATATATTACCTCCACATTACTGCTATCATACATTGTATCAGACTTGCCTCCTTCACCCGATACAACACTGGAGGCATCTTCGTTCTTCTGAAATGGATCGATCAGTGAGCTGGAGTCACCAGCTTCACAACCAATTTCCCAACTATTCCAGTCAGACTCTGTCTGCTCCTGTAAGACAAAATCAGTTTATAACATCTGAATAACATACTTTTTATTAAAAATAGTAAATTAGACACATGATCATGACAATTTCATGTTCACCTGGAAACGGAAGTACAAGTCTGCAAGTATATAGACCATTTGTCTTTTTTATTCAAAATCACAAAGCAAAGTTTTTCGGACCGTTTTTATTTTGAATTTCATTCAGTACCAGCAGGATGTGTTAAGACAATTTCATAAAAGAAATACTAAAATAGAATTTTTCAACCATTTCTGTGTCCTCTGCAAAAATTTATTAACCTTTCTCTGCCTGGAATGGGGCTTTAGTAATTGCGCATGGGCATTCAAACTGGATTTCCCCGGGTGTTGCTTATTTTAAATGTCGCAAGTTCATAGGATGGTCCTATGTTTCCCCCTTCATTAAATTAAGCGTTTATACACATTAGAATTAAAACAACTTCTCTTTTCAACAGTGGCAATCTTCTGTACTAGACCTCTATGTTTTTTTTCAGGAGTAAATATGTTTTGATATGGACAGTGATGAACATTAAGCAATCCTGAGAATAATGGTGCTAGATAGAGAAGCACTTTCCTACTCTGATAAAGTTTGTAACTCTACAACATGTATTTATTTATCTCTCAACATACATGTGTAGAATAACTTTGACTACAGAATAATAAAATTCATGTACATTAGTCACAACAAATTTATTAAATATTGTCAGTGAATTTTATGTTTATAAACAACACTAACATGACTAAGAGAAACCAAAACCGGCGTCAGAACTAGCTGTCAATTGATGTCTGGCCGTAATTTGATATAAAACAAATACAATATCAATAAAGAAACAATTATCATTCACATTTGTCACTTACCATTACGCTCCTTCGCCAAATGGAAAATTTTTCACAAGAATTTAGAAATCTAGCCGTTCAAAAATATCCAAAACAATCCCAGCCTGACCTGCTTCGTGTTAGGCCCCTGGATGGGAGCTGAAAAGGTCAATTGGATAGAGAAATGTGATTGGTTGTAATTTGCGTATTTCTGCAAAGCTGCAGAATGTAGCCAATCACTGCACCTCTTGTATGAGCTATATTATAATTTAGCCCGGGAATGATAAAGCTGAAAGCGCATGTGCGAAATTTGCATATCATTTATTACACGCATTTGTGAAAATTGTGTAGGTGGTTGCGTACCACTAAAATATATGAGATCGAAAATCCCTTGAGAGCAGTTTAAACAAAAATAAACAAGTACATTTACAATGTCTGTCACGAAATACTGGACGTGGGTACTTTTGCTGAATGCCAGTATCCTCCGAGATGGGAAAAAGACACTTCACCCAGACAATTTTGAAGACACTTTGAACACCCCTCAAGACATTTCACCCCAAAAATTTAGAAAGACTCGTACTTTTACGAACACCACTTATTATTTCTAGAGGAAATATTTTAACATAAAAATAAACCTTTTATTTGTTATTTTTCTTTATTTTTAGAAATGTTTGATATGCCAAGAGCAAATTTTATATGTCCAAATATGGTTGGTTCAAATAGATGGGTTCAAACACATTTATTTTAGCTCGATTGCGAAACAAGTTCTTGCAACTTATATTAATCACTTTCGAGTCCGCTTCCTGGAACTAACCAGTACTGGTGTCATATGAAGAAACATGGTCGTGACCCGAGTAGGGCTCGAACTCATGATCTCTGGGTTGAGAGGCAGACACCTTAACCACTAGGCCACGCTCTCCTTCGATGTGATGTAGTTAAAGCTTAATGAGGGTCCATCCGCCCTTTCGGGCACAAAATGCAGCTTGCGCTGTCGAGTACGGACCCCGGACATGTCACCAGTCATGTCCTTAAAGAGTTAATTTTGAAGCACAAAATGGTGATAATTTACCTCCATGCAATTTCCACGGAGTATTAGCCAAAGATATGAATTTTGAGCCGAAAAGTAGGTCACTGTACGGCGGTCAATGAGAACCTAAATGTACAGTAACCAGTGACAATAGGAAAGGTGTTTTAGCCCTGAAAAGGGCTGTTGGTGCCAGCTATAGGCCTGCCTTACAAGCCGTCAATCTGTACTAGGGGCTCACGCACCCTAGTACACCATCCTCGTCGTCTCAGCCTACTGTGTAGGGCCACTCCCCTCGGCATTAGTCAGGACATCGGCAGCTGGTCCGCAGAAGTGACAAAGTAGTAGTTCCGTAGTTACCGCCCACGGTTGAAGGCAAAATTTAAGTTGTCTACCAGCCAAGTTGTAAATCTTCTGCCGATGCCCTGTGCCTTCTCAGCGACGTGCACGCTCCGAGGGGAAGTGAGAAGACCGCTCCCCTTCAATAATAATCACAGTCCAAATATCATTCATTTGCAAAGAAAAGTCAGAGACATAGATATTATGATAGACTTTATCTATATTTCTAAAAAAGTATTGCATTGCGCTCTAACTGTCAGATTTAGTGTCACGTTGTAACTGATATGTCAAATGTATCATTTTCTGAAAGTGGTCGCTACATATGTAATTCCAATTAAGGATCAAATGTTGGTCTTATCTTTGTGGAATGAGCTCCCTAAAAGTATGTATCAGAAGTTATCAGTTCCTTGTGAAAGTAAAGGACCATTTACTGGTAAACTGCTTAAATTGGCAGGAACGACGTGGTGGCTGAACTGTGCTCTGGTGAATTCAATTAAGTGGCTTAATGTGAATAAACTACCAATACGACCACCAGTAGGGGAAACCGGGCATATTTAGCGTTACATTTTATATATCTTCGTATTTGATGATTAAATGACATTGTGTGTATGACTACCTTATATACATTTGTATAGGCTATGTTTTTCTTTTGCTTTTTAAATAAACATCGTGCATTCCTGAACAATGTTAAATAAGCATGCATTCGTAATTTAGGTTCCTGGTCGTTATACTAATACACTGGATAACATATATGTAATATAACTCCGTGAATGTTTAAATTGGAATTCAAATACCATATTCAATATTTGTCTGAATTATACTATGCAAAGTTTGATTATCATTTTTCATTTTCTTTGAAATTTAAATTTGTGATAATCAATTTCTTTCTACATATATGTCACACACATAACGTAAAAAGTCTATACTATGTCTAAAGGTCCAAAATGGAAATTTATAAAAGTTTGTTGTGTGATTCTAGAAACATAATGTTGTTATTGTGTATGTATATATTTTTCAATTGATACATATTGTATCTGCTTTTCAAGCCTTTTGAATGTTTCACGATGTGACATATTATTTAACCGTATATTATAAAATAAATTTTTCCTTTTTATGTACAGTTGAGTTCACACTAAACTTCCCACCCTTGTGCACTTCTAGTGCACTAAAGCTGAACTAGAAGTGCACTAGAAGTGCACTACTAGTGCACTAGACCATATGACCAGGCTGACCAGGGAAGGTGACACCTAAATGGTTTATTGGATAATTGCATATCAAGTGACAAGGGGGGATCTATTGTTAAGCTGCTGTAAGAAAAACAAAATTTGGGAATATAATTGTGGCCTATTCATGAATATTAATAAGTAAATTTTAAAATAAGCAGTTTTAACATTTTAAGTGATATCATGTTAAAGCTTAAATAAAAAACAAATATATTAATTGTAATCATATTTTTCTTAACCCGTATTTAACTGTAAGTGTAAAATAATACCCCTTAAAATCAAATTTATAGAATTAATAAGGTTATTTGTAAATAATAAATATGCTCCATAATGGATATTTAAATAAGTGTTTTTAAATGGCCATGCATTTCAACTTTTCTAGTGTACAAATTGGAAAATCTGATAATTTTGGCCGAATTAATCTAGTTTGTCATTAATCTAGTTTTTCATAAGCTCAAACAAATCAAGGAAAGGTTTATATTTAAGCTAAAATATTATTTCTATAATAATATATAACTTAGAGATAATTCCTCATGTTGAATATTGAAAGAGAATATTTAAAAAAAATCGATTTACTGTGATAATTTAGTATTCAACTGTGTAATGCTTGCATATGTTTTAAAGATATAAATAATTAAAATATTATCCATTAAATAAATAAATTTGATAACTTTATACATGATTTCAATATTAAAAATTTAATGTATAAGGGGAATTACTTTTAATGAAGAGGAAAATCTCAAGTCATCCTGTGTATTGAGGGACTGTTTTATTATACAACTCTCCTGCTGATAGGAGAGCCTCAGGGTAAATTAAAACAAAGAACAGTCAATTTTGCAGATTATAAGTATGCATTGAAATTCCCTTGTTTTCTCAAAATGCATATTAGTCATTAGCCTGGGATTCATCAGGCGTTGGATCCCAAGCTTAAGTTAGTCATATAGATAAATGACCATAATTTTTGTATGGTCAAATATACAAAAAAAAATCAAAATGGCAGAATGCGTATTAGATATATTATTGTCTCTAAAGCGGAATTTTCTATATTTATTCATTTATCCACATTTCTTCCCATTCTGAATAATAATAAATAACTTAAGAGGACATTCCTGATGTTTAAGATTGAAAGAGAATATTAATTCATTAATTTTAAAACAATCCATACACTGTGAAATTATGTTTTTCAACCATGAAATGCTTGCATTCTTTTTTAAAGATATAATAATTAAAAAAATCCATGAAATAAATAAAATTGATAACTTTATTCAAGATTTCTATATTAAAGATTTAATGTATAATGGAATGCTTTAATACAAGAGGAAAGTCTCAAGTCATGCTGTGTATTGGTATTTTTCTGAGAGAGCGACTATTTTCATTACACTGGTCTCCTGCTGATATATAAGAGGGCCTCAGGGTAAATAACAAAAATGCAGATGTATGCAATATTTATTTAAAATTTCCTGTTTTTTTTTTTTCCAAAATAAAGGTAAGACATAGATAAATGACTATAATGTTTGTATAATCAAATGTAAAAAATAATCACAATGGCATAAACGCATGTTAGATATCATTGTCATTATTGTCTTTGAAGTGGAATTTTCTAATCTTATCATAAACTAGAACTCTGCGAGTCGGATGTGTCGCCTTGTGAACAATGTAGTTTAGGGGAAATGGCCAGGACAAAAATAAAATATGAAAAATAACAAAGGGCAATAACTAAAAAAATAATAAGTGCAGAGCAGCAGTTTCTGTACACTGCACTTCTTATCAATAAGATCTATCATTCTATGATGTTTCAAGTCCATAGCTTTCATACTTGAGGAAAAATGACCAGGACAAAAATAAGTAAGAAAAGCAACAAAGGGCAATAACTCAAGAATAAGAAATGCTGAGTATCAGTTCTTATGCACTGCACTTCTTTTTAATGAGATCTATCATCCTATGAAGTTTCAAGTCCATAATTTTTATACTTTCAGAGAAATGGCCTGGACAAAAATTAAGTATGAAAATAAACAAAGGGCAATAACTCAAAAAATAAGAAATGCAGAGTACCAGTTCTTGTGCACTGCACTTCTTCTTAATGAGACCTATCATCCAATGAAGTTTCAAGTCAATGGCTTTTATACATAAGGAGAAATGGCCCGGACAAAAATAAAGTATGAAAATTAACAAAGGGCAATAACTCAAAAATTAGGAAGTGCAGAGTACTGGTTCTTGTGCACTGCATTTCTTCTTAAAGAGATCTATCATCCTATGAAGTTTTCAAGTCCATAGCTTTTTTAGTTGAAGAGAAATGGCCCGGACAAAAATTAAAGTATGAAAATTAACAAAGGGCAATAACTCAAAAATAGAACTGCAGAGTACCGGTCCTGTGTGCACTGCACTTCGTGTTATTGAAAGAAGCATGCATACCAAGTTTGAAGTCAATCAGACTCATAGTGACTGAGTTATGCTCCGGACAAGCTATAGCGGACGCCGAAGCCGACAACGACGCCGACACAGACGCCGCCGCCGACAAAAGTAACCCCTATATGTCACCTTTTCAAGGCGACACAAAAACTGGTTTAATATCAATATCAGTGTTAACTATTCTAGAAAGACCTCATATCAATATTTATCCACATTTTTTGCAATTCTGCATTAAAATTTTCAGCATCTTTTAGTTTCTGAACTTGGAAATGTTAATTTTTTCTATTATAGATTTGACAAATTTGCCTTGTCAGTTTTAACACATTTAGAAGATAATATATTTTAAAGAAAATATTTAAATACATGATTATAAAACCTTTGCAACCTCCTTTTTATCTTCAATGCATATCTGTTTTTTTTTTTAAATAAAATATCATACATGAGCAGAAGACAGTTACAGAAGATTAAAGTGTCAAAAGTCCTGCTGTGTATTGGTATTTTATTATAGTAGGTACCCTGCTGATAAGAGAGCCCCTTAGGGTAAATAACAAAAGGCAGATGATAAATATTAGTAGGCAATGTAAATTCTGTATGTGCAAATAAATTTCATTACAAGTAGTACAAAAAGAAAACTGAAATATTTTAGCATTTTATAATGAACTCATAAAAATAATCATATTGCATAATTATGTTACAATGCAACTCATAAAAATAATCATATTGCATAATTATGTTACAATGCATGAAAAAAAAAAAGATAAAAGATTGGTGTTGTCTCAAGAAATGTAAATGAAATATTTTCTAATCTTTTTGTTAATATCCATGTCAGTTAAAATATACTAGTATCCAACAGGTACATATCCACTTAATCCACAACTCATACATACCACCATTATATGTAAATATTTTTATTTTCAGAATAATATACATCATTTATATTAATCCTAGGTAAATTTTGGTTTGAGAAGGTAAGAGAGATTTTAAATGAGATAAAATTGACAAAATTTAGGCCAATTATAAACATATTAAATCATAGCTTAAAATCATAACCTTTAACTAAAACAATTATAAGATAAGATTAAAAATAACTAATTTGTATAATTTGCCCCCCCCCCCCCAAAAAAAAAAACAAACTGAATTTTTTCTTAATTAGCATTTCAACGTTTCATAATTATTTCAATACCAGATTATAATAAAATAGAATCAAATTAAATATCAATTACTTTTGTTTATTTATGCACTAACTTATTAACATTAAAGTTATAATTATTTATATTTACTTATTCTAACAATTAAGTTATAATTAAAGTACAAAATCAGTAAAATTAATGACTTTGAACAATTATTGTTCTAATATTTTATGCCAAATTTTACAAAATCCAATATTCACAACATCAAATTTATTATGAAAAACTATTATACAGATATCTATATTTTTCTATCTTTTTGTAAAAGTCAAATTGTTATTCATTGAAATAGTAGGTAACTGCTTAATACATATAATAGGTCTGGTGCACTACAAAGTGCACTTATGAAGTGCACTAGTAGTGCACTCCTAGTGCACTTTGTAGTGCACTAGTAGTGCACATCTAGTGCACTCCTAGTGCACTTTGTGTAACCTTTAGTGTGAACTCAACTGTACACTAAATTGCGTAGCAAGTACAAGAGACAATCAATGAAGTCATAAGGTCAATATTATTTACTACACGCCCATATCAAAAACACTATAACAATTAAAGCGGAATCTATCCTCTTTTCAAGAAAACAAAAGCTACAACAATTAACAAACAAAAGCTAAAACAATGAAACAACTCGTGAGCAGCACACGTGATGTTGATATAAGTTAACATACATGTAGTTATGCGAATATTGAAATTCATATACATGTATAATATTTAATTTTTGTCTGAATTATATTATGCTAAATTCGAAATGATTTTCACTTTTTGCATTTTCTTTTTTCTCGATTTTCTGGGATATATTTAAATGTGTGATAATTAAATTCCCGCATGTTACATCACACGTAATGTAAAAGGATCTATACTATATCTAAATGTCTATAATGAAAGAGTTTGTTGTGTAATTCTGGATATATAAAGTTTGGCATATATATGTATATTTTTCAATACGTTACGATTAATATCCGAAAATACTTTAGATCTACAATAGATTGTCTTTCTTCAGTCCTGATCTCATTGAAGACTGTCCAGACTGTCCTCGTAAAGGTCAATAGACTATTGTGTGGCAAATAGTGCGCTTTCAAAATTGCAGAATGCGACATTTCAGTTTCTTTACCGGCCAATTGAATTGACGCCGCCATTACAACTCCGTGAACCTCAACACGACCTGTTGTCCCAACTTTGTGCACCCAAACAATTTTCGCCAAGAGGACGCACGCATGCATACACAAAAACCCATGCACAAAAATGGATTTGGAAAATTGTTGCTGTTTTTAGTGCTTGTCAGATATTTATAAATCACAACATGGTGTCGTGTTGTGTGCCAGCCGTAAAAAGTTGCCACGTACTTCACTTCAGTGTAAATTAATATATTTTCTGGTCCTTCGGGATAATTGAGTCCAGCACTATTAAGTGTTGATAATTGAGTACCGATCAAGTCGGTGCTAAGGGGCGTGAGGGATGTTGCACATTTTCATTATCCCTCATGTACAGACTCAATCAAACCAAGTCTGCAATTTTCATGTAATTTCGCTGTTTTTGGTGCTTCCGAGGAATCATTTTTTTCCAGATATTTATACATCACAAGATGGTGTCAAGTGCTGTGTAGCAGCCGTAAAAAGTTGCCCCGTACTACACTTCTGTGTTGATATATTTTTCTGGTCCTTTGGGATAATTGAGTTCAGCTCAAGCCAGTGCTAGAGGACGTGAGGGATGTTGCACATTTTCATTATCCCTCATGTACAGACTCAATCAAACCAAGTCTGCAATTTTCATGTAATTTTGTTGTTTTTAGTGCTTTCGATGGATCACTTTTTTCCAGATATTAACTATGGTTGCCAAATTTGTTCGTTCCTCTGGTAGACACTCCTCAGTGAGTACATGGTGGGACTTGTGAGCAAGATGACAAAGTTTAGTTAGTGCTGTCTCAATGATGATATTGAAACTGACAAGGATAACGGTTCATATATTTGGAAGAAAGGACTTTTCCATTTTAGACTGAACTATCTACAATTGGCGAGAAACAACCATCGAATTCCAACCGGGATCATTGAAAAAAAATGGATATTGACTAATTAAGTATCTATAAAGGTCACATCCATGCATTGTTGACAGATGTACAATACGATCATCTCTTTTGATTAATATTGTCGTTAATGTTACAGACAAAGAACTAGCTGGTTAATTGTAGGCAGTAATATGGAACCCGGTTGCACTCAATACAAAAACAAACGGAAAAGGACTTGAAAGAGCTGAGATTTTATTTGCTCAATAATTACAGTTTGCCTACAGTTCAATTGTTAAAAGGATTATGAAACGAAAGGATACTTACATTTAATTACTACTTGACTTGCATTAAGTCAGAAAGTGCAAACCATACACTAAAATCCACAATTTAATAGCAAATGCAAATTATCCCGACACACTCTCTTAAATTGTTTATATAGGGTAGTTCAAAAATGCAGTATACATGACTATTGAGCAATAAAAGACATTAAGAACTTTAAACTTGGTGACAGATCTACCACACCGATATCTATCATAGGACAAACGTACATGTGCATGAAGAAAATAGACAGACAAAAAAAATATCGTAACCAAGTTTACAAGTTTATTTCTTTTTAATTCTGGCATGTTACATGCATGCGATTAAAACTACAAAGAATATAAAAAAAGGATAATAAACAAAAACATGATGAAGGGTTCATCGATCGATGTCAGCAAACATTGACAACCTATCGTAGACTTTGGTGGCAGAATGTTTAAAAAAACTCCTTCGGCTAGGCGAAATATAAACCAGTAAAACGTAAATGGACTGAAAGATCAAAATATAAGTATAAGGACGCCAAAGTTAATAGGTTGCGTTAGTCGGAAAAGGAGATGGAACCATGGACCTTGTGTTTCTTAAAATGAATTTTCTAAATCCTTCAAATGAAAAATAAACTTAAGTATCAGTCTTTTTAATCTAAATGCAATGTAAAAGAATAAAAACTCCCAAATAATCAACTTAATTACACTGTTTTATTATCTTTTGTAACTTTAAATTTTGTGTGCATCTAGATTTATTTGCCTCTCCATTTACTCAGTCAACAGAACGTGCAAGTTGAATAAGACGACAACGTCGACAACGAATATCATCAAAGATTTAGTCTATATCTTTTAAACAGTGAAAACAAAATATTTTTTTTAAATAGATTAAATTGATGAAACCTGAGACGAAATTCAGCACACACATACTCTTTTTTCTTTAAATGGTTGTCGAATAGTTCAACTATGTGAGTACTGGAAGCGAACATTAAGTCATTTTATCTTTTTTTTCATGTTTGTACCATTTTTCGGATAAAAAAATTTCGGATATAATCTTGGTTTTGTTATTTTCTGAGCTGTCAGACATATGATAGACATTATATCAGCCCCATTTCATGACGAACATTTTTTCGCCGTTTAAAAAAATCTGTGATAAAAAAGAAAGAAAAATGTAATAAACAATTATGAACAATACTACTAAATTATGGCCAAGATTGCTTTATCTGTTTAAAGATCTACTGGTACTTTACACCATTTTTATTAAATAGAGACTATTGAATTGGTGTAGATTTAGTACTAATTTTATTGAACTGTCACAAGTTGAATAAAATTAGAGGCTTGCGAGCAATTATTGTTTTATTTAACAAATTCAAGATAATTAGTGTCACGGTTCAGGACTGTTCACTTAAAGGGGAGAAAATGTGTAAGCGGCCGGATAGCTCAGTCGGTAGAGCCGCGGAACGGTATTCCGAGGGTCCCGGGTTCGAGTCCCGGTCAGGCTGCACATTTTTCTCACCCTGTGACATTTGGCGCCCAACGGGGGACTCTGGCTGCTTATAGCTCAGAGTTCAATAAGCATTGCTCTGTAGCTTTGTGAAATTCGAGGACAAATTTCAATATTGTGGTGAAGTATGTCACGGTTCAGAACTGTTCACTATATAGGGGAGAAAATGTGTAAGTGGCCGATAGATCAGTCGGTAGAGCCGGCGAATGGTGTTCCGAAGGTCCTGGGTTTGAGTCCCGGTCAGGCTGCACATTTTTCTCACCCCTGTGACATTTGGCGCCTAATAGGGGACCGTGACTGAATAGACATTGCTCTGTAACTCTGTGAAATGCGAGGACGAATTTCAATATAGCAGGGGAGTATATCACGGTTCAGAACTGTTCACTTAATAGGGGAGAAAATGTGTAAGCGGCCGGATAGCTCAGTCGGTAGAGCAGCAGAACGGTATTTCGAGGGTCCCGGGTTCGAGTCCCGGTCAGGCTGCACATTTTTCTCACCCTGTGACATTAGTATTGAATCTAAATTAATATAATCTCTTTTTATTGCCTTTCTTAAATAATGATGGTTTACAGCTAAAAGAGCCATTTTTCAATGATGCATATTTGTAGTGTAATGCTAACATTAACATGCTGTAAAACTATATTTGTATATAAGGCAAATGATGTTTAAAATTAAAGTGTAATATCGTTTTTATTAAATGGGTTTATTTCACTCCTGCGCCATGGCCTATGTGATTAATATTTGATATCATTCAATTTAAAAGGTGTTGATATAATCATCAGTCATTTTAATGGTTGAATTATATAAAAGGTGTGGTAATCCAAATGGAAACAACTATACAACCTAAACAGGATATACCTGTACATGTATATATAAAGTACATGTATATAAAAAGGTGTGATAATCCAATTATGGTTTATAAAATGAAGATGCTCAAGATTGTTCTCGGTGTACATTTACATCAATTAATTTTATAGAGAGCAGAAATTTTAAGAAAAAAGACAATTTTTTTTCTATATCTTTATTAGAAATTCCTTCTTTAAGTGAATTTAGCTGCAGACAAGTAAAAAAAGATTGGTCAGTGGGCTTGTTGATAAATATACCAAATTCCATTTCATCAACTGCTTAATTACTGTTGAAATAAGTTCTTTTTAAAAACAGTTTCATTTGTATGCATAGTGAAATAAATGTATATTTTTTCAGGTCTGAATATTGGAAATCTCAACCCAGGAAGTTTTGTGACTTCTGTAAATGTTGGATAACAGACAATAAACCGGTAAGTATTATAAACATGTATATGCTTCTCTGATGTGCTGAAATTTTGTTACTTTTTTTTTTAAACATATCAAAATTCATAATGATACTGTAACCTTGTCTGCATGTAGTTTTTTTTTAACCCAACTCATTTGCCACTTTATCAGTTAGAAAAGTTTTGAAAATGTGTTTGAACTATAATTATCATTTCATTCGTACTTGTTTTCAGAGTATTGACTTTCATGAGAAAGGAAAAAGGCACAAAGAAGCTGTCAAACAGAAAATTGAAGATGTAAGTTTCACATTTACCTAAACATTTTTTTCAATTTCTTTTCTTTTTTTGTCAAGTACATGTATCTTTTCCATCCTATATGATTACTTGGCTAAATTTATGTAAATGTATTGTAAAACAAACTTGCCCTGCTCTGAATTTAGAAACTGTCCATTGTGCAATTGAAGAATCTGTATCAAATTGAAAAAAAAGTTAAGTTATCAACAGTATAGAGCTTTGTCAGGCTAGTAAAAATATATTGATTAATCAGTCTCAAAGTTTCAAATGATTGCATTTGGAATTTTTTCATTCACAGTTAAAGAAGAAAGGTGTAGCTGATGAAAAGAAGAGACAGAAAGAAAATGACTACATGCAACGAATGGAAAAGGTGAGACACTTGTTTCCATGAAAATCTATAATATTGTTTTGAACCAGTTTTGATAGGTCAATTGGAAGATAAATATGTTTGTATAGGTCAGTAAAACCGGGATTGGCAACTTTGAAACCTGGGCAAAATCACGTTTTTTGTCTGAAAGAAAGACAATGTTTTAAAGTAGTTTTGTTTTGTAAGGAAATTTCATGTTGTATGTTAGAGCATAGGAAATTCATGTGCTCATTCTTGGTGACATTTTCTTTGCTTATATTAAGCTTGAAACCATCATGATTATGTTTTTGCTTTCTGGAGAATCTGTATCAGTGTCTTATGAGAAAAAACGGCTGTGATCCCTAGATTGAACTGCAGACAACTTACTAGGCCAACACCAAATCTCCCATTCTGCTTAAATTCTGCTAGTTATTATTCAATATTGTTGTAAAACTACTATCACTTACAGCCTTACTTTTCAGTCAGGTTTTGTTATTGGTGATATTTCTTGCAAGCGTTTGAGTAGTGGTAAAACAGTACTAATACTTCTTAATAGGTGATACAGATAATGAAATTATTAATATATTTCTGTTTTCTTACAGGCGGCATTGGAGGCCTTTAAGAGAGATTTAGAAGAAAATCCAGAGCTTGCAGCCCAGTATAAAGTAAAACAACCAGAGGGTAAGTTTATAAGTTTAACCACTGCATAACCCTTGTACTGTAAGTTTGTACAGCGGACTGCAAAGATGGGTAGACTGGACTTATTACTTCTTTTAGTGGAACAGGCTTTTAGCTTAACTATTCAAAGAAATAGGAGAGCTTTCATACTCACATCAGCATTAGTGTCGGCATCAGCATCACACTGTGGTTAAGATTTTGCCTGCAAGTTGGCAACACTACTGATAGGTTGAAACTTTACACACATATTTGAGAGCATAATTGAAGGTTACTGTTGAAGGCCCATTACTCTAACATGGTTGTTGACAGAATTATTACCCTCTTTAACCTTTGAAAATTCTACATTATCCAGGCACTTGGTTTACTATCAAATACTGAGAGTAATCAAGCATACTGTACTACTGACATCTTTTGTTATGTTTGGAACTACTTATAGTTAACTTTGTGAATAATTTTTTGTCGGACCATATTTATGACCCTTAGACAGTTGAATGGTTTTTCTCAACAATTGAGGGTATTGCCTGTGTTCTGTGTGAAAATAAAAATCAAGAAAAACAAAATTTATATAGAATCACTATATGCAAGTAACATAAAATATATCCTTATAATAAGCTGCTTTTAAAGATAGTATTCCTGTTGAAATCATGGCTTTTAAAAGATATAAAATGCGTGATCTTATATCTACGTCCTGCCATATCAAAAGTTCAGCAGCAATGTTATATATGTTATAAAGGGGCCATTATGCGTTTTCTCTATGAAAGCTGAAACACAAAAGTACTACATAACTAAAGACTCTAAAGCGCAATACACCCATGCATATATACACAGCAAATGAACTTTGACCTATATATTTTCAGTGTTTGAAGGTCCTCAGTTACCAGAAGGTTATGTTCCTTCAAAGAGTGTGGATGAAGAGAAAGAGGGAACATCTGAAGGAACAGAGAAACAAGAAGAGTGGTATGAGGCAATGTCCGAAATGGGATACCCTTATTACTGGAATACCGTGACTGGGGGTAAGCTTGACATAATTTTCATCATTTGTAACATTTGCAAATAACTTTGAAAACTTTGGACACATTTCTTGTCTGATTGACTATTTCCAGCTTAGTGGTTTTATTCAGTTGCCCACTTGTTCCCTGAAATAATGCAAGAAGGAACACTTGAGGTCTTTCTCCATCAGTAAAGCTGAAAAGTTACCATATGGTCTAAACAGTGCTTGTTTGATTTATATCCCTTTCAAAAAAAAAACAACAACATTAAAGTTAATTTGCAAAGTTGTGCATTTGCTACTCCTAGATGTTATTTTCTTACCTGTAATATCATACCTATATTTAATCTTATGATTTACAATGTATCATGACTTTTGACAAGCATCAAATATAAAGTTTTCTATTAATTTTTCTGTCAATTTGACTGTAACCTTTACAGAGTCAATATGGGTAGCTCCAGAGAAGTATGTATCGCTAGCAGACCAGGGTCTGGAACCTGCCCCCACCAATGAGGAGCCTGTTGTAGATAAACAACAGGAACCGGTATGTACTGAACTACTGATTTATATTTCACCATCTTGATAAAGGAGGTCAAACTTTTTTTATACCTTAAAGATACTGCTATTAGAAATTCAGAGTTTGTGGTTTGATGAGTGTTTGTATTTTTTATCATTTCAAGCCTGAAGCACTCTTATTATGCTTTCAGAAGGAAAAGCATATAGTAACTGCCTTGTCCATCCGTCTGTCTGTCTACTCTTGTTAGGAGGATAAATGAGCCGCGTCATGACAAAACCAACATAATGCGTTTGCGACCAGCATGGATCCAGACCAGCCTGCGCATCCGCGCAGTCTGATCAGGATCCATGCTGTTCGCTTACCAACCCTATTACAAGTAGAAAAACTGATAGCGAACAGCATGGATCCTGATCAGACTGTGCAGATGTGCAGGCTGGTCTAGATCCATGCTGATCGCAAACCCATTATGTTGGTTTTGTCATGACACGGCTCAAATTATTTTTTCTCTGTTATTTGTAATTAGATTTTTTTTTTAAAAGAGCATTGTTGCGTAATGTGGCACAGCACACAAGGAAGACTTAAATATGCTAGTCTTTAGTCTGATTCTGAGAAAAGACAATAAAAAAAGTATTATATGTATAACTTTAGGTATTGTTCATCTTAGATATACTTAATACAAACAAGATATGAACAGAAGAATAAAAAACTTGTTGATTAAATCTTGCAACGCTTTTATTCGAGCATATTACACTTACTTATATGTTTTATCAATTGATCTACTACTACAAAAAAAAAAAAACGGCGGACAGAATTTTAACACCAGCTGTTCAGACAGTACCAATTCCTATGGCGGCTTATCCACCATTCCTACATTCATTAGAGAAGTATTGTTTCAGGCAATTAAATATTTGTAATAAACTTGTTTTAAATATTTATTTAATTTATTAATTAAGCCAGAACCAAAAAAAGTAGAAGAAATACCCCTACCACCTGGCATTGAGTCAATTCCTCTCCCAGGCGAGGCTGACCCACCGTCCCCACCTTCACCAGAGGAGAGCGAGTCGGAGGAGGAAGACACAGTGGAGGGGAATCAGGATAGAAGTTCACGAGGAGTGTTTGGTGTATGGTCACGTGTTCAAAAAGAGTATGTTAACTTCCTTTTAGATTATTATTATTATCTTTGAATTAATGTCGTTGGAGTAGTGTTAAGTTAAAATACATGTTTAATCTATGGATTGTAATATGAAGTTGATAAATTTCCAGGAAAGTTGCACTTTACAACATATGAACTTATTAATATTTTACCATTATGCTTGTTCTACTGTTAATTTGAAAGGTTGAATAAATGATCCCTTGGGAAAAAAATAAAGAAATCAATTTTCTAGACTTAAATAGCAAAAAAAAAATCACTCATTTCTAACATCTAAAGCTGTGTGACATTTATGGAAGTTAGTTGTTAAATTTATGCAGGGAAATGACATTTATATGTAGGCTAATAAAAGAACTTGTAAAATACATGTATATAACTATACATGTAGCTAGCTTACGGACCAATGTCCTACTCAGGTGCCCTTTTATGCTTGAATTAATGAGAGGCTTCTGAATTCTTCAATCCTAAGTAAAGCTGGAAAGTCTCGAAATGATCTTTATAATGTAGATGTGACATAAATACCAAATCTCCATATGTGTAGAAAAATAGTATGTGTTATTTCTCTCGTGCAAAACATTACTTAAAATAGTGCTAAAATCAGTCTCTGAACAAGAAATTAAAACAATTGGATTTGATCTTTTTTGTCAACAGGGCAGAACAAGAGCAGGTAGATCTACAGTTACCTCAGACAGATGCTTACACAGACACAATATCTATACCTGTCCCTGTAGAAGAAAAAATAAAATTTAAAGAAAAGAAAGTGACTTCAATAGGTTCAAATAAAGGAGGTCCTGTTGCATTTAAGAAAAGAAAGCTTGCCAGTGGTGCAAGAAATGTACGAAGACGTGGTGATGATGATGATGATTAATTAAAGTGTGAAATAAAAAAATTATTGTAGTTTTGAGGCGGAAAATCAAAATGAAATGGGAGATGAAAATAAAGGGCTTGAGAAATGATGATAGTAATTGTAAGAAATTTGTAAAAGCTTGCATTGGAGATTGTTTTTGAGTGGTGAAAGATCAAGTCAAGAAAGTTCTTGTAAAAGTTGAAAAGAGGAAGGAATGTGAACTGTTATTTTCCATTTTATGATCATAACAAAGGTGATTCTTTTGACGCAAATTTAGGAATGTTCTTTTTTATAAAGTTTGAAAACATGTATCTATGAAGTTGATGCAGTATGTAAATGAAGTTTGTGAACAAAAAATAATTAAAACCATTAAAAAAAACAAAAAAACTGGAGAAGGAGCAAAGTGTTAACACCAAAGGTCAGATCTATGGACTGGATGTTTAGTTTCAATAGACCTTCATCAGGAAGATTTAATATAAGTTTAAACATTAAAGGAGTGTTAATATATTGACTTATGAGGTATATAATTGTCTCTGGCCTATCAGTTAAGGTCGTTGAATTGGAACCACTTGTCCCTCATTGTTTAAGTTTGAATTCCACCTGGGACTCGGGATTCTTTGTGTGGGAGCTATCCAGCTAGCTTACAGAATGTTGGTGGTTCTACTTAGATGTTAACTTGTTAAATTATGCACTTTATGGGACCTGAGGTCTTTCTCCACCCATTTAAGCTAGAAAGCAGCCAAATGACCTGTTCAGTGTTGGTGTGACTTTAAACCCTAAATGGACAGCAAAAATAAATTTATTTAGAGTGCAGCAAATGTAACCTTGAGACAGAGGGTTGAAGGCAATTTGTTCATGACTGCTGTTTGAAAAGTTGGTTGATAGTTAAAGAGAATCATTTAGAACTTCAGAATATATTTTCATATAATCACATTTTAGGAGCATGTGTTAAGTGGCCTACTGGCATGTAAATTTGTGTTCATGAACAAAAGTGCTTAAAGTAATAATAATAAAAAAAAAACATTAATAATGACAAATGTAAATGTTTTTTTACTTTCTTCTCTTTCATTTGTTTATACAATTTTATTGTTTATGATAGTATCAATGCAATTTTTACGAACTTACCTATGTTTATGCAATGATAAATATCTAAATGGTAAATGAAATGAAATAGTACAAAGAGATATTCATGATTTTGTTTTTCTTGAAATTTTTTTTTCAGGTAAATATTATTATACCCCCACCACAAAATGTGGGGGGGGCTATAATGGATTCGCTTTGTCGCGTCGGTCGGTCAGTCGGTCGGTCCGTCCGTCTCCATTTTCGTGTCCGCTCTATAACTCCTATACCACTTGAAGGATTTTCTTCAAACTTGGCTCAAATGTTCACCTCAGCAAGGGGATGTGCAGAACCCATGTTGCCCATGTGTCAGCTCAAGGTCAAGGTCACAATTGAAGGTCAAATATCAAACACAATCATATATAAGACAGTATGTTGTGTCCGCTCTGTAGGTCCTACAATAATTGAAAGATTTTCTTCAAACTTGGCTAAAATGTTCACCTCAACAAGGGGATGTGCAGAACTCATGTTGCCCATGTGTCATTTTAAGGTCAAGGTCACAAATTGAAGGTCAAATATCAAACAATCAAATATTACACAATATGTCGTGTCCGCTCTGTAAGTCCTACACTAATTGAAAGTTTTTCCTCAACTTGGTTCAAATGTTCATTTTAACAATGGATGTGCAGAACCCATGTTGTCCATGTGTCAGCTCAAGGTCAAGGTCACAATTGAAGGTCAAATATAAAACAATCAAATATTACACAGTATGTCGTGTCCGCTCTGTAAGTCCTACACTTATTGAAAGATTTTCTTCAAACTTGGCTCAAATGTTCACCTCAACAAGGTTATGTGCAGAACCCATGTCACTCTTTGCCGGCTTAAGGTCAAGGTCACACTTGAAGGTCAAAAATTGACTGAGAAAATGTTCTTTAATTTTAACATATATCTGAATATTTCTGAATCTAGGAAAGGTATTTGCTTGAAACTTAAAATATAAATGAAGTGTCACAATTAAGATATGCTGGTCAAGTTTCATAACTCTGTATTGCATTTTAACAAAGTTATGCCCCTTTTTAATCTTCAAAATTTACATACAATCACATATTAGACAATATGTTGTGTCCGCTCTATAAATCCTATACTAATGAAAGAATTTTCTTCAACTTTTCTCAAATGTTCACCTAAACAAGGTTATGTGCAGAATCCATGTCACCTTTGTGCAGGCTAAAGGTCAAGGTCAGACTTGAAGGTCAAAAATTGACTTAGAAAATGTTCTTAGATTAAAACATGTTCTTGAATATTTCGGAAACTAGCATAGGTATTTGCTTGAAACTTAAAAGATATATGAGGTGTCACATTTACGATATGCAGGTCAAGTTTCATAACTCTGTATTGCATTTTGACAAAGTTATGCCCTTTTTAAGTTTAAATTTACATACAATCAATACTAGACAATATGTTGTGTCCGCTCTATAAATTCTATACTAATGGAAGGATTTTCTTCAAAACTTTACTCAAAATGTTCACTCCAATTGGGCGATGTGCAAAACCCATCATACCTTTGTGCCAGCTGAAGGTCAAGGCCACACTTGAAGGTCAAAAATTGACTTATAAAAAGTTTAGTATATTGGGAAAATGAAAGGTTATTTGTAACTGTTTCAAACATGATTTGATAATAGATATTTTTACTATTACCTGTACAATTAGTCTTTTTTCACCAGAGATAATTTCTTTTTTATGTATTTGTGCCACTTCAGTTATTCCCTTAACCACCTTTCCAAGTGGTCTTCTGTCAAGGACATTGGTGGGGGTATGAATCGCATTCAGCGATAGTTCTAGTTTTTGACTAGTTATTTTGATAATAATATACAATGTAGTTTCTTTCTTGATCAGCATGGGAATTTCTTTAGAATAGAAAATAACTAAAACTATTCATTTACATTCTTTTTTCACTTTATTTTGAAATATTACAAAAATTAATGAATAAAAAATATATAATTATATAATCAACAAACATAACAAAGAAATCTCATAAATAACAATTGAGCCACGTCATGACAAAACAACATAATGGGTTTGCGACCAGCATGGATCCAGACCAGCCTGCGCACCCGCAGCATCCGTGCAGTCTGATCAGGATCCATGCTGTTCGCTTACAACTCTGTAACAAGTAGAGGAACTGATAGCGAACAGCATGGACCCTAATCAGACTGCGCGGATGCGCAGGCTGGTCTGGATCCATGCTGGTCGCAAACCCATTGTGTTGGTTTTGTCATGACATGGCTCAAATAATTAATTGCACTTGGATGACACATAGATTAATCAGTCTATAGTCAAACCAGAGTATAAAAACCAGTCTAGAAACTTATAAAATGTTGTTTTCATTAAAAGGTGGTCATTGAAACAAGGTAATAATAATTTAAACAATACTGTGGTGGTCATACATGCACTTAATTCTAAGGTGGTCTTCAAAGGAAAGTAATTATAATAAAATTAATCAGTCTTTAGTCAAACCAGAGTGTAAAAAAAGTATTAGAAACTTATAAAATGTTGTTTTCATTGAAAGGTGGTCGTTGAAACAAGGTAACGATAATTTAAAACAATACTGTGGTGGTCATACATGAACGCTATTCTAAGGTGGTCTTCAAACTGAAGAAATTATAATAAAATAGGAGTATAACAGTTTATTAAAAAAAAACAAGAGGGCCATGATGGCCCTGAGGTCGCTCACCTGTATATAGCACCCCCCCCCCCCACACCCATAAGAAGATGTTTCATGCTAAACATCTAAGCTCTAGCTCATTGGGCTTTTCAAAAGAAGATTTTTTTAAGTTTTTACTATACACATATAGTTAAAAACAATGACACCCCTGGGGCGGGGCCAGTTTTGACCCCATGGCTTTTATTTGAACAAACTTTGTAGACACTTACTAGAAGATGTTTCATGCTTAATATCTAAACTCTAGCTATTTGGGTTTTTTCAAAGAAGATTTTAAGTTTTTGCTATACACATATAAGGAAAATCAATGACCCCCGGGGCGGGGCCAATTTTGACCCCAGGGCTTTTATTTGAACAAACTTGGTAGACACCTATTAGAACATGTTTGATGCTAAATATCTTAGCTCTAGCTCTTTGAGTTCTTTAAAAGAAGATTTTTTAAGTTTTTACTATATGCATATAGGGAAAATCAATGACGCCCTGGGGCGGGGCCAATTTTGACCCCAGGGCTTTTATTTGAACAAACTTGGTAGACACCCATAAGAAGATGTTTCATGCTAAACATCTAAGCTCTAGCTCATTGGGCTTTTTAAAAGAAGTTTTTTTTAAGTTTTTACTATACACATATAGTTAAAAACAATGACACCCCTGGGGCGGGGCCAGTTTTGACCCCAGGGCTTTTATTTGAACAAACTTTGTAGACACTTACTAGAAGATGTTTCATGCTTAATATCTAAACTCTAGCTATTTGGGTTTTTTCAAAGAAGATTTTAAGTTTTTGCTATACACATATAAGGAAAATCAATGACCCCCGGGGCGGGGCCAATTTTGACTCCAGGTCTTTTATTTGAACAAACTTGGTAGACACTCACTAGAAGATGTTTTATGCCAAATATCTAATCTCTAGCTCTTAGGGTTTTTTAAAAGAAGATATTTAAAGTTTTTTCTTTCGGTTGCCATGGCAACCAGAGTTCTGCATGGAATTAAATCTTCTTTGAACAATTTTTAAAGGTGACCACCAAAGGAACATTCCTGTGAAGTTTGGATGAAATTGGCGTGGTGGTTTATGAGTAGATGTCATTTAAAGTAAAAGTTTACGGACGACGGACGAAAAGCAATCACAAAAGCTCACCCTGTCACTTTGTGACAGGTGAGCTAAAAAAGACTGTTGGCCCCTAGTGTCAGGTTTTCTTAAACACAGTCTTAATTCAAAGGTGGTCTTTTAATGAATGGTGGTCTATAGAACAAGGTAATTTTATATTGAATAGCACTTTTCTGTTTACAATAGAAAAAGTGTGGTCTTTTGTTACAATTTTTTCTGTAAATGGTCTGTATTTAAAAGTGGTCAAGCCGGGTATAGGTAATTATAATTTATACAGCATATAAATTATCTGGAAGAATTAACAGGTTTTTGAATAAATAGTCATATATAAAAGGTGGTCTTTAACAGCACTATAATCAACAAATCTATAAATTTATGTTACATAATATATATGTATGATGAATGAGCAATAAAATTATAACAATTTTGTTTTCATGAAATAAGTGTAAAATGTAAAAATATATTGCACAAAAATGATATGTCACAATTCAAATTTGTATGATTCATTTCTTAAAAAGGATCAATTAGTATTTTCAATGTGTTTTAGCTAACCGTTAAAACACCATTCGTCTGATTCCGTTTCAAATTTGTTTTTGTACAATTTTGGAGTATCTTCTTTGCACAAAATGAGCAACAAAGCCCTAACCGAAACAATGATTCCAGGAAATTTCCGCGTGGCATGGCCATTTTTTGAACCGGCGATTTGTTCTTTGTCTATATAAAGTAACGTAAAAAAACATAAAAAACACAAAATCTGACAGTATCTGAACCTCTGCATGTATAAAATGTCTCTTTTCAAATCCACCACTGGCCACAATGCTTTCTTTTCTTTCATATATATACAGTAGGTTCTTCATTTCTTTCATTTTATCCAAAATTATCGTAGTTTCTTTGCACAGCTCAAATTTGTCATATATTTTCTTGAATTCTCTATATTCTGTGTCTGTCTTTGTTTCTATGGTTTCCATTAGTCAGGTATGCGATAAGCAATGAACTACACTGTAGCACCTGTATCATTACCCCATGTGCCCCAGGCATGACTTATCAACAGGTACCCCATAGCTACAAATGTTGTTACCAACATCATTGGAAACCCAACTCTGAAAATATTTAAAGACAACAACATATATAAATATAAATAACAGACCTTAATAACTAAAATTGTAACCAATATTACAATATTATTGAAAGGAGCTATTTGGCCATGTGGATCTTAAAGCTGAATTCAAACTCCTGTTGGTTTGAAGCCCACAAGCCACTTCAATTTTGGTCTAAAGTCATTTTGTCTCTAATCATTGATTCATGTAGAATAAGTTTGTTTGTCACATGTGGAGGCATTGGTAATTACTGGTTAGTTATAAAGGAAGGAAGGCTGGTTAGGCGGACAAACTGCCAAGATATGACCAAAAATATGTACATATGTATAAGCATAACCCCCCTCCAGAAAAAATTGTATACACATATATATATATACAGTAATACTAAATACATGTACAAAATGAAAACTATTCAATCTTCTAGAGCAAGCTTAAGGCACATATGAAATTACCTGAAGAAGTCGAGAAATGAGAATCCATAACCATGCTGCTCTGCTATACCTGCTGACACAACATTTGCTGAGGCCCCTATCAGGGTTCCATTACCTGTAATAAAATTCATCTTTATAATATTTACTGAGGCCCCTATCAGTGTTCCATTACCTGTAATAAAATTCATCTATAAAACATTTGCAGAGGCCCCTATCAGGGTTCCATTACCTGAGATTAAATTTCATCTGTAAAACATTTGCTGAGGCTCATATCAGGGTTCTATTACCTGTAATAAAATTCATCTATAAAACATTTAAAGAGGCCCCTTCCAGGAATCCATTACCTGTAATAAAATTCATCTATACATAATGGATGACTGTGCAACTGTCAAGACAATGTGGCAAAGAATACCAACATGCATAAGAAAAATAACTTATATTACAAAAGCTCTAAATAAATGTTTACATCAAGGCATATAGTGTTATTTAGAAGCTTTTAATCAAATTTCACAAAAACTCACAAAGTAAAGCATTACATAGCATGATTTGCATATCATAAGCATTATCATAGGAAGAAAATAATTCAAAGTTAATTCTGAATTATCTTAAATTAAAACTTCATGATAAAAGTATAGGTATGGTAAATATCAAGCAAAGAAGGAATGGGTATAATTCCAAGCTTATTTTTATATTTTATATGCAAATAAAATAAGATAGAAAAGGGTGACCAATACCTCCAAGACAAGCTCCAAATGCTAGTGCTAAAATCATCGGCATCAGTGGAATTCCTACATCTTCATTCACAGTGATCAGTATGGGAATCTGAATGTTTTGAAATAATAGAAACAAGTTATTCTTCTTGTTTGAAAAATACAAGGATATTATAGATAATGATTACTTATTGTCCTAAGTGATTTTCTGTAGAAATCATATTTTCCATATTTAGAATTAATATGCTCCGAAACAAATTTGAAAACATTTGACTGTGAACTTTCCAAGTGACTATGACCTATAATTCATTAATGCATTGTTTTGTCTTGCTATAAGAGTGTCAAATGATAAAATATGTATCAACTGAATAAAGAAGAATATCAAAGTGTGTAATTGTGGACCCTTATAGTTATGTAAATCATTCTTTGAAGTAACCAAGGTAGATTGAATAAACCACTGCAGTTCATAAATAATAGAATCAATGATTAACCAAGCCTTCAATATTTTCAATTTTATAGCAACCTTAAATAACGTTTTTTATCTGAACTATTTTGATAGTAAACTGAAAAGAATCTCTCCTTGCTTTAACCCTTTCCCCCATGAGCATATTGTGAAAAATGGCCGTTTTCACTGAAAAGCCTCCTGTTACAAGTTCAAACTGCTATGAAACTATGAAAAATGCTTCAATACTAATCAAACTTGGCACAAATGTTGACTGGACCATTGCCTTTGTAACGACATGCTCAGTTTTAAATTTCCTGTTACCATGGCAACGAGGGGACATCTCAAAATTGCCAAAAATCACTATTTTGCCTCGAGTTTTTCCATCAAAATTTATTTCAAAGTGCTGCAACTTCTCAAGGGATTGAGATAGAGTCAAAGGCTTTTCAGCGTTGGTTAAACGTTACATTATGATCGACCTGGGGTCATTTTTAGCCTCTCACAAGTCCAAAATTTTCTTGGCGATGAGGGCGACTCCGCCCCCCTTCAAACCCCCCTAACAGAAGGGGGCACATCCCCCTTCTGGCAACCCCCTGATGTATCTTTTGGATGGGGGTCGGCGCCGAAAAAGTGCTCAATTTTTTAAGCAACATTTCTCAAACGAAAACATGTGTTTTGGGCCCAAATAGGACATTTTTTCACTATTTGAGGCCCAAAAAAAGGGGGGGGGTCAAAAGTGCGTTGTTTCGCGTATATATGTGGTAAAGGGTTAACAAAAAATGATGAAAAACTTTGGAATCACCTAAAAACTAGTTTTTCCATGTTAACATGTGGTCTTTCACCTAATTTTGGTGAAAAATTGTTGTTTTGTAACATTTATAATTTTTTTAGTTAACCCTTTCCCCCATGAGCATATTGTGAAAAATGGCCTTTTTCACTGAAAAGCCTCCTGTTACAAGTTCAAACTGCTATGAAACTATGAAAAATGCTTCAATACTAATCAAACTTGGCACAAATGTTGACTGGACCATTGCCTTTGTAACGACATGCTCAGTTTTAAATTTCCTGTTACCATGGCAACGAGGGGACATCTCAAAATTGACCAGATGGCCATAGTAAACAAATAGTTGTTACATGAATTTTAACAGTGTTAAAATTACAAAATGTAATAGTAAATAATAATTGCAGTAAAAACTTCAATCTTGATAAACATGACCCAGATAAAGGTGAAAGCCAACTGTTACTCTGGTCCATCATTCCGACACTGGAATATGAGCCATGTTTTTACCATTTGTCTGTCCCTAGGTCAATGCTGTGGTTTTGTTTTAATGCCAAAATATTCAAACTTTCAGTGCACTTGACTAAGATGATACTATTTGTTGGCAGGGAAGGGCCTTTACTAAGGATAACCCTTACCAAAAAAAGGGCTCTCTGGTGAACATTGCGGCAAGTTTGCCGCAAACATTGCGGTGAGTTTGCGGCAAACTGCTTTCAGCAATTATTTACCATGCAAATGAGGTTTGCGGCAAATTTGCCGCAACTCATGAGGTTAGCGGCAAACTTGCCGCAAACTATAGGGGGAGGTAGCTTCTGTTTGCGGCAAATTTACCGCAAACCTCATTTGCATGGTAAAAGTTTGCAGATGTTCGCCAAAAGTTTGCGGCAAATTTGCAGCAAACTTCATTTGCATAGTAAGTTTGCGGATGTTCGCCAGAAGCTTTTGGTAACACTGCGGCAAACTTCATTTGCATATTTGCCAGTTTCAGCAAATATGTTATGGCGATATTTTGGCAAACATTTTGGTAAAGTTCTGGCGAACAATTTTTTCAAACATTGGAATAATAAAAACTAGCTGAATTATAAGAAAACAAATACATATTGGTTTAACACATTTTTTCAATAGAAAATAAAAGAAATATTACAAACATATCAGTAGAATAAAATGAAATTTGATAAATTTATAAAATAAAGAAATTAATTCCCCAAAAGAGATAAATTTTACACACATTTTATTAGCAACTGATTCTATACATATTTGACTTTCATAAATTTCCACTCTTTAGTTATGATGCTATCATGAATTGTTCATATTACTTAATAATCAATTAAAACAAGAGCCGGTTGAACCGGGGTGATCCTAGATACAGAAAAGTATATCTTTTGAAGTTTCAGGGTTATGTCCCAGACAAAGTTCAAAGTGTGATAATTCCAAAATAGTTGTAAAATCCCACTTTAAATAACAACGTTATGGGCCGTACACATTTTTGCTTCAAGGTCATGCTGTGACCTAGACCTTCAAGGTAATGACCCAAATGTTGCATGTGACATATTGTCTCAATATGGTGATCATTTCGGTGAAATAGTTGTAAAATCCGACTTCAAATAACGAATTTATGGGCCTGACACGATTTTGCTTCAATGTCATGTTGCGACCTTGACCTTCAAGGTATTGACCAAAATGGTGTGTGCGACACATCGTCTCAATATGGTGATCATTTCTGTGAAATAGTTGTAAAATCCGACATCAAATAACCAAGTTATGGGCCGGCAAAATTTTTGTTTAAGGTCATGCTGTGACATTGACCTTCAAGGTAACGACCCAAATGCTGCGCACGACACATCGTCTCAATATGGTGATCATTACTTTTAAATAGCTTTAAAATCCGACTTCAAATAACGAAGTGATGGGCCGGACATGATTTTGTTCAAGGTCATGGTGTGACCTTGACCTTCAAGGTAGCGACCCAAATGTTGCGGGCGACAGGTCGTCTCAATATGGTGATCATTTCTGTGAAATAGTTTTAAAATCCAACTTGAAATAACAAAGTTATGGGCTGGACACGACTTCAGATTCGTATGTACGTACAGACAGACAACCCAATGACTATATGGTCCGCCGAAATTTTTCGGGGAGCATATAAACAATGTTTGACAATAGCTATTTTTCAGCACATGTTGCAGTATTTCTTAGCACCATAAATGGGAAATATAATATTGTTGTAAAAGCTAAAAATCAGAAAAGTTACAGTTTGAAATCTTCTATCTGGACAAAAAGTTTCATTCAAACATGAACTGGCATGGATTAACATACATACTTCGACATCCACTTAGACAAATCACTATTAATAACAATAAATACTAACAATAGCGTTATGTGTTATGCAAAAATAGACTAGACCAATAATGGCTTTCAAAATTGTAAAAATGAATCTCAAAAATATATTTTGGTCTTAAACAAACAACATATTTCATGGACATAATACCTTCAGATTTAAACTCATATGTCATATAACATTATGATTGTGAGCAAAACAATATCTGACACGAACAATTATGGCTTTCAAAATTGTTAAAATTAATCACAACAATATATTTGGGTCTTATACAAACAACGAATTTCATAGACATAATTTTTTGTTTGCTTGTTTTGGGTTTTTACGTCACATCAACACAGTAAAGGTCATATCGTGACGTTCAGGTGCCCTTCCTTGCATTATTTCAGGCACGAACGGGTATCTGAGTAGAACCACTGACGTTCAGTTAAGCTAGCTGGATAGCTTCCTCACAAGACAGATTCCAAAGTCCCTGTCGGGATTCCAACCCACAGCGGTGAGGGGCAAGTGGTTTGAAGTCAATGACCTTAACCACTCGGCCACGGATGCCCCTCATGGACATAATAACTAAAGATTTAAACTAAATGTCTTTAGTCATGTCATATAACAATTGCAAGCAAAACAAAAACAAACTAGAGCAATAATGGCTTTCAAAATTGTAAAAATGAATCTTAACAATATTTTTGGGTCTTATACAAATATAGACATAACTATTAAAGATTAAAACTAATTGTCTTTAGCCATGTAATATAATGATTGAAAGCAAAACAAAAACTGACTAGAACAATAATCATAAATGGCTTTCAAATTTGTAAAAATGAATCTTAACAATATATTTGGGTCTTATACAAACATAAACATAATAACTTAAGAATAAAACTAAATGTCTTTAGTCATGTCATATAGCGATTGCAAGCAAAACAAAAACTGACTAGACAATATCGTAAGTTTGCATGAAATTGGCTTGGCAATTTATGAGATGTTGTTTAAAGATCAAGTTTACGGACGAAAGATAGACAAAAGCTCGCAATGTCACTTTGTTAGCTAAAAACGCACTACTTTACTCTTTCACTCTTCCAAGTTTCAGTGCCCTGGCCCATTGTGTGTATTTTGGTGTTGACTGCTTTGGTGACTAAGCTTCTCTCCATATTTAGTTTATTGGTGCAGTACACTGAAAAAAAACAAGGTTTATTTTTCATTTCCATGTTACCATGTTTATACTGGATAAAACTAGAACTATCACTGAAGGTGAATGATACCCCAAAACCCCACTTTGAAGTAAAGTGGCAGTAATCTATTAGTAAAGCCCACCTACAAATGAAGAAAATAAACACCAAAGGCAATTATTATTTATTGCTGGCTTGATTTTGATCTGTTGGGATGAACATGTATTTGCATTGCAAAACCTAGATTTATTTACAAATGACAAGTGGCTCATAAATTATATTATTTATCTAACTTAGTTAAGAAATCAAGGTATCATGTTAAAAAAACACCAAAATAACAAACAAGAGCGATCAGTGATCACATGTGTCGCCTCATGATGGCCAATTTCATGTTGGGACAAGTTTTGTGACTGACAGACAGACAGACAGTGCACAACTAGACTTGGTACTGATCATTCCTTTAAAGTTTGGATGAAATTGCACCAGTAGTTTTTGAGGAGTAGTCCGGACAAGCTTTTATGTATCTGGCAACACACAGAAAAAAACCCACCTTTTCATCAAACTTGCCAAAATATCATTCAACCGGAAAACCTGTGCAATATGTGCAAGGACTTGAGCAACAGATCAATCCTGTAAAGTTTCATTGAAATTGCATTTGTGGTATAAGAGATGTAGTCCGGACAAACTTAAAAAAAGGGCCATACCTCTGACAAAAATCATTGAACCGGAAAATGCTGACAATATGCACAACTAGACTTGGTACTGATCATTCCTGTAAAGTTTGGATGAAATTGCACCAGTAGTTTATGAGGAGTAGTCAGGACAAGCTTTTGTGTATCTGGCAACACACAGAAAAAAACACCTTTTTATCAAAGGGCCATAACTCGGCCATAACTCGGCCAAAAATCATTCAACCGGAAAACTGTGAAATATGCACAAGGACTTAAGCTACAGATCAACCCTGTAAAGTTTCATTGAAATTGCATTAGTGGTATAAGAGAAGTAGTCAAGACAAACTTTAAAAATAAAAATTATTAAAGGGCCATAACTCTGACAAAAATCATTGAACCGGAAAATGCTGACAAAATGCACAACTAGACTTGGTACTGATCATTCCTGTAAAGTTTGGATGAAATTGCACCAGTAGTTTATGAGGAGTAGTCCGGACAAGTTTTGTGACGGACGGACAGATAGACAAGACGACGGAGAAATGATCCCTATATGTTGCAACTACTCCATAGAGGCGACACAAAAATGAACCATGCTGTGAACATGACAGCTAGGTCAGAACTCAAAGTTAAAACCAGGGTAATTCAAATAACCATTAGGATTTTTCTTCTAAATGCCACTGTTTGAAAGAACAATGTTGACTAACCAGTCTTACTTGTATGCAAAACTCACTTTTTCAATTATACATCAATAACAGTGGTTAAAATATACACAGATACTTTTCTGACAAATTCTAAATCATTACTGACATGATGACTGAGAAAAACTTGAAATGTGTCAATAAAACACGGATGCCCCCACACGCCACTGTTCTGTCAATCTTATGACTCTAGGTCAAATAGTTTTTGGACTACATGTGCCACAAGTTGAAAACTAAAAATCAACAAAGGGCCATTATTCTGTTTAATTTAGTTGCAGCAAAAATTCCTTCCTTTACTACCATCTACACATTAAGTTTGTTAATCCCTGGAAGTTTAAGCAAAATCTGCCATCCGGTTTAAGAGGAGTTGCGTTCACAAGATTTTGGGACAGACTGACAAGTGCCACGCTATATGCTAAAAATAATCTTATTTTACTTACATGTTAAACTGTCAAATCCTCTTTTGTGCCAGGCAGTATCTACTGCACAAGACATACCACTGCGGGTTTTACAGGGAAATTTCGGGGAAAGTCTTAATCTGCTGTGAGGTTTTTTAAGATGTGGACCACTTCTGATTTGTTTTCAACCTTTGACTGTCTGTGAGAACTGTAATTGTAAAAATATATTTCAAAAATATTTTCTGTATTTTAAGATTCATCTTTAAACGTAATATTGACAAATAATTAATATTGAAGATTGAACACCAATGAATTGACAATAACATATTTATAATTAATGTAACACAATGTTCATACAGTTACTAGAATAAGTTTTGTTAATTATTAATGCTAATTGCACGACTTTTTCCTGACCAATTTTAGTAATCACTTTTATGAAATAATTCGGACTGCATATCGATTATTCATCACATGAAGATACATCAAATTGTTTCTATTGAAGACGACCCCAAATAGCATTACAAAATTATCACAGTATTATCATTTAATTGCTACACCATGATTATAAATATATATAAAAAAAACCTCATAGATTTCAACTTACAGTTTAATAGGCATTTTTGTTTGATGTATTGTTGAGGATTGTTAATCACAATTGTATAAATCTGACCATTCACTGTCATTTGTAACTGTAGCATATGACTGATGAATAGACCTTGAATAAAAAAAAAATACATATGTACAAACAGTATATGGAGAGATATTCATATATTGAAGCAACTGACATAACACAAACAGTTCAACAACACCAGTCAGTTTTGCATAGTCCTTTACTTTCGTAAATAAACAAAATACAGAAAACAAACTACCAGTACTCACTTTAGTGCTGGCAAACATCTGGCAAAGGACATCCTCCGAGATCTTGTCAATAAGATCTTCCATGATGTTGTGTTCTGATACCATTGATTCTTCATGATGCACATCCCTTAAAAAGAATGCATGTATTTAATATGAATTTTAGTCTTAACCAATGAAGGTAAAATATGATAAACAAGATCAACAAGGAAAGGCGGCGTTCAATGAACGCAACCCCCATATGACCAAGCAACAAGTACCAATGGCAAGGAGCCCAGGCGGACCCAGTTTGTCATGTAGAAATAAATACTTTTTTAAAAAAACAATTACACATTCATGTTATTTTGAAAAAAGAAATATGTACATGAATATAGAAATATAGAGTAACATGCAAAAACAACAAAGCCATTGTTTAAAAATTCTTTTCTCATATATGGATTGTATAATATTCTTTGGTTCCCTAAACCACGAGTGTGCCAGCAATATAGGATTATACCATGATAAGCTGCATAGACATATAATTACAAAATAATTATTGAAATTCTTCCAATTCAAGTACATGTTATTTCGAAAATATCATTGTAAATGTAAATGTGTCTTACTCCATTTCCTTGATCTTATGCAGCAGATTCTGTCGGCATAGAAGCCAGTGCTGTTTCAATGATATTTCCAACACGTCTCTCCATTTCTTTTCATGTTTTTATTTCCAATTGTTGGTATATTTAGTGTTGACAACAAATTGTTGACCCTCACCGGCCCACCTACACTATCAATCATTGCTGTAAGAAAATGAAAGAAACAAATTATTTCATTAAAGTACATGTATACAAATATTTTGTCAAAAAAAAACTTCACATGGATTGTAATTTACATAACCATGATAATAACACATTGCATAAATTAATATAGAGCTATTTTTAGCTGCCTCATGTACGTTGAATATTAGTACTACTGTGACTGTGTGTATTGGCAGCCTAGTGTAAACTGTGTCTTTTATATAATGTACATGTAGGATTCTGTAATGTCTTACTAAAAATTGCATTGTTGCAAGATTTAATTTAGCAACGTTTTATCATTTGTTTTTCAAATTTCTCAGTGACTTTGGGGAAATTAAAACAGTTCAGAGGGAAGTTTATAAAACATTTCACAATAGGACGTGGCTAGCCGTACGGGCCCGTACGGCTAGCCAAAAGTTCTAGCCGTACGTGAGTCACGTACGACTAGCCAGGACACACTGTATTGGCTAGCCGTACGGCACTTTTCAAAATTATATGGAGTATGTGAGTCACGTGCGGCTAGAACTTTTGGCTAGCCGTACGGCTAGCCACTTCTTTCACAATAAGGAGTAGTGTTTTACAGCTAAACACAAACAAGATACATGTATTCTGTATAATAAATTAATTATTTATAAATCTGAAACATAAATTTGGTCCGCATAATTTTACATGTTTGACATCATTGGAAGACAAGTAAATAAACACTGATAAATCATAATGTATCGATATATTCATTTTGGTACGAGACATTACATCTATGAATTCATAGCTTAAGGTCTTCAGCGTACCCGTTTATATATATGACATGACGTGAACGCTGAAGATAACCCCGTAGGGAAAGTCCACCAATAATCGTGCCAGGAATCTGACACGCTCGTATTTATTTATCGAACATGCCACGAAGTAAAGTGAAGCATACCTTGATAAAACGATATATAATCTGTTGATAAGCCAAGGATGGACAAATAAAAATCTTATTAGGAACATAAACTACCTAATAGTTTCCGACAGGTAAAAATTTCGGCACTTGGCCGCCATCTTGCCAAAATGTTTGACCACGTGATTACGAGATTGACCTTTAGGAACCCATGTGCCTCCAATATTTTTATAGATTACTTTTTTTTAAGATGTTGAAAAAGGTTATTTACTGACTGTTATATTCAATAAAATCATATTTAAATACTAAAAAATTTATGAAAATAAATAAAAACATTATTTTGAATAAAAATATCGAAATCATGTCAACAAAATGTTCTAAATATAGTACACAACTCTATTCAAATCTGTTCCCGCGAATGACGTCATACGAGGTCTCGCGTGGCACTTGAATGTCATGGCCGATTGTAGTCGGTGAAAATCGATGTTTTTACTGTTAAATAGGCAATTTTAATGACGGTATTAATATTTTATTACTTGAATTGGTATAGAACGATATTTAAATAATTGTTTTACCGTAAAATGCACAAGAATTGATCGGGTCAAGTGTATTTGCAAGTGAAAAACAAGAATAAATCAACTTATGTTATTCTGGTTAGGTTTCGTAACGGGTCTAATCCAAAACTTTAATGCCGCATCTGATGAAAAACAAAAATGTTAAAAAGCGGCTTATAAAGTTTTGGAAGCCAGAACTAATGAATTCATTATCAGTATATAGTACTTAATGTAAACTATGATGCAATACATTAATCACTTACCTGTTCCTAATTTTGTGTTGACAACGAACCATGGCATTCCAACTTTCACAGGTCTTCAATCTACTAGAGTCTGTGTGTTTTTCCATAGGGAACACAATTCACATGACCGCATTCTGTGTTTCGACATTTCACATACAAATAACCAGACACTCCCTGTTTAAATTCACCTAACATGTTGTCAAAAGTTAATCAGTGCTGTTAATGGTAGCCAACTGGTCCAAGTCTACATTTTTTACAAAATCTTAGGTTTGACCGTAACACGCCAAACTCAACGATTCTTCTTCCCTCTTTCCAACCCTCATTATCAACCGATTTAGGAAGAGTTGATGTCTTGTAGAGCTGGTTTGGTTGACACGTAATACTGGTTACCTGCACTATAGTTATGTTCTATAATAAAGTCGGAATACTTGAGTTTTCTGCATCTTTTTACACTTTTTTTTAATCGACCGAGCGTATCACGCTGTAAGACGCCATGTTAGATATCTGCGGAAATTACGTCATTTTCTTGGGGAATACTACCACGTGACCGGGGATATTCGCTATTATTAGAATTCCGACTTTATACGTAAACAAACGAAGTTCGTTACGATAAATGGCGAGATATGGCGGTAATTGTCGAAGATTGCCGATTTCATTATGGGTCTTCTACCTTATAATTTTTTAACTGTTATTGTGAACTACAATACCCTCCATGATACATATGATGTTTCAATTTGATAACTCTTAGGCAAAAAATAAAAATTTGTTTGTTTCCACTTCCCGACCCATAAAAATAAGGTTGGGTAGGTAGGTAGGTTATAGCACGGACTTTAATTGACATTTAAATCCGTGGTTATAGGTAGGTACATGAAGGACTTTTTTTAAATGTGCATAATAATATAATTCCTTGGCAAAATAGTTATTTACTGAACAAAGTTGGATTAACTTTCAGAACTGATATGTTTGTGGCGATAATCTGGCAAACTTGTTTTTATAGAAAAGTTTCTGGTGAACTTTCAGCGAATAATTTTTTTGATAGAAAGATTCTGGCAATCTCTGGCAAATTAGTTTTCCACTGAAAGTTTCTGGCAAACTTTTGGCGAACTACTTAATATTCTGGTGAATTCGCCGCAAAGTCGCCAAATGTTTGCCACAGAGTTGCCACTAGTGGCGATATCTGGCAAACACTTGACACAGTGTTTTGGCGAACTAAAATGTTTGCAGCGAATTTGCGGCAAAGTTGCGGCGAGTTTGCGGCAAACCTTTCCTTTTGGTACGGGAAAATAATCCAAAAGTCAAAATCCTTGCTATTTCCCCAAGGTATAGGATGCTAGAGTTTCTACTGAATTATGTATGTTTTTGTCATATGGCGAGATAGAAAAAGAGACAAAAGTTTCTCAACACAAATGTTTATTTACCATGGCTGTTGTGAAAGGTATGTTGTCTATGAAGCTAGAAGCTATTGCAGACACCCATAATATTAGAATGATAGCCACGAGTATTTGTTGATCCTTCTCTACATCTACTAGAATACTCTTCACTCCTCCACCTATCCAACTGATCAGACCCAACTCTTTTAGTCCCTAGAAATAAGTATATCATTTGTTATTTATGCCTAACTGTACGAAATTCAGGTAATGAACTTTACCAGTTTTGAATCTGGAGCTGTCAGCAATTTAAGGGAATTCAAAACTAAATTTGAGCTACCCGTAGCATATTAAACAGATGTAAAGACTGGTCTGACCATATACTGGTGGGAAAAATGTAATAATCAAAATAAGAATTCACAATCAGGGTTTTTAAGAATAATATGGTAAAAATGCATGATCATCATCTTTTCGAGTCAAAATGCATGTGTCCTTAAAAATGTGGAAACCAGCCTAAAAAGTTCCACAGAATGTGGTTGCTAATTGTATTTGCAAGGTCGCATGAGTAGAATATGTTGTCCATGGATAGGCCCTTAGGATTTATGATTCATGTAGAACTTAATATGCTTGATGATGATATAAATAAAGCCTTACCTCCATTAGGGAGAAAAGAGCGATAATGATATAAATAAAGCCTTACCTCCATTAGGGAGAAAAGAGCAGCAAAGAAGATAAGTGTTGACCACTCTACCATATGTAAAATGGTCTCTAAATCCTGCATGTCTGCCAATACCATCAACATAATGGCTCCCATGATCGCAATCCAACCTGTTAGACAGTTACATTAGGTCACAGATTTTTTTGTTATTATAATTTACTTTTTCATTTTATGTAAAGGACTTGACTTGATTATATTTTGTATTAACCACAGTTCCAATTTTCTTTGCTAATTAATGACTTGCCAATAGAAAAAAATAAGAGAGAACTTTTATACATTTTAAACAACATATGAATATGCTTCAAGAGACAACCTGTCATAAGTGAAATAGTCACTGGTCTCTAAGTGTTAGATAAGACAGGTAGATGCATTGCTTTAGTATCATATAATAAGCATATCATACAACAATTCAATATTTTATTGAGCATATGAACATATTTAAATGTTCTTTACCCACATATATAACATGCAAGACGGTGACATTTATTACAATGAGAAGAGCATGATTATGTTATTACAATGAACTATATAAATAACTAAAGAACAATATTCACATGAATATATATAACCAGTGACAGCATTAATATTGAAATAGAAAGTATAGAATAAAATTAATCATATCAAAACAAATGATTTTTACAAAGTTGAAAACAAGTAAAAAATACAAACATTTGTAAAAGAACAATATTCCGTACCAGTACAACTTGGCCCATCTGATCACTGGTGCATACAAAGTAAATAATACTATCTGGGGCGGTCATTGATTTGTTTATATTAGGAGTTCAGATAAATCAGGTAAGGCCAAATTTATATAGGTACTGAATATTATGGTTTCATGACATCATATATTTAAATAATATTTACATTTTAAATTTTTATTTTTAACTAATTTCTGAACGTAGTTTTGTTGCTAAGAATATATATTTAGCAAGTTTATTTAATACATTTGATTGTTGTGTTGACAGTAACATACGAAACTTTTGTAGTGTTGGCCAATGACAATAATATTTTGGAAGACATTTATTTCTTATTTCACGGTAATGTTGGCATACAAGAACAAAGTGGTATTCATCTTCAACAACATTCATATTGCAAAAAATACATTTTCTATTTTCTCTTGGTATGTTTCTAAATCTACCTTCTTCTATTGCTAGTCTATGTGATGAACATCTAAGTCTAGTGAGAGCTATGCGATGAGAATCATTTTTTACACATGATAAATATTTTTCAAATCCTATACTATATGAATTAGAATTCCAACACAAAAAGGTTCATTAATTATGACAAACTGTTGACTTTTAATAGTTAATAATTACTTAAACTGGTACATTAACTATTTGTCTCCAAAATGCCTAACTTTAATGTATTGATACAGATGCAGAAAATAAGTTTTAACAATGAAACTTCATAATTGTATTTAATTACAAAATATTAAAAGGGAATTACAGATGAGTGAGTGAATGAATGAATGAATGAATAAATGAACGAATAATATGAATGAATGAATCAGATAGCTTTAAGTTACCTAATCCAATATGCATTTCATCAATGAATGAGTGAAGAAAAAACAACAATATGACCACAGCCAGTACAATCCCACTCTTCACCAGTAATGCTTTATCTGTGATTTTATGCTAAAAAAGATGTAATACATGCATTTAGTTATATATTTCATTCTAAAGGCAGTGCACAGTGAAATTGCCATTCCATATATCTTTCAACAGTCATTCTTAACCCCCATTTCTGGGATGTGTAAGTGCACTGATTTTGTAACTTTGACCCTTCTTCCCAAACTCCTCTCAGTGATTTGATTGGCTGTATGCGAAGCAAAAGGGGGACCACTGCAGGTTTGCCTTTTCTTTCCCAATTTTTGGGATATAGTGAGAAAATCAAGCAAGTTTAAGGAAGAATCGGGCTTATCCTGCAGAGACAACTAGAAAGAACAAGCGCAACTTGACATCACAGACTTCAGCTTGCATTAAACTACTGGTAAACTATACTCACTATTTTAGATGTTTACAGAAGTTAAAAGAAAGAACAACAGAAAAAAAGTCATTTTTGAATCAGTGACTTACTTTCTTTTCAAGTTCTGCCAACATTTCCTTGAAATTCTTCTGTTTTCTTCTCCTGTAAACATATCAATGTCATAACAACAATAGAAAATAGTTTTCAAGAGATGTCATTTAGTGATTTATTGTAAGTAAGACAGAATAGCAACTTCCATTATTTTATCATTCAGTATTTCATAAAAATCAAGAACCAATAAATGTAAAAAATTAAATATTGCATAATTTTCAAGCTCAGGATTGCAATTAGTCCTATAAATATGGCGTCGCTTTGAGATTTTTTTTTGCTTCTGAGCTTGACGACATGACCTATAACAAGCCTGTAACGTCTGATATATTGGACTAGATTGCAATAGACAGCAAGCATCATTCTTGCCGCTGGTTAAAATATAGATATCAAAAATGACATTGCAATTTTGGTATAAGTTATACAATTTTAAAATGATCATAATTAACCATGAAAATCGATAATACATACTTCATTTTATAGATTTGTTTGACCAGTTTATTTTCAAGTTCCGCAACTCTTTGTAGAAATATAGCCTGCATTACTTTCTCCTCCCTGGAAATAGCCACGATACGCTTGGCTGCCCTTTTCCACATATCTATCTCATGACGTAGTTCTAAAAATAGATTTAAGTTCTTGATACTTAGTAATAAGGATATTATCATCATTTCATATGATTGTTTTTTGTTTTTTTAAAGACTCTGCAATAATCATAAAAGGTAGTTAAATTGGTGCAGGAAGCTATTACATGTTCCTCAATGGAGTCCCAAAATGATGAAAAAGTTATACATCTTAAATGCACACAATCTTATTCATCATATGACTCTGTTATGGTCATATGACAAAGGTGCAGGACGAAACCAAATGTTTCTCAGTGAAGTCCTTAACTAATGAAAAAGTTAAGTAATGAAATTTTTTTTTATCCCCCATTGATATCTAAAATGCACAATGTTTTTATCATATGGAGACATTGTAAGATAACCATAACCCCTAGCCTGCTAGCAGCAACATATTTTACCTATGGGATCAGTACAACCATCTGATTATGGTTTGTACTGTTCGCTATTTAGTCAGTACATATTTTTAAATTTTCCCTTAAAATGCTGAAAGATTTTTTGTCCACATTGAAAGATGGATATTTAAGATATTTAGCAAGATAATGGTTAACCAAAATGCCCTATATAGATTTGTTCTTTGTGTAACTTAATGAAAATGTCCTTTGGAAAGATTCTTATCATAAAAATTTTATATGTATCATGAATTACTGTCTTTTTCAGTATTATCTATGATCCCTATAGGACTGTCTTATTCAGTATAACCTGTGATCTCTTTTTGACTGTCTTATCAGAATTACATGTAATCTGTATTGGATTGTCTTATTCAGTATTACTTGTAATCTGTATTGGATTATCTTATTCAGTAATACCTGTGATCTCTATTGGATTGTCTTATTCAGTATTACTTGTGATCCCTACTGGATTATCTTATTCAGTATTACCTTTGATCCCTACTGGATTGTCTTACTCAGTATTACCTGTGATCTCTATTACATTGTCTTATTCAGTATTACCTGTGATCCCTATTGGACTGTCTTATTCAGTATAACCTGTGATCCCTATCAGATTGTCTTATCATTATTACCTGTAATCTGTATTGGATTGCCTTGTTCAGTATTACCTGTAATCTCTATTGGATTGTCTTATTTAGTATTACCTGTAATCTCTATTGGATTGCCTTATTCAGTATTACCTGTAATCTCTATTGGATTGTCTTATTTAGTATTACCTGTAATCTCTATTGGATTGTCTTATTCAGTATTACCTGTAATCTCTATTGGATTGTCTTATTCAGTATTACCTGTAATCCCTATTGGATTGTCTTATTCAGTATTACATGTGATCTCTATTGTCTTATTCAGTATTACCTGTGATCCCTACTGGATTGTCTTATTCAGTATTACCTGTGATCTCTATTGGATTGTCTTATTCAGTATTACCTGTGATCTCTATTGGATTGTCTTATTCAGTATTACCTGTGATCCCTACTGTATTGTCTTATTCAGTTTTCACTGTGATCTCTATTGGATTGTATTATTCAGTATTACCTGTGATCCCTACTGTATTGTCTTATTCAGTATTACCTGTGATATCTATTGGATTGTCTTATTCAGTATTACCTGTGATCCCTACTGTATTGTCTTATTCAGTATTACATGTGATCTCTATTGGATTGTCTTATTCAGTATTACCTGTGATCTCTATTGGATTGTTTTATTCAGTATTACCTGTGATCTTTATTGGATTGTCTTATTCAGTATTACCTGTTATCTCTATTGGCTTGTCATATTCAGTATTACCTGTGATCCCTACTGGATTGTCTTATTCAGTATTACCCGTGAACCTTTTTATTCAATATTACCTGTGATCTCTATTGGATCTTTATTCTCGAGATCTTCCATGTTTCTGTAGAATAATCTCAGTAATCCATAGCCAGCAAAGGAGCAAAATACAATACCAACTACCATGTGAGCCGTGAAGTTAGAAAACTCTATTTTCTGTAAAAATTTTAGTAAATAAGGTGACATTAACAAAATGAAACTTTACTTATAAATAATTTAATGTTTAATCCTTTAGATGATAATGATTAACTATTAAATTGAGCCTCAGAGTCTTTGAACTTAATCCATAAATCCATGGAACTTTACCCGGAATTCCATGGAACTTTATCAAGAAATCCAGAAATCCAAACAAAACATAATATTGTTATAAATTTTGGGCAACCTGGCTGAACAATCTCATTAAAATTAGATCTTAGTTTTCACTTTGATAATCTTAATAACCTAAATATGTCAAGCCTTCTGAATTTGTTAATTGGGGTGTCAAACAGTTCATTAGTTAGTCAGCCAACACTGCAAAGAGCCTGGTCAGACTGCATGGATGTACAGGTTGGCCTGGCTCTATACTAGTGGCAAAGGCTAATCACTTTCAAACCCTGCAGGTTAAAGACTAATTGCTATGTTGAAAAAAAGTAGTGTATCATCAGTTATTCATGAATTTAGTTTATACAAGTCCATTTTAGCTTTACACATATTGAAACACTTTCAAATCTGTTCGAACCAATTAGTATCAAGCAGTGCGTGTAAAGTTTTTTTGCTCATGGAAACTGCCCTCCTCTGTAGGGGTTTGAACACATGCTGCCAGCAATCATTAAATAGGTTACTAGTTTACCACTTGGCCATGCCACTACTTGATTTTGATAGGAATATTTATGTAAAAAAATGCAAAACAGTCAGACTTACATTTGCTTTAACATCTTTATGTGAGACTATGATCACATTTGGTGGGTCTCCAATGGCAGTGGCCGTTCCTCCAATGTTTGAAAACAACACCTCAGCTATCAGAATCTTCTTAGGGTCTAAATTAAGCACTTCACATAACCTGTAAAATGATAGCAGTGATTTAATCAAAGGAAAAATTTAGCTTTTCTAAATGATTATGTTGATTAAGTGTAAAAGCAGAAATCCTGAATCAGCCAAAAAAGAGATCTTTCCCAGCCAAAGGATTTAAATTTCTTCGTTCATATAGTTCATTTCTGACAAATGACATTAATTTTGATAATAATAACAAAGCAATATGTGGATTTATGCATTCATTCTGAATTAACTAAAAAGTTCAAAGTCCATATTTAAACTTGGAATATAATGAAACTTCAATTAACTAAAAATTCCATTAACCAATATAATTAGGAGATAGGGTTAACATCATTTCTTTAAGCTCAATGATTGTGAAATAACAACTTATATTAATCACTTTTAAGTCCTCTTCCTGGAGATCTTACCAGTACTTTAATCATATGGAATATCATGTCCCTGTCCTGACTATAGCTAGGACTCGAACCCATGACTTCTCAGTGGGGTAACAGACAGGTCATAGCTTTCCTAAAAAGACAGATACAAGCAAACTAATAACTAAATTTATATACCTGATAGTGACTGGGGTAAGTAGCAGTATAGTTGTAACATTGTCAAGAAATGCTGACACCACAGCGCTAAATGCACAAAGCAATGTTATCAATGGCCACACCTGACCTTTGGCTAGCTTGTAGGCCTGAAATAATTTATAACACCTGACAGATCTATGAAAATAAGACTTATATCATAACAGCGAAGTGAACAATTTAGCATCTAAAAAAGCTGTTCAATCAATTCTCATGATACATTGTATTATGTTACTAGAAAATTCAGTCAATTGTACATGCATATGTAACACAGGTTACATGGCAACACTCAGCCCCTTAAGGGCAACAACTGCTAAAATCTAAATTCAGCAGTGTTAAATACAGCTGTTTCTGTGTTTTGCACTTCAATTCTCAATATGATGAATATAACTTTGCTGTTTTTGATATTAGTATTTGTACAAAAACTTAATAATTAGTATTTTCCATGTAAAAATAGGAGCATAACTCTGCAAGTACTGACCACTTAGTTGTGTCCCTTGTCCTACAGATTTATATTGTTCAAATTAGCAAGTATGCAAAAAATGAGTACAGTTACTTTTGATAGTGTTTAAAACTTTACCAAAAATATTACTTTCAGGATAAAAATGCATCTTGTCATGTTATTCCTTGCTTATCATGACAACACACAGTTGTGAGCCATTAAGGGCAATAATGCAATAATCTTTGGAGTAATTCCCCTTCTTAATTTAGATTTTTTTTGTTCAAGAATGCTTATTATATAATATCTTGTAAAATAATTGAAAATTCAAAACATAATTATGCCTTTAAAGAAAAAGAAATGTTACACACCATAAGAGCACAATAATCAAAGAACCCAGTCTCTGAAAAGATGGCCACAATTATCATCATACCAAACAACAATGACAAAGTTTCTACATCTAGCCATGTCATTATCTTCTCCAGGGTTGGACGCTGAAAAACAGACATTGTCAAGTTTGCAGATTGTATGATACATCACAGAGTTTTTTATGGTTATACAAACATAGTAAAATCAACCCTCATTTAATAAGATACAACCTCAAAATGAATTGCAAAGTTCTGTTAAGAAAATAAAATTTTAATTTTGCAATTATAGTTATTTATCTTGCAATTGTTCATACACATATAATAAAGCAGAAGTGATCTATATGAAGAGATTGTATTTATTTAAATCAATATCACGATTTTTAAATTTTGAGAATGATCAATATAACAGGTCAAGTGATGGTTCAATAATTCATATTTCTATTTTTATTGTCCATATATAATAAAGCTTTCGTGGTCACTCACTATAACAAGATTGCATTTAGCAAAGAATTTAACATAAGAGTAAAACTCACCAAACCAAAGGCTGACATTACAGCAACTGTTGCCAGTGACCCTAATATTGCAGCCAGTGTCCTGTGTACCAGCTGAATAGTAAAGAAATATTTAAATTAACTACTTCTAAAATGTTCAGATATAAAAACTGACATTTACCAGTACTTAATGCCAACTTAATAATAAGATTACATATTTATAGACCAAATAAAAACAAAATATTATTATTCCTCAAAGAACAAAGTTTAGAATAATTTAAGCCATTTTGGTAAATCACTACTTTTTTCCAGCAAAAGTCATATATCATAAGATATATCTCAAACAAATGAGATAATTTCTGTAACATCTCAAGCATTGTTATATCATAAGCAAATGAGATAAATGCTTTTTACATTTTTAAGCAAATTGGGTAAAATATTTTTATATATCTCAAAGCAAATGAGGTAATTTCTGTTATATCTCAAAGCAAATAAGGTAATTTCTGTTATCTCTCAAAGCAAATGAGATTATTTCTGTTACATCACAAGGAAATGAGATAATTTCTGATGCATCTCCAGGAAACAAAGTCATTTTTATTATACAAGCATGGAATCAAAGCTTATGGAATTATTTCTGTATGTTTCACAAACAAATGTTATGATTTCTTTAACATATTAGAAGATATAATTAAAGATATTTAGCAAATGATATTAAAATTTCTCTCCTGAACAAGCCAATAGTAAGTACGAGTAACTTTAATACAACTTACATCAAAGATGATCAAGCCATAGACAAGAATCAGAACAATTAGAGCACAAACTTCTTCACTTTTGGTGTCTGCTGTAAAAGTATAGCTGTATTCAACTGGTAGACATGTTTCTGCATTTATACTCACTGGGTTGTAATCAAATTTCAAATTCACTTTGTCTCTGTAAAAAACAACAACAACAAAACAACAATGATTTTGAAGCAGACGGCGAAATGAAATTAATTTCAGACCATAACAATAGTTACAATTTGACTTAGAACATAAATATTGACAACACTACATGTTATTAAGATGCTAGTTTTTTTGCATTGACAATGCTGAGAACATACCTCTTAAAATTACCAAAAAATTGACACAATGGAAACCTTTTGAACAACATTATTAAAGCAGCCTTCAGTTTTTATTTTTATCTGGGGAAAAAATTCAGGGTTGTTTCAAACTAATTATTTCAATAATTTTATCTTTGAAAAGTGCATCATATCACTGTTAAGTCTTCTTCAAAACAACATCCTAAGAGCTATTTATAACGCGCCAGTGGCGTTCGTTTCTAGAAATAGAAGTGAAAGGAATTGTCCACTAGATACATATTTACATAATAGTGAACACTTGTTAGGAAGAATTTTTTGCTTTTCCTTCATTGCTTTAACTTTGACCTGTTGGTTGTGAAAGTGATTAGCCTCCCCCTCCCCCCTCCCCCGAGCAAAATGAGAAATACAAAATGAAATATAACTTACTCTGATGTCTTTAGATCATTAAGCTCTAATTCTCTTAGAACTGTACTAATGGAATGATTAGACAGGGCCACCATGTTCACTGATAGATTCAATACCTGAAATGAATCAGAAAACAAAATGGTTACAGAATATATTATGTGAGCAAATGATTTTCTTCTTACAAAATATTTTGCTAAACATATAATTATAATAACAGACAAAAAGAAAACAAATAGACCACCCAAATGTATCATATACCATGTGCTTTCTATATGCTTAACATTTGTCTTATGTGAAACAGAAGCCTTAAAGGGACTCCGATGAGGCTTTTTGACATGACAATATATTTTTTCAAGATTATGTTCTATTTGATGTAAATATGAAAAATAACTTGTGTGCAAAAATTTGCTCACTCTGTTTTTCCATAATAATTATTTTAATTGTGAAAAAATGAGCATAATGCAGTGCTGTTCACTAAACTTGTGCTATGAATAGCATAAAAATATGACTTTTTAATCATTTATAAATTTATTTCTTAATTGCCTTTTCCATACTTCTCTGTTTTTAGTCCCTGAGCTGATTTATGTAAGAAATTCTTATTTCATCTTTTTCAGGCTTTTGAACCTCAGTGGAGTCCCTTTAAAGAAGCACACCCGCAGATTTATGCTATTTTTTTATTTATAATTTGCAATTTTCATAGTCAATTCATACATATTTAATCAATTTCCTAAGTTGGCCTTTTTTACAAATTTGTTTTCTTATCAAGGGACCCATAGATTTGAATGTGCATTTGACATGTTGATTTTCAGCTTCTGAAAGTTTGTAACATGTTATTTAATTATTTTCTTTACTTACTGCCTTCATTCCCTGGGTGACACTAAGTAAATCTGAATTATCATTTGTTTCATTCGGATTTCCAAATGGTCCTTTAAATGTGAGCAGTACTCTTCTCCCTTTAACACCAGATGGCACATCTGAAACAGAATCTGTTTGTTTGAGTCAAACTTTATTATTAAGAAATTAAACAAGCGTAAATTGTTCATAACCCCCCGCCCCCCCCCAAAAAAAAAGAAAAAAAGAAATGAATAAATAAAAACAGAATCCAAGCTGTATCTTTGAAATAATTGTTGATTTTATGTATAACAAAGCAAATTAGCAGTTTTATCAAAATAGTGAATAGATTTAAGATTTTTTTTTATTTCTTTGTTCAGGTACTTTATACAAATTTATTTTAGTTTCATTGCGTTGGAAGCTGTAATCTTATTGAAACACTCTCAAATCGGTTCCTGGAATTAACCAGACTACTAAGCAATGAATGTAAAGTTTCTTGCTCATGGAAACAATTGTTTGCCCATGACACGTTTGAACCCACATGAAAAAAATCCCACAGGTTTTACTATGATATAATCTGCACTTTATCATTATTATAAGGGATGTTTAATTACTTTCAACAAATATAACACTTGTCTTGTGATCGTTTATAAACGTTTTATAAATCATGCCCCATGTGAATGAAAATGCACCGGCTCATTAAATAGCACCTGCTTCATAACAGTGCATCTTTTGAATTAAACAATCAAAAAAGTAATCACAAGATGTCTTGTGGTTCAGTCATATGAGGAAAACATTTCAACCATAAATTATTGTAGCTAGTAAATCTAAGATTCTGAACTAAATTTGAAACATATCTTCTACACCATTGAGAATAAATAATGAAATGAACATCTCAATTATGTCATACATCTTCACCTGAAATTATTGATAAACAAGATGACTGTTATGGGCCTATATTGCTCACCTGACTGTAATCAAAATATTTTTTTAGTTCACCAAATTTTTTTTTATATATCGTTTCATTCATTTGGTTTTATGGGGGCAATGATTTGAAATATGGGTAAATAAACAGATAAAGCAATTGTATTAACTTACATCAAATATGTATATATGCTCAAGATAGCTTAAAAAAGTATGTTTAAACTGTAGCATTACAATCTGTCATATTGACAATATGCAACCGTCTTAAGGTTATATATAAGATTCTAATTATTTAAAACAGATAATTATAATCATATGAAACAAATTTTACAAAATATGTTTTAAGCTGCACGCCTCCAGATTAGCAAAAATATTTCAATAAAATCAAACCTGTGGAAAAGGTGAAGATTTTAGGAAAGGTATATAGATTCAAAATTACAATAAAGTTGGAAAGTTGCCATATGACCACGGTCGGTGTCAGTATAACTTATAATCCAATAAAAAAAAAAAAAAAAATTGTAGGAAAATTGTGCAGAACACACAGACACTCAAACATCATATATTTTACTATACCTATAATTACTTACCTTCAAGGACAATTTCACTATCTACATTTGACTGTACTGACACCTGGTTCCAGGTTTCTTCATGCTCCGGATTAATCACAATAAACACCTGTAATTATATAATAAAGGTGGTTTAATATGATAAACAATTAAGAGCCAACAGTTACTATAAAGTGGAGCACAATGAACTGTAAAATTTGATTTTTCCCTGTTTACATTCAAGCTCTTGCTTTTTCTTAAATTATGATTAATGCAAGTTCAAAATATTAAGTTAAGAGGGCTGGCAACAAATCAATGGTTAATGTTTGGTCCAGAATGAAATATATCTATAAATTGCAAATTTAAATTTAATATGGCTTAATAATTCTAGCAATAAATTTCTATTTAATATTTCATACAACGAAAACTACAAAACTACATAATTATGTACATGAATATAAAATCTTTCAGTCAGATCTAAATCTTGCAACTTACCAATTTAAACAACAAAATTAAACTAACTGCCTTTGTTTTACAAATTAAACAATCATATCAAATTAGATCCCTATGCAACAAATTTAAACAAAATTCAGAAATTAAGTAACATGTATATGCTAGACATCTAAGGTTTCTACAAATTTTGTTTAGTTTGGTTTATACAAATTTATTTTATACCAATAACCATTGTGCTGAAAGCTATAAGCATATTGAAACATTCTTGAATCTGTTCCTGAAACCAACCAGTACCTATAAGCAAATTAAATTTTATGTATGAAACAAGATATAACTTTTATGCTTAGACTTCACTTACAATGCTAACTATAGCTGCAACAGTTAAGATGAAGACTTTTAAATGTTTTAACAATGTCCATTTATTTTTCGCAAAATTTTCTCTGCTGAAGAAAGGTGGTTGGTCTTCCTCCTCACTCATGGAGTCTGTCAATGGTGTGTGGCTGAAATGTTAAAATATAGCCGAAAACTTCATATCAAATTTACATATTATTTGCATCAAAAAAGCTAACTTATGTGCCAACTATACTATTAAATATAACCAATGCCTTATTGTTCATCTCAACATTAATTGGATATTGCCTGTGAATTTAAATGCATATTTTTTATTTTTTATGAATGAGTTTGAATTAAATATCTTCACCCTTTGAATGTTAGGTAAAATAATGACTTACCTTTGCTGCCAACTTAGAGCTAGGCCTCCAATTTAGAGCTAGACAGAATAGTTTAAGCATTTTGACATTAAAAACCCTAACCTTAACAAAACACAGTTCTAAAATTAAAACAAGACAAGCCCAACAAATTAAGCAAGGTATGATTTGATAATATTCAAGCTTATAAAAAGTTAACATACCAGACTTCATTAAGGAGAGGTGACGTTTCACTGACTGGCGTCCCTATTGTTCCCATGGTGCCGTAGCCTAACGTTGACTGTGGCGTAGCCTCTCGACTGCTGTAAATCTTTGTCTCTGATTGTTTACCATCTGTATGAGTCTCGAAAACTATATCATCCTGAAATATAATAATGTTGACATGTATAACACGGAACTTGTTGCAGACCTGTGGGGAAAACAATGATTAAATGGCCAAGGTGTGTGTCTATGGCCCAGGATCAAAGGTGTGTGCCTATGGTCCAGTTGCGAAGGTTTGTGTCTCTGGTCCAGTGGTCAAGGTGTGTGTCTCTGATCTAGTGGCCAAGGTATGTGTCTCTGGTCTACTGAATAAGGTGTGTGTTTCTGGTCTATTGACCAAGGTGTGTGTCTCTGATTTTAGTTGCCAATGTGCGTGTCTCTGGTCCAGTGGCCAAGGTATGTGTCTCTGGCATTAGTTGCCAAGGTGTGTGTCTCTGGTCCAGTACCCAAGGTATGTGTCTCTGGTTTTAGTTGCCAATGTGTTTGTCTGGTCCAGTGACCAAGGTGTGTGTCTCTGGTCTTAGTGGCCAAGGTGTGTGTCTCTAGTCTTAGTGGCCAAGGTGTGTGTCTCTGGTCTAGTGGTCAAGGTGTATAACTCTGGTCCAGTGGCCAAGGTGTATAACTCTGGTCCAGTGACCAAGGTGTGTGTCTCTGGTCCAGTGGCCAAGGTGTGTGTCTCTGGTCTAGTGGTCAAGGTGTATAACTCTGGTCCAGTGGCCAAGGTGTGTGTCTCTGGTTCAGTGGCCAAGGTGTGTGTCTCTGGTCCAGTGGCCAAGGTGTGTGTCTCTGGACCAGTGGCCAAAGTGTGTGTCACTGGTCTAGTGGCCAAGGTGTGTGTCGCTAGTCGTAGTGGCCAAGGTGTGTGTTTCTGGTCCAGCGGCCAATGTGTGTGTCACTGGTCCAGTGGCCAAGGTGTGTGTCGCTAGTCTTGGTGGTCAAGGTGTGTGTCTCTGGTCCAGTGGCCAATGTGTGTGTCCCTGGTCTAGTGGCCAAGGTGTATAACTCTGGTCCAGTGGCCAAGGTGTGTGTCTCTGGTCCAATGGCCAAGGTGTGTGTCTCTGATCCAGTGGCCAAGGTGTGTGTCTCTAGTCTTTGTGGCCAATGTGTGTGTCCCTGGTCTAGTGGTCAAGGTGTGTGTCTCTGGTCTTGTGGTCAAGATGTGTGTCCTTGGTCGAGTGGTCAAGGTGTGTGTCTCTGGTCTAGTGGCCAAGGTGTGTGTCTCTGGTCTAGTGGTCAAGGTGTATAACTCTGGTCCAGTGGCCAAGGTGTGTGTCTCTGGTTCAGTGGCCAAGGTGTGTGTCTCTGGTCCAGTGGCCAAGGTGTGTGTCTCTGGACCAGTGGCCAAAGTGTGTGTCACTGGTCTAGTGGCCAAGGTGTGTGTCGCTAGTCGTAGTGGCCAAGGTGTGTGTTTCTGGTCCAGCGGCCAATGTGTGTGTCACTGGTCCAGTGGCCAAGGTGTGTGTCGCTAGTCTTAGTGGTCAAGGTGTGTGTCTCTGGTCCAGTGGCCAATGTGTGTGTCCCTGGTCTAGTGGCCAAGGTGTATAACTCTGGTCCAGTGGCCAAGGTGTGTGTCTCTGGTCCAATGGCCAAGGTGTGTGTCTCTGATCCAGTGGCCAAGGTGTGTGTCTCTAGTCTTTGTGGCCAATGTGTGTGTCCCTGGTCTAGTGGTCAAGGTGTGTGTCTCTGGTCTTGTGGTCAAGATGTGTGTCCTTGGTCGAGTGGTCAAGGTGTGTGTCTCTGGTCTAGTGGTCAAGGTGTGTGTCCCTGGTCTAGTGGTCAAGGGTGTGTGTCCCTGGTCTAGTGGTCAAGGTGTGTGTCCCTGGTCTAGTGGTCAAGGTGTGTGTCCCTGGTCTAGTGGTCAAGGTGTGTGTCCCTGGTCTAGTGGTCAAGGTGTGTGTCCCTGGTCTAGTGGTCAAGGTGTGTGTCCCTGGTCTAGTGGTCAAGGTGTGTGTCCCTGGTCTAGTGGTCAAGGTGTGTGTCTCTGGTCTAGTGGTCAAGGTGTGTGTCTCTGGTCTAGTGGTCAAGGTGTGTGTCCCTGGTCTAGTGGTCAAGGTGTGTGTCTCTGGTCTAGTGGTCAAGATGTGTGTCCCTGGTCTAGTGGTCAAGGTGTGTGTCCCTGGTCTAGTGGTCAAGGTGTGTGTCCCTGGTCTAGTGGTCAAGGTGTGTGTCCCTGGTCTAGTGGTCAAGGTGTGTGTCCCTGGTCTAGTGGTCAAGGTGTGTGTTCCTGGTCTAGTGGTCAAGGTGTGTGTCCCTGGTCTAGTGGTCAAGGTGTGTGTCCCTGGTCTAGTGGTCAAGGTGTGTGTCCCTGGTCTAGTGGTCAAGGTGTGTGTCCCTGGTCTAGTGGTCAAGGTGTGTGTCCCTGGTCTAGTGGTCAAGGTGTGTGTCTCTGGTCTAGTGGTCAAGGTGTGTGTCCCTGGTCTAGTGGTCAAGGTGTGTGTCCCTGGTCTAGTGGTCAAGGTGTGTGTCTATGGTCTAGTGGTCAAGGTGTGTGTCCCTGGTCTAGTGGTCAAGGTGTGTGTCCCTGGTCTAGTGGTCAAGGTGTGTGTCCCTGGTCTAGTGGTCAAGGTGTGTGTCTCTGGTCTAGTGGTCAAGGTGTGTGTCCCTGGTCTAGTGGTCAAGGTGTGTGTCTCTGGTCTAGTGGCCAAGGTATATGTCTCTGGTCCAGTGGTCAAGGTGTGTGTCCCTGGTCTAGTGGTCAAGGTGTGTGTCTCTGGTCTAGTGGCCAAGGTATATGGCTCTGGTCCAGTGGCCAAGGTGTGTGTCTCTGGTCCAGTGGCCAACATGTGTGTCTCTGTCTCTGGTCCAGTGGTCAAGGTGTGTGTCTCTGGTCCAGTGGTCAAGGTGTGTGTCTCTGGTCCAGTGGCCAACATGTGTGTCTCTGGTCCAGTGGTCAAGGTGTGTGTCTCTGGTCCAGTGGCCAATGTGTGTGTCTCTAGTCTTAGTGGCCAAGGTGTGTGTCTCTTGCCCAGTGGCCAAGGTGTGTGTCTATTGTCCAGTAGTCAAGGCATGTGTCTCTAGTCTTAGTGGTCAAGGTTTGTGTCTGTGGTCCAGTGGCCAAGGTGTGTGTCTGTGGTCCAGTGGCCAAGGTGTGTGTCTCTGGTCTTTTGACCAAGGTGTGTGTCTCTGTTCAGGGTCATGCCAGTAGAACCATCAAATTTCTGTAATTGTAAGCTTGCTTGATAGCTTTGACAAAATGATCATCACATGTAAGAATCCAAATTTAAGTCCCAAATAATTAATTGGCTACATTGTATGAGTGATTTATATAATACCATATGCACCATATTTAAGGATTGCTGGCCGTGTTGGTTCAAACCCAGTCGGAGGCAAGCTCTTGTTTCCTCCAATTCTGCCAATTGACAAAACAAATGAGACTAATGCCTGTTCTTAGTATTGGTTGGTTTCAGGAACAGAGTTGAGAATGTGTTTATAAGCTTATAGATACCAAAATCAAAATAAATTCTGTATTAGCTAAATTAATCGCTATCAGGATTCCATCTCTCAGTAGAGAGGACATATTTTTCATAGGTCTCAGCGACCGTGGCCAGCCATGGAGGCTCCTTTTAATAATTAGATTTGTAGATGCTGCCGTCCGAAGGCAATATTTATTCCAATAAATCAAATTTTTGTGCAAAATATTTCCATCTACAAGATAACAACTTGAAATTTTATTTGAATTGTAAGAATTGGTTTGAAAATAAATGTTTAAATAATTATTTTTTTAAAGTAATAGTCATTACAATACAAATGTTGAAATCATACTTATATACAATATCACTATAACATTTCATCCCTTTTGAAATATGAAAATAAACCTGTACACTAGGTGAAATGCTTCTATGTCCGGTATTCAAACTTGGCGGTCGTGATACGGGGGTATTGGCCCTGTTTGGATTGACATGTATCCCTGCTTCTGGAGCACTTTCCCTCCGTCTGTTCATAGCTATGTTCACTCAAACTAAAAACAAAATACTGTACACTGTAACAATGAAGATTTTGTAGGACATGTCTCATATTGTTTCATTGAATGCCGGCTCCCCCGCCCCCCACCCTTCCTCTACTTAGGCCTCCACCACATTTTGTAGAAGAAAAAAAGAAAAATCTTACCTTATAGATTTGTTATAGCATCCAAAAAATCCAAATATTTTAATTTTAAAAATAACAATCTATAACACTCCTGTAATATAAAATCATTGAAAAAAACAACACCTGTATAATGTATTAGATTATAATAATAAATAATGATTTCAACATTCAAATTGTATCATTAATAAAGACAATTTAAAGCACATTTTTATAGTTACAATTAGCGTCCCTCTTTTGGAAAAAACGCAAGCCCCGGGTGTGGTTCTTTACTTTACATAAATCTTCTGGTAAAACAATACAATACACAGATGGTTTGTTAACAGGGGTAAAACTATATAATACCATCATGCAAAGTTTAAAAGTAGAAAAATATCATATTACATTAACAATAGAAAACAAACTTTGTTTACATCTCTAAAGTTGAAATTAAAATACTTTAAATACTGAATTGTTGTATAGAAAACATAGAAATATTTGTTTGTTTTTAGTCAGTTATGAATATGGGATATTCCCAAATGAGAGGTAAAAAGTCATGATTTTTTGTAAAAGATTATAAAAGAAAATTATCTAATAATACCAAAATCTGAAATATTACTTCTTTTTCTATTTTTTTCTCCTACTTTCTTTAAAAATCATAACTATGAAAATACAGTCTGTCCAATCCAATATGGGTCTAGTATACCTGTAGTGCACATCAAGTGTACTTTGTGTAACTTTTAGTGTGAACTCAAATGATATGAAATTAAATGTAACTGCTTTACACTGTCCAGTCCAATACGGGTCTGGTAGTTCACATCTAGTGCACATCAAATGTACTTTGTGTAACTTTTAGCGGGAACTATAATAATAAGAAATTAAATGTAACTGCTTTATACTGTCTAATCCAATATGTGTCTAGTACTACACCTCTAGTGCACATCAAGTGCACCTTGTGTAACTTTTAGTGTGAACTGAACTGTATATTCACAAAATAAATACCGAGATACATGTGCATGGTTCAAATTAGATAAAACAAATTTTTTTTTAAGGCACCATAAATATTCCTGAGGCACCCTACTTCAGTCTCGTTTTATCATTTGTTGATAATCCCCTTAGTTTTTTAAATAAGTTATATAGCGTGAATAATATAATCTATATCTTATTGATATTTTTTTTATTTTATGTAAAAGAATGAAATAAATCTTGTAAAGTTTTTAATATACATGTAGTGCTATAATGAAGTTTAAAACTTCCTTGTGATGTATGAACAAAAAACATGTATATTTTAGATTGTTTATAAGGTTTTATTGTTTATTTGACATTTGATTATAGATAAAACTTTGATAAAATATTTGTTTGTTTATACATAGATAATTATGTTAATTGATACATCACTTCCTAGCTTGTCATTAATTTTTATGCCCTTACCATGATATGGGGGTGGGGTAGCATTAAAACTACCAGTTACAATGTATGTCATGTGTAACTCCAAAAGTAAAACTGCTAGTGGAATGACACTTTCCAAGGATTGTCAGAATCAGTGCATTTAATGCAAATTTGTTAGAGTTTGGCTGCTTGTGCCCCTGTTTTGTTAAAAAAATAGAATTTTGTTAGACTTAATGGATCAAGTGTCAATACTCTAAAAGTATAACTTCAAGAGCCATGAAATGTATAAGAATAGTTCTGTTGTCTTCATGTGAATGTATGCACCTTGTTGATTTGTTGCAAATTTGTTGGAAATTAAATGAGTTATGGTCCATGGTAATTTGCTGCAAATTCGCTGCAGATTAACTGTCAGAGTTAACAAAACTATCATATTTGGACATTTTTTCAATGTAATAACTGTTTCGCTGATATGCACCTGTAATAAGTGTACAGGATTTGTTGTGACAAAACAGCAGAATATATTTAATATCTTTAATTTTCTCAATTACTTTAAATGCCTGTTATTACCCAGAAATTCTCACAAAGTTACTCATTTTCAAGTTTTTGAACTATCCTACTTTCGCTTCTGTTGCTTTTTTAACAATAAGTAAAGTTATAGTGACTTAATATTGTGTATGGAAGTCAAATACTACTTAGTTTACATTTTGCTACCCTACTTTCTTCAGGTGATAAGCATGCAACATTCTCTAAAACCAAATGATTTAAAGATTCTCTTAAACCATTATTAAAAGTTATAAAACTCTTGTTTACCCTTTTAAGAAAAAATGTTTTGTATCTGAGACATAATGTGCCTTTAAGCCTTGGTGTGTAGTGCTACAACAAAATTAATGTCAATGTACCTTCATGCAGTATGAAAAAGCCTGTTTCGAATGGATAGGGTCGGTCTGTATTATCATGATAGTTTTCTCTTATATACACGGTTGTCGCCCTTTTCGAAAGAAAAAATGGCTCTCGTCTGCTTGTAAATGTTCATGTACCTTAATCAAACCATCATGCACACGGCATTGATGGTAACAACAAGAAAAAAGTCCTTACATTCTTTGTCGTTTACTTTAAACGACATGCGGTGAAAGAAAGATCAAGACATATACTTGTAAACGCATTATATATAAAATTCCTTCTCATTTCTCGGCAAATCCTACCGATAAACAGATACCATACTTCAGTTAATTATATATATCCAGTCATAGTATGTATATATATTTTTAATGTTATTTATTTATGTTGATAAATGTTTAAGTTATTCCATCGCAAATCAAAGGCATTTATCCGACATTTTTGATACAACTCGAGCAGTCATGACTACCTTACCAAATCCAATCAAGTTTATAAAGATCACGTCTTCTTACCGCACGTTACGGCAATACCGTTGACGTGAGTTCATACGAGTTCGAATGAATCGAAATGTATTGAGGCAATTACGTACGTCTTTATAGATAATATTTTGATCCATTAAAGTACGAACCCGATTTGAATTTTAAGCACTATGACTTTGTCTATTTCAAGGGTTTTCTCTCATTTTCATTGACTCTCCACAGTTAAATCAAGATATTTAATGTCTTTATTTCTGTAAAACAGAGTTGCATTCACGCAAGAAACTTTTGTCAGATCACTCAAAAAGCACGCGCAAAAAGTGCCAAAGTTAAAACTCTGTCAGCGCTGCGGATAACAGAATAGATATTGTCTTTCCACGTACGTTTACTTTTCGCAATAGGGATCATAAATTGATAATTTTGAGTAAAAACCTGAACTTAGTAAGTATAAATTAAATACACCGTTTGATAATTTTGTCATATAGTTTATCTATAATTTGCTATCTTTCTACATGTAATTCAAAAGTGAAAAATTATTTAGATATTTATCTAAAATTATCCTGTATGTGAACTTACATTTACATGTACAATATATTCCAGTTGATATTGGCTCCTAAAACTCGCCAGTATTCCACATTCTATGTAACATAACTAGTATCCATTAATAAACAGTTACATCACAGTGTTATCATTTCCATGAAGGAGCACGACGTATTTACAACAATAAAATTACAAAGTAAATAAAGTACAGTTTAATATTTATTATCAGTTGACAAAATCATGTGATCTAACCCTATCTGGGTGTATGTATTAATTGTCTCACATGACTCTAATATATGTTTACTGAACCGCGTCATGACAAAACCAACATTGTGGGTTTGCGACGAGCATGGATCCAGACCAGCCTGCGCATCCGTGCAGTCTGATCAGGATCCATGCTGTTCGCTGTCAGTTTCTCTACTTTAATAGGGTTGGTAAGCGAACAGCATGGATCCTGATCAGACTGCGCGGATGCGCAGGCTGGTCTGGATCCATGCTGGTCGCAAACCCACAATGTTGGTTTTGTCGTGGCGCGGTCCATATGTTGATTTTTCAGTTTTATATAATTATATACGATATATAGCATTTAGAAACGAATAAAATATATGAACTTTTTAAGGTGTTTAAATATTATTCTCTCAGTGGAAGAGATTGGCCGCAGAGCAATCCCCACCTCCTATAAAAAAAAACAACCACAAAAAACAAAGAAACAAAGATAAAAAACAACAGTAAGTTCCGTTAAATGCAAAAATACAAACAAACACCCCCCCCCCCCCCACCAAGAAAAAAATTCAGCAAAGAAACAAAGAAAAAAAAACAAAACAGAAAGTTCCGTTATGAAAAATAACAAAATCACAATGCATGGGAGAGGATATACTGTTTCAATAAGTTAAAGTGGCTCATATTTCACTTTTTTTGGGGGGGGGGGAGGGGGGTTGACACATTTAAGATGAACACAGGTTTTTTTCAATCTGGACCCAGGTCCGATATTTGTGCCTTAGTTCCCAGACCGTTCTATTTATCAGTACAGTGATGGTTCACAGGTATTAATCAGTAACCCAAACTAGGCACCGAGAATTTAATAAGGTTTATAGATTCTATGTAAATTTTGTTGCTATAATATCATTATGTAATATAGGGCATTGTGTGTCGGATACTAAAGCTACTCTCTCACAAAAATGGGTCTTAAAGCAGCACGTCTCCAGATTTATGCTAATTTTCATGAACATTTTGGAAATGTATTTGAATGTGTAATATTGCGAAGTAACCAAAAGGAAGCAATTTATTCATTATCAATGGCACTTACAAGCCACGTAAATTACCAAAAAGTGGTCAAAATATGCATAAATAGCCTTTACATGTACTACGTTAGTAACGCAGTAGAAATATAGTTGTAAATACTGAAAAATCAGCCATTAATCGCACATAATAAAAATTATGTAAAATATATTTGAATCTTGAAGTTTTTTTACTTTTCCTTACATCTTAGAATCTAGATCTAGTATATTTTTCTCAAGTTTGATTTTATTGAAATATTTTGACTCATCTGGAGGCATGTAGCTTTAAAGCCATCACCATATTTATTTACGAAGATCTAGACATGTTATTTGATACGCATATAGATAGATAAAAGTAAAATCTGCAGTTTCCATGACACAGATATTAACACCCCTATTATCAAACCCATTAGGATAAATTTTAGTCTAGCTTTTAACCAGATTACAAAGATAGATGATCTTCTTCTTTGCTTCTTTTTAGAGACAAAATTTTCTATGATATATTGTGCAACAATCAGTTGCAAGATAATAAAAAACTGCAACCAGTTAACGGGTGTGTTTATAATTAAAATCAATATTAACAAAATATAACGTTGCAACGGTTTAAAAAAGCAGCAGATTAAACAATGCAAATTCCTTACTTATATTTTTTTCGTCGGACAAGACGTCATGTATTAATCAACTAGAGCAAGTGTCCTGTTTTCTTGTATTATCGTGTGGCTAAGGACTTAACTTGATAGGATAATTTAAAAAAAAACATTTTGTTACAGAAATTTTAGCCTGATAGCCTACACTAAGAAAAATTCCATAATGTACGAGCCAGTGGTGAAATTTTATCTTTTGATGAATTTTTTATTTAAACGCCCAAACTACTGTACAGTGTGTAGGATAGAAGCTTTTAACTGCCTTTAAAGGGCTAATGTTCCTTGTTCAATTTGCTATGGAGCCAGGAGCTTAATATGTTATTTTGCATATTATGAAATTTGATTTTCCCGCCATATGACACTTTTGCCATGAAATTTAACTGTTGTTAGAATTACATTTTTACGACAGTTATTTCCCTTTAGCGGAAGTAAAATGCATCCATAACCCTTGACCTCTCATTATTCAATACATCGATCAGACACGAAAAACGACGACGTTTTATAATTTTACGCAATAATATTTTGCGTATTTATGCAAAGCATATTTGTTTGCGGTAATTGCTTTCCAAAGAAACAACAACAAAGTATGGAGGACTGCACGAACTTAACAGAAGACGAATGCGCTGAGATTTTGGTAAAAACGGAAGAAGTTGAGCCACGAGGCACTTTTTGTGAATGTGATCGGAAAGAAATGACTTCTTTCGAAAGACTTGTTCATACTGCTATAGCTCTAGAGGGAGATCCACGTGATGAGCATTCTTATGCATATTCAGACAAAAAGAAGTCAAAGGAAGGCATGGACAAAGATCATAGCTATTACTTTGGAAGTAGATTGGATTCTTACTGTCATCGTAAAATTCAAAGTCTCTCTTATGAAAATCTGGTTGTCCCATCAACAAAAAGTAGCTTTAATGATAAGTACTTTATACTTCCGCATTATCGGTCAAACGACAGTGCCTTGGATGTGACAGGGTTTGACAATATATCTGAAAAATGTCTTTCAGTGGATAATCTAAATGTTAAAACTGTTGACGTGTTCACTCAAAATTGTATTTTACCTGGCGTTTCAGATCCTGATCTTTCCATGATGTCAATTCAGGGCCGAACATCGTTTTCACTTCCTAACAGCCCGCCGTCATCGGAAATATTTGTTAAGGATCATTCCTATGTAATGCTTGTCCCAGATTACAGAGCCTTGCGAGAGAAATGCATTAAAGAAAATAGGGAATGCTTATATAAAGATCATACGTACATAAATTATTCACAAAAACATGTGAAAAGGAGAGACAGTTTACCCTCAAATGTTGGTATTAAACGAGGACGAAGTAATGATGACTTAAGCTTGCTTGGAAGCAACAATTTCAAAAGAAAAGACTTTACAAAATCACCATTCCTAGACGACAGTTACCAGTCTGTTGAGGTAAAAAAGGAACATACACAGGATGAAAAAACATGTGCATCGAAATGTGATAAAGAAGTTGTAAAAGTGTTTAAAGATATTACTCAATTTAAACTACCAAATAAACCGGATACGGAAAATGAAAGTGGGAAAACATTGTTTGTCAAACAGGGTTTATTGCCAGGTCATTTATTAATGGATCACACTTATGAAGAGATGACAGATTCTTCTGTTGATGTGCCCTCAGGTTTAATGACCAAAACCCAGGCTGTTGTAGAAAACGAACTTGCTAAAATGTTTGGAGAAATCAAGACTGAAAAATCCGATCATTGTTATGTGACATTGAAAACTGAAGTGATTGATAGCGAACCTGATAATAGCTGTAGCGATTCTGGCACAGAATCATTAAATGAAGAGGACGAGTTTCATGTAACTGATAATAAACCTATCCATTCTTTGGCAGACAAGCAGCATAAAGAACATCCATATTTCAAAAGAACAATAAAGAAATTGTAGCCTGGTGGCTTTTTGTTTTGTAGGTATAAAATGTAGTTTTTAAGTTAATTTTAAAGATTTCATTGCTTCATTCAACTCTATCTAATATTCATCAATTATTGTTTTTTATGGATAAGCATGTATTGAACTTTTGAATGTTCAAACTTTTGGTTTTTACCGTGCAGACATTCTTGATTCAGACTCTGACCTAACCTTTCTCTGACCTTGTCAAATCTCGATAACTTACTTACACAAGCGTGTCATCAGTCTTGACCATAAACTAGATTTGGATCGTAAACTAAAAAATATAAACAACCAAGCTTTGTTTTTTGCCCCATGCAGATTGTATGTGGTATACAGGCCTGTGAAAATGACCCTGCACTGCTAGTTGGACAAAGTCCAGGGCTGCTATTTTCACACCAAAACAAAAGCCCTTTATTGATGGGGCAGTGTGCGGATAGACAAAATGTAAAACCTAAGATGTATCTATGTATAGATACTTTACCTTGCTATCCCTGCACTTCCCTGTTAATAGAATGGCAATAGTTTATATTCAATGACTTATGTATTAGTCAAGACTTCTAAAGTAAGAAAATAGGAGAAATTTTGTCCTGTTCTTCTGTTAATGTGCTGCATCATCATACTACATGTAATTTAATGGAATCTGTTACAGTTGGCCTACTGAGCCGTTGAAAATTTCAAAGTTACCAGCTGTTAAGGACTTTGGGTGATTTAATTTTACACTGTATTTAGCACTTTTATTTATCACTGTAATTTTATATAATATTTTCTTTTCTTTTTTTCAGGTTTTACAACTTACAACTTACTCAGTGCTGATCAAATTTTGTGTCACTTAGATGATCATGTCATAGACAGATACTGTAACAATACATGTGTTCATAATCTTGAGACTGTACGTGAAATTGTGTTAAGATACCAGGAAATATTTGCATAATAGAGCTACATCATTGAGGTAATCGGGGAATCAGGATCCAGAATGATACAGTGGTTTGAGCTTGTGAGGTCACCGCTTCTTTATTTTCATCAGGATCACATACACAAGTCGGCTTTTAGCAGCAACAGATAAAATTTATATGCAGAGATACACCTTCTTCAAATTCTTACATACATGTATGTAATGTTATTTTAAAGTGGTTGTGATTTGTTGTAGAAACATCGGTTTTCTCATTAAGGGATATTTATAAAATTGTAAGAATTATTTCTGTATATATACAATACATAATGACAAGGGTCACATTTACATCTTATCGGAAAATGAAATAAGGCTATTTTTTTTGTTGAAATATTGTTAATATTGTTTAGAATATTTAAAAAAAATAATATTAGTTTTAGAGGATTTTTGGAAAATAAGATCAGTTTAGATGGTTTTGGGAAAATAAGATTGGTTTTAAGAACTTTTTTTCGAAAATGAGTTGTAGATTGATTTAGAGGATTTTTGGGTAATGAGATTGATATATGATTAAATCATTTGGGCAAATTGAGGTCGGCATTTAGAGGATTTGTTGAAAATGAAATTGGTTTAATAAGAGGATATGGGGAAAAAGAGATGGGATTTAAACTTAAGAAGATTTGGGCAAATTGTGGTTGGTGTTTAAAAGACTGAGAAAATGAGATTAATTTAGAGGATTTTTGGAAAATGAGATTGATGTTTAAAAGGAATTTGGGAAAATGAGATATGTTTGAAGAATTTTGCCACAATGCCTCAATATCAAGCACATTTTTGCTGCTAAGGAGTTTGTGAAGCATTTTTAGAAAAAACTAATATTCAGTTCTTTTGTCAGATCATATTTTTTACCATTTTCATAATAACGATATGAACATGCTTATATAAAATTATAGTCAAGCAACATTATCTCTTCTTGAAAAGATAAAATTCTTATCATTGTAATAATGTTAACTTATTCAAGACATTTATGTTAGATTATTATAAAATCATTGTGTGTACTAGATTTATAATTAGAGCATAATATTCTTTTAAAGCTTGAAAAGCAGTTATTTGAATTTTTATTGTTCTTTATGTTAAAATTTTTGTCAAAGGTCTTTTAATAGGTATTAGATATGTTATTATGTTTTGAAGATGTCCTCTAGAAGATATATATAATATATATATTTGAAGTTGATGTAATGTGTTTAGAAGGAATCTTGGGCCTTACATGTATTAAGAATTTATTTATTTTAGATAAGGGAGATAATTGACCATTATTCAAAGTAGAGCTGTCATTGATTCAGTGCAAAGCATATCAACGATATATCGATATCAAGTGACTAAAATCAATGATACACCGATATATCGATAATATCCTATACTCACTTGTCTGTCATTCACTTTCATACCTGTTTCAATGATTTCAGTCAAAGACATGTTCTGTACAGTGTCTTGTCCACTGCATGATTTTTACCAGACAATATTTTTGTCACCATTGCTATGAAATAATTCCACTTTATAACAAAAGCATAACATTAGATATAAATAACTGTTTCTGCATATTTTTGGGTGAATTGTATAATTTCTAGACATTTAATGTATAAGTCAAAAGTATCGATTTTTTAAAATTTGTATCGATTATTGATCGACAAAAAAATATCAACGATACATCGATATTGTCGATATCGATGACAGCTCTAATTCAAAGCAGAATTCTCATTGTGTCCAAACATTTCTAATAATCATAATTTTATTGTTTATATATCTCATTATTGCCAGGTCTGCCTCAGTTTTCATAGATTATTAATTGTTATGAAGGTGATAAGTTATTTGTTAAAGCCGTCCACTGAGGCTTTTTGACATGGACTAGGAATATTTTTTTTTCAAGATTTTTTTTACAATTTGTTGTTAGCCTGGACAAATACATGTAACATTTAACATTTTCAGATCATTTGCTTACTCTCTTTTTCTAGAATAATCATTACTTTCAAATTGTGGAAAATGGTGAATTGCACTTAAGATTTTTAATTTAATATTGCAGAGTATATTCATTACCTTTGGTATATTTAAAGTGCACAAGCTGAGCCATTATTAAGAAATAATATTATTTTGATATGAGGATCTCATTGCAGATTCTTTAAATACTGACTTTTTGAGTAACACACACTAGTTGACTAACTTTTTCCTATGCCATGTAGTTGTGACATACATGTATACCATACTGTTGTGAAATATCAAATACAAAACCATTATTCGGGTGTGAAATTTCAATAATAATCGTTTTACATTTTGAGAATAATGTGGTGATTACAGGTGGCTAAGGGGTTGCCTGTAAGGTTTGAGGCATTGGAATTGCAGCCACAGTGTATCCCTGGGTGATTGTATGAGGCGATTAAATGGGTTTGAATTACTGGAGTCTCTGCATCTCTGAGCTCCAGAGGGTGTGGTGGTTTTGACCCCTCCAGAAAATGTCAAATGGCACCTATCTTATTATGTGTAATATGTTGACTTAGTTACATTTAACCTTCAAGTTCTAGCCATGGCTAGAATGAACCGTTACCCCAATAAGTATAGACATGCTGCTATGCATGTCCAATCAGTCAAACAAGATTCTTCACTGTTAGCTACAAAATGTAATGTTTTCTCTTGAAAATCCTCTTTGTTTTTAATGGACAAATCAACTACACAAATTCAATAGGGTAAAAGTTAGGTTTAAACCAAGTATGCATATATCAAATGTTATTTTAAATTTGTAACACATGAGGTTAGTCAAAATCGTCTTTCCTGTTTTGGCATCATATGACCGGAATTGTGATGGTGCGCTGTAAAACCAAACAATCAAATATTAAAGATAAATATTAAAATTAAGCTAATGGTGTATATCTATGGTAGGTGGAATGTTTTCACTAAATGTATCACAAATGTATTGTTCAAGATAAACAATGGTTTTCTGCTGAACAGTTTTTGTATGTAGTAAGAAATTTTATAGAAAAATTAGTGAATTTTAACTTTAAATGTGCCAATGTCAGATTTACAATTAAATATTGCTCAATTCATTAGAAGCAAGTACATGTAGTAGTGTTAGAAGTAACTATATAATGAACAAATTTGTCAAGTTGTCTTTCACATATTTAAATCATAGTTTATTAGTTTATTACTAGCAATTGTGCTATGACTATGCCACTAGTATACATGTAGATCAAGGCCAGTCTGCATATTCAGGTTGTCTGACCTGCATTATTTGTGCAGTCTGACTGGTATTCATTATTTGTGCAGTCTGACCCATATTCATTATTTGTGCAGTCTGACCTGCATAAATTGTGCAGTCTGACCTGTTTTACTTATGCAGTCTGACCCATATTCATTATTTTTGCATTCTGACCTGGCTTTACCTGTGGCAGCTCAAGCTTAGTATTTTAATTTTTAGATCTTTGAATCTTTTGTCCTGTGGACCTTTCATATTAACTGCAGGCCTGGGCTTGTTACAGAACAAATTTGTTTGCCCAATATAATCATGTTAGAAGACCTGTTATTTACTCCGAAAGGTATCTACCTGTTGTACTTCTTAGAATTTATGGAGTAAAATTAAGATAAAATGAGAGACCTTCAAGGCCGAGTGGTTAGTCACCGACATCCAATACAATATAACTGGTATCTAACCACTGTAGGTTCAATTATAGCGATTTTGGATGCTTTAACATGCAGAACTGAAGCTATCAAACACTCTTTTGGAAGGTCTTTGGGTTATCGCTTGTGTCTTAAATGCATTGAGGGGTACTCTGAGGTCTAGCTGGAAATTTGCTATTTCACCATTAGGGTTGGTGTGACATAAATCCAAAAGTTTAGATATTCTTTTATTGATTGGTATATTTTTATTGTTTAAAACCAGCCATACCTCGTTGTCAATCATATCATTAAGCATTTAGTAGATTTTGAAAACTTAGCTGTATTGAAGTTGTTATTTGCAGCAGTCTTACTTACATTTCTATAAATAAATACGTATATGATTATATGTATGTTGTTTCTTTTTGATATCTTCCAATGCTACTATCCATACCAGTGGCCTGGTGGTAAAGGTGTATGCCGGAGACATAACAATTGTGTGTTCTTGCCTTACTGGGTTCATTTGAACAAAAAGACTAAACCCAGGACAGCACGCTGAACTTGTGTCCGTATAAAAGCAAAGAGAGCTTAAAACTGTAAAAGTTATTAACAAGACTTACCTGTTCATAAAAATGAACAAATATTTTATATGCAGTCAAACTTTGTTGGCTCAATCTGAGAGTGCCTGTGAAAATTTGTTTGTGAGATCGGTGGCTCGAGCCAACCTAGGTTGAAGTATTATAATGTGATATATGATCATATTTTACGAAGAACATAGGCCTGAAGGTTCCAGCTTACATTAGTCGAATGATAATACATGTCTACATACAGTCTACTCCATTTATAACGAGATTGGTTGTATTTTTTTTTATTAGTGTGTCAGTTTGCAGAATAGGTCATTTCTGCTAGTTATTAAGAACTCTTGTTGAAAGAACAAAACCTGCGTTTACATGGTTGTCCATAACTGAATGCACCTCTAAATTTTACAGAATATGTGACTTAATAACAAAAGATAACACAGAGTTGGTGCATGACTTTTATTATAAGAAAATGGGTTACAGAATTTCTAATGAAAACATAAAACTAAACTAACATGGGTACACAGACACACAAGCAATCATTTTGTGTAATGAACAAGAAGAATATGGAATCTCAGTTGAGTTTAACTCTACATCATGTATATAATTGACAGCTTCTTGCAATGTTTTATTTAAAAGATGAAAGTTAGAAATGTTTCTTAAGTATTTAGAAAATAAGCAATAATATTATGCTAAAAGTATTTCAAGACAAATTAATACAGAGAAGTTACTACAAATATCCTTACAATTTATGTCCGTCTATAAATGTTGCATTGTCCTACAAATTTTTTCAATTCACTACGGTCTACAAAAACTATGCAGTTCTAAAATTCCTATCAAAATAGGACAGTCTATAACACAAAGTGGCCACGAATCCTGCCAATTCAAACCTTCATCTACTTTTACACTAACTTCTTACTTGCCAATTTTTAATGGATCTAGTAATTTCGAAAATTTTATATACATCTCTACATTATATGTATGTCTAAATATTGACAATTATTATATGACCTAAGACACAAAGTACATGTAGATATATAGTCTTACAGAAAATTGTTGTTTGGTTTTGATCATCAATTTAAATATTTAATTAAATTTAATATAACATGAGCTAATTTTCTGGAAGTTGAACTTAAAATGGTGCTCCAAATTGCAAACACAGCAAATACATTATAGAAACTGATAAATAAAAATGTAAACATGAAGTAAAGAAAAGTAGTGTTAAAATTGTCCGATTTTGTTTGTTATATTTTTTTACAAAAGATTTTGTATGAAATAAAATAAAATGTTGAAATGGCACAATAAGAAATGCACAAATCTCCCCCTATTGATGAATAACCCCATTCTTGCAATGAAATGTGTGAAAATACAAATATCAAGTACACATACATATGAGTGTTATAAGAAAAAAAACAAAAACTGTCTAACTAATTGGAATATGGAAATGGCAAATACACGGATAGTCTCTTAAAAATCTCACACTTGTAGTAATTTATAAGGATGTGTAATAGATCAAAGCACATTGATACCTTGATATTCACAACTTATCACATAAAAAGCTGGTTGTTGTCAGATTAGGGAAGTCATGACAGACATTCACATTTATAAATGACAAAATGAAAACGCTTTTTTTTCTTATGACGTGTAACTCAAAACTGTGCAAGGAGACTCGGCACACAAAATTAGACGAACAAACACATAAATACTGCCAATACAAATTAATCACCAAATATACATTATAATTATTATACATCTAATATTAATTAAGTAGTTGATTAAATGAAAACACAATCATAACATGCTGTGATCTGAATTGCATGCAGTATAATTAATATAACTTAAAGCCGCACGCCTCCCGATTTGAAACTTAAGTATTTCCCCAATGTTTAAATTCAGTAATTCACAATTGCTCAATCAAACTTATTATATGTAACATGTAAACATATACAAAGAATCTCTTTCTGCTAGTATCAGGGTAGAATTTTGATGAGAGATATAGATAATTCTGTCATGATTCACTAGATATATGAATATTTATATATTCATAAATCTACAGATATATTATTCCCTAATTTTTATTTTTCAAAGATTAACCTAAGTCATGTGAAGGCATGCTGCTTGAAATCAAATACATTTACATTTTAATGTCAGAAAAAGAGAACAGTCAAGACAAAAACTGTAAAACTACCGGTCAAAAAACTTTTCACCATCATTCATCCAATCACATAAAACTCTGCTTAAATACTCTATACACAAACATTTTCTTAAAGTCATAAACTTTTTCTTGTGTAAATGTTTTATTTATTATTTGTCAAAGACCTAATTTTCAATCTTTATTCAATTTTTTTATTCATAAAATTTTTTATGAAAAGAAGATGACACTTGGCATTTAACATGTATCAATGCAAGAGATAAAATTTGAATAATGATATAAATCAACTTCAAGCTAATTGATGACCATGATTCAAATAACCCTCCTCTAAAAATGGGACCAAATAAAACACTGTTCATAATCTTCAAAGGTTTATAAAAATGTTGTTATTACAGTAACAGTCACTACACATCCGAGTAAAAAAGTTATCAATGCAAGTCATTAACAAACTCATTAAACAAGTCGTTATCAAAAACACATATAAAACAAAGTAATTTTTCACAACTTGAACATATAATACAATCAGCTTTACGTTGTTTCTCTAATTCAACAGTTGTATTAACATGAAAGGAGTAGTTTGCTCAATCTGCCAGCTGGTCCCTAAAAATAAATAATATCATACATAACTACATATCTATTATGCTGCACGTTTGTAATTTCGTTTTTCACTGGATAATCTTGATGTTTTTTTTTTACATATAATATATATACAGTAGATACTGCTGCAGTAGATTTACAAATTAATTTAATTGTTTTCTCTAATTAAGGAAGTTTGCAGTATTATAAATTTGTTATGGATTCTTGATATGATATACGGCCATTTATAATACATGTACTGCATGTTTGTAACATCCTCTTTAATTGGATAATTTTGATGTTTTTATACAAACATGTATAATCTTTATACATGGCTGCAGTTAATTTACGATTCAATTTCATTATTTTCTCTAATTAAGAATGTTTGCAGTGCTATAAATTCATTATAAAGATTGCTGCCATATATAAACGTTAGTTTGCAACATAACCCTCGCCTAGTGACTTGGTGTGTATATATACATGGCTCGGGTTTAGATACAAACATATACATATTAAATGTGAAGAACGAAAAATGTACATGTACTGTTAGCTTTATTTTGATCCTGGAGATGATTGCAGATACTGCGAGAACAGTGAAAAAAACTTTAAGAAACTTTATTACCATTAATTTAATCAACACCCAGGTCTGGCTGTGAGGGAGGGGCTCCTGCTCCACCCGCCCCGCCCGCACCTCCTGGTCCTCCATGGCCACTCCCATCTCCTGATCCAGCCCCACCAAACATGCCAAACTTCTCCGACATTTTCTGAATTATTTTCTGGATCTTAGGGTTGTTCTGGTATTTGGAAATATTAGCTGGATTCTGACTCACATCCATGAATGCTTGTGACACTTCAGGATCCTGAAATTTAAACAGGAAAATTCCAGTACTTCATTATCCATTATTTCATTATATTTTAATTAACATTATTGAATTTCTGATTCATAACCCAATAAATAACTGATGAGGATAAACAAGAATGATAATACAATGCAGATTAATCATGAGCCTGCTTGGCAACAATTGTTTCTACCAATTCAAACAGTGCAGACCAAGATGAGTACCGTCTGATCATGGTAGGCACTGTTCACTTTCAGTCACTAATTGATTTTCAAGGGCCATAACTCTAACATCATTCAGGTTACTGTTATGATACCTTATTTTTGTCACACAAACAAAAACATAATTTTTTTCTGTTCAGAGTGTTTATGCCAAACTGATTAATTTCATATAGCGACTTAAATCAGACTATATAGCATTATTTCAAATATAAGGAAGATAGTAATATCTGACATGAGCTCAAAGTCAATGCAAGATTCAAACCCTGTAGTAGTAGGAGGTATGTTATAAGTTATTTGAAGGCAGCAGCTATTACCACAACGCCACAGGGAGTCCAATTAATCAATTATGTTGAAAAATTAAATATGATGAAAAAATTGCTGTCATACAAAAAAACAACAACAGTTTAACCATTACCCTGCTAAATATCTTACATGTACCTTCCTTTCGGACTGGACAAAATCATTCACAATTTTTTTTCTTCAAATTTTAATATGTCTTGACCGAAAAGTGAACAGTGCAGACAACGATTCCATGGCAAGGATGTGTAGGCTGATATTGGTCTGCACTGGTCACATGGGTAAAATCAGTTGCCACTCACAGGCTAAGGATTAATGCTTATATTTCCCGCGTTTCAATGAAACAATAAATAGATATAACAATATACACGATCAAATTATGATGCTAGTAGTAAAACTTACCTGGAATGCTGCCATAATTTCTGGGTCTTGCAACAGTTTAGTGATGTCAGGCATGCCCCCAGCTCCCCCTGCTGCTCCTGCCCCTAAAAACAACCACACAATCACGATGAAATACACAATCATACTCCTCCAGGGCCACAATACTCAGCAGAAAAAAGACAGTGATATAGGTTTACAATAAAGTTATAGAATTTGCTCAGCAAGTTACAGTCATTCCTCCGAGATACACATAACAAGCTGTCAACTTTTTTCCCCACTTGTTGGAATGTACAGAGATAAAATTTAATATTTGTTAAATGGTGTTGGTAGTTTTCACGCAAGATCATGGCAGTAAGCCATATCGAATTTACCAGAGAGCAGTCCAGCCACCACATTGTTCCTGTGAAGACTGTCAAGCAGTTTACCAGTACTACTTTCTTAAGGAACTGATTACTTCTGTACATGCAAGAGCAGAGGTACAGTGCAAATGACTATATAAAGGATTTCATGATCAATCACAATGAAAGTGACCTGCGCCGTCCAGGAATCAAAACCGGGTCGACAGTCAAACGGCTAACCAGACAGCTATCATATTCGTCTCAGCTGTATCTCATCAAACAGGTACCATGGTCTTGACCGTACATCAAATTAAGCTAGGGATTCTGTTTTCAGACTTTATTTCAGTAAACAGGTTCCCGTAATCTTCCAAAAGTATCTGAATGTATTATTTTTCTTACAGAATACCATGAAAGTCACTTAACAAAGGAAAGCTGTCAGCTGTTAATGTGTAAAATAGACCACAACATTCAGCAAACAGATTTATAAAATCAATCTAACCAACAGAAATAAGTTAAGGCTGCTGAGCATTTAAATAAAGTAATAGAGGCCTAGCAAAAAATAGATTTACACGATAGTTCAAAACCGAATAGGACTTTAAATAAACCAATATGCATTCTTTACAATAGATAAATATGATCATTCCAATAATAAAATACAGCCAATTTTCAGTATGGATACACATTCAATTCCACCATTCATTTTTATAAAAAGCAATTCCTAATGTGCCCAAGCCTTGAAAAGAAATTTCATGTTTCTCCACCTAGGTTTTAGCAATTTATGATTCAAATTGTGATCCTTACAGAAAATTGACAGTAATTTATAACAAGTGCCCTTGATGTGTACAATCTGGTGCCAAATTTTAATACAAAAGAGAATTATTACACTAACCTGGGAATCCTCCAGCACCTGGAAATCCCCCAGGCATTCCCCCACCAGGGAATCCCCCTGGCATCCCACCAGGGAATCCTCCAGGCATACCACCTGGGAATCCCCCTGGGAAACCACCTGGACTATTACCTGAACTCTGACTCTCCTGAAACAGAAATAAATACAATTATTGTAAAATATCCGGCAAAATGTCAGTCCTCTTATTTTACCAGCTAATCCCCTTGATTTTATACTGACTGATTCCCTAGAAATCTGTCATTAATTCTCCTGATTGCCTTGATTTCACTTTATTTTACTGGATGATCCTCTTGATTTTACTGACTGATCCAATTTACTTGATTTTACAGATTGATTCCCTAGATTTCTCTTATTAACCCCTGACTGCCTTAATTTCTTTCATTTTAATGGCTGATCCTCTTGATTTACTTGATTTTACTAACAGACTCCCAAGATTACTCTTATTTATCCACCTCATTGCCTTGATTTCTCTTTATTTTACTGGCTGATCCTCTTGACTTGATTTTACCAATGATCCCTTACTTTTCTCTTATACATTTTGTAAAGCCACCCGCTTACCTTGATTTTTCATATTTTATTGGCTGATTCCAATATATATTATTTTTTCGTTCAAGTAAACAGTACAACAATATGAAATAGTCTTATTCTTTTTGAACTGTTTTTTTGGACATAAAGAGAAAATTGAAATTTAACTTTTAACAAAAAGAGCTATATGCTTATTCAATTTATGAGGGCCAAAGCCAATATCTCAGTTCTACAATGATTTTAAGGCCATCTCAAAGCCTTTAACAGCCACTATTTTGCTTTCAATAGAGAACAAGGCAAACACCACAATAAATAAACCTGTCTGGCTTTTTCCTGAGCCTCCTTGGCTTTTCTCACACGTTCCTTTCTCGCCTGTAATTCCTTCTCCTCCCTCTTACGCTCGTATTTCCTCTTGTGCTGCTGAATCTTTATAGCCTAAAAATAGAGCAAGTTTGTTTAAGGTAGATCTAGTATTACTGCAATGCTTTCCCGCCAAAAAATTCCAACATCTGTCAATATCGTATCCAATCGTTTATTTCAGGAACTTCATTTTTTCCAAAATCTTGGGCATTAAATTTTTTTACAATCAATCATCCTTTGTTGCTATGTACTAAATTCCATTTATAGTGAAAATAATGTTCTGGAAATAACCAATTTGATACAATATTGGCTGATGTTAGAATTTTTATGGAGGGAAAGCATTACAGTAAGACTACCTTAACCAGTAATTTTAGTTCTGTAATATGAACTAGCTAAGTTATGTCATATTTGTCAACAACATGCCTCCAGATTATTGCTAATTTTCATGAACATTTTGAAAATGTATTTAACAATAATATATTGTGAAGTTAATTACACACTGCAAACTACACTTACAATCAATGTAAATTATCAAAAAGAGGTCAATATATGCAAAAAATGCCCTTACTGCATTAGCCAAGCAGAAGAAATATGGTGACAAAAACTGCGAAATCAGGTCATTTATCCCACATAACTACTTAAATCTTGCATCTCTTTACTTTTCTTAAAATCTTGTCACATTTTTTCTCAAGTATATTTTTCTTGAAATATTTCTGTTCATCTGGAGGCTTGCAGCTTTAACTTTCTATCTCATTGATTTGTAAAAATAAACTTGCCTCTCCTTTGAATACACCAATAGTTTGAAAGTTACACAAATTGTCCATTAGTTACACAAATAGTTTTTATTATTTACACAAATATGTCAAAAATATGCAAAAATAGCCCTTATACTGTGTTAGTCTCACAGTAGCAATATAGTGATAAAAACTGATTTATAAATAAGTCATTACATAACATGTAAATAATTACTGGAATCTCATTTTTCATTTCTTAAAAGCCTAGTACATTTTTTCCCCCCAAGTTCGAATTTATTGAAATATTTTATTACATTTTGAGGCATGCAGCTTTAAAGTGATTGAAATGTTTTCATTAAAATAATTACTTGAATCTTGAATCATTTTACTTTTCTTAAAATCTTAGTACATTTTTTTCCAAAAGTTTCATTTTATTGAAATATTTTGGCGAATCTGAATGTAGCTTAAAAGTGGTTGAAATATTTTCAGTGAATGACAATAAGTCAGTTTACCACTAAATCTAGTTTACTCACATTAGGTTTTACTTGTGTCAACATCTCGTTTATGTCATCATCATAGTCAAGTTTAGCGGCTTGTGTTAGATCATGGTAGGCATCCTCCCAATGGCCCAACATTCTGTCAACATAAACATAGTTCTACTTATATCACTTTTATCAAAACTAAACAAACATATAAATTAAGACTTGACACCCTTCAAAACAAAACTATTCAAAACAGAGTTTGCACGAGTTTGTTACAGTAACTTAGTGTTTGTTACAGTCATTAAGTGTTAGTTACAGTAACTAAGTGTTTGTTACAGTCACTTAAGCACTTACTTAGTGTTTGTTACAGTCATTTAGTGTTTGTTACAGTCATTTAGTGTTAGTTACAGTAACTTAGTGTTTGTTACAGTAACTAAGTGTTTGTTACAGTCACTTAGTGTTTGTTACAGTCAATAAGTGTTTGTTACAGTCACTTAGTATTTGTTACATTAAGGTAGTGTTTGTTACAGTAAGGAGGTGTTTGTTACAGTCACTTAGTGTTTGTTACAGTCACTTAGTGTTTGTTGCATTCACTAAGTGTTTTTTACAGTCACTAAGTGTTTGTTACAGTCACTTAAATAGTGTTTGTTACAGTCACTTAGTGTTTGTTACAGTCACATAGTGTTTGTTACAGTCACATAGTGTTTGTTACAGTCACTAAAATGTTTGTTACAGTCACTTAGTGTTTGTTACAGTCACTTTGTGGAGAAAACTGGGCTAAATGTTGTTTTATAGTAAAATACAAGGCAAGAAAGTGTTGCCCAGTAATCTGTGTTTTTGAGAAAAACTGCCAGTGTTGCCCAGTAATCTGTGTTTTTAAGAAAAACTGCCATGATCTCTTCTAAGAAGGTGAAGGATGATAAGTAGAGGGTATAGAAATTTTTACAAAACTACAAAACACAAACATCTCATTCTAGAGATTCGTTATCACACTTTCAAGATATGAGCTAACCAGGAAGAGTTTTGGTATTGTTATATCTAGTATATACCTCAACATTATCTAGAATAGACAACAGGAATTGTTCAAAAAACACCAAATGGCCCCTTGCTAAATATTAATAAATATAGTGAAATTTCCAAGCTCTCCCAAAGTCTTTATGTTGTAATAAAAAGAGGAAGGCTCTGAAATACATGAATACATGTAGTATGAAGTCAAAATGAATAAAAAATTCACTAACAAAATATTTCATTGCTATTCTAATGGATTAAGTGACGAAACTGCTTTTCCAGAAAATCTCCAGTTCTAGTGAAAATTCACATGCATAACTCTTTCAATTAAAATACATTCATATTACTTTTATAACAACACAAACCATTGTACTGCAAATTGCACAAAGCCAATATTATATATATTTATATCTATATTATTTGTCTTGTGTTTGGTACGGAATTTTACTTGCAAAACCTAACTTGAACTCTGTGAGATGCATGTGTCGCCTTGTGAACAATATAGTTAAGGAGGAATGGCCAGGACAAAAATGAAATATGAAAATTAACAAAGGGTAATAACTCAAAAAATAAGAAGTGCAGAGCAGAAGTTTCTGTGCACTGCACTTCTTATCAATAAGATCTATCATCCTATGAAGTTTCAAGTCTATAGCTTTTATAATATATGAGAAATGGCCTGGACAAAAATAAAGTATGAAAATTAATAAAGGGTAATAACTCAAAATTAAGAAGTGCAGAGTACCAGATCTTGTACACTGCACTTTTTCTTAATGAGATCTATCATCCTTTGAAGTTTCATGTCCATAGCTTTTATACTTTAGGAGAAATGCCCTGGACAAAAATAAAGTATGAAAATTAACAAAGAGCAATAACTCAAAAAAAGAAAAGAAATGCAGAGTACCAGTTCTTGTGCACTGCACTTCTTCTTAATGAGATCTATCATCCTATGAAGTTTCAAGTCCATAGCTTTTATACTTTAGAAGAAATGGCCGAACAAAAATAAAGTATGAAAATTAACAAAGGGCAATAACTAAAAAAATTAGAAAAGCAGAGTACAGGTTCTTGTGCACTGCACTTTCTTCTGAATGAGATCTATCATCCTTTGAAGTTTCAAGTCCATAGCTTTTATACATTAGGAGAAATGACCCGAACAAAAATAAAGTATGAAAATTAACTAAGGGCAATAACGCAAAAATTAAGAAATGCAGAGTACCGGTTCTTGTGCACTGCACTTCCGGTCATTATAAGCAGCATGCATACCAAGTTTGAAGTCAATCCGACTTATAATGACTGAGTTATGCTCAGGACTAGCTTTACGGGACGCTGACAACCCCGCCGCCGACACTGACAACAAAAGTAACCCCTATATGTCGCCTTTTTCAAGGCCACACAAAAACGTTACTTATCAACATTTCCTGTGACTTTAAAACCATAAACAACATGGAATATATAAAATCCTTACTTTCTACCCTTTCCTGTGAATTTAAAACCATAAACATTATGGAATGTATAATATCCTTACTTTCTAGCTTTTCCTCTGAATTTAAAACCAGATGCAGCATCTGGATTCAACTGGCATGCCTTGTCACAGTCATGTATAGCAGCCAACAATTTCTTCATCCGAATATATACACTGAAATATATCATTCAAAATATACATACAGGTATATACACTGAAATATATCATTCAAAATATTCATACAAATATATACACTGAGATATATCATTCAAAATATTCATGTTAAAAGGTGAATTTCATAGATTTAACCTTTATATGATTGTCATTCTATATCATTTATTTTATTCAAACATCAGTAGACGTTGCACACAATAGGCACAATTACTGCAGAAAATTTCTTCTGCAAACTAAAACCTCTATGGACAATACCCTCTGTGGACAAATAACTTCTTTGGACAAATACCCTCTGTGGACAAATAACCTCTATGGACATATAACCTCTGTGGAAAAATACCCTCTGTGGACAAATAACCTCAGTGGACATATAACCTGTGGACAAATACCCTCTGTGGACAAATACCCTCTGTGGACAAATAACCTCTATGGACATATAACCTCTGTGGAAAAATACCCTCTGTGGACAAATAACCTCTATGGACAAATACCCTCTGTGTGGACAAATACCCTCTGTGACATATAACCCTCTATGGACAATACCCTCTGTGGACAAATAACCTCTCATGGACATATAACCTCTGTGGACAAATAACCTCAGTGGACATATAACCTGTGGACAAACACCCTCTGTGGACAAATACCCTCTGTGGACAAATAATCTCTGTGGACAAACAACCTTATGTGGACAAATACCATCTGTGGACATAATCTCTGTGGACAAATAACCTCAGTGAACATATAACCTCTATGGAAAAATAACCTCTATGGACATATAACCTCTATGGACAAATACCCTCTGTGGACAAATAACCTCAGTGGACATATAACCTCTGTGGACAAATAACCTCAGTGGACAAATAACCTCTGTGGACAAATAACCTCTGTGGACAAATAACCTCAGTGGACATATAACCTCTATGGAAAAATAACCTCAGTGGACATATAACCTGTGGACAAATACCCTCTGTGGACAAATAACCACAGTGGGTAAATAACTTCTGTGGACAAGTTCCCACTGGTGAGCAACCCTCTGTGGACAAATAATCTCTGTGGACAAATAACCTTTGCAGAAAAATGACAATAGTGGACAAATACCCTTTGTGAACAAATAACCTCATTATACTAACAACTTCTGTGGACAAATACCCTCTGTGGACAAATACCCTCAGTGGACAAATAGTTTTAATACCCTCTGTGAACAAACTCTCCCTGTGGACAAATACATCTGTGGTCAAATAATCTCTGTTGACAAATAACCTCAGTGGACATATACCCTCTGTTGACAAGTAACTTCTTTACAAAAGTTTCATGTACTTTACTCAAAATTTAACCTCTTTAGAGCAGCACCTCTCAGTAACAACCAAATAATTTATTTCCCAATAGACGTTCTTCTGCAGAGGTTGTACAGTACTTTAGACTTTAAATTTACTTTATAACTTCCTTATATTTGTCTTCTATCTCAAATTACAAGCTATAGAAAACAAGGAAGTAAGATATAAACACCAGTATCAAACTAAAACTTAAACATCCAGCTCATTTTTCAACCCTCTCACCTTGCTCTTTTTGCATACAGTATTGCTGAGTTAGGATTTAACTTGATTGCTTCTGTAAAAAGATGTACTGCTTCCTCCAGGTTTCCTGAAAATAAGGAACATTTTTGTCATTTCTAATAACTAAATATATCTAATATAAAAATAAGCATGAATCTGGGGGCATGCTGCTTTAAAGAGTAAAACAGGAAAAACATCATGGTCACCAACCATTGCCAAAATCAAATGGTTAATTAAGCCTGATTATGGACTGCAGTGATTATTGCATGCTGTGTTAGGTAAAATACAACTTTTACATACATGGTATGTTATGTCTGGAAATTTAGAAACAGCAGTTCTTATCACCACAATTATAAAAGCTTCAATGTGCACATGTATACAAGTCCATTGAGTCCAAAAGTGATAACGTTTATGTCCAACACAAGAAAAAAACGTGCACAACTAAATTGGAGGAGGGTAACAAAACTTTAGAACACCATGTGAGATCTGCATTTGAGGGACGCAACAAATTCATTCTGAGACACTAGACATATGATAATAAAACCTTAAGACTTACCTTCACCCACAGCGGACATTGCTTCATTTCTTTTCTCTGAAGCTTGGTCCATCATTTCTTCAGTGACTTCACCTCCAATTGAGGGATATTCCGGCATGAAATCATCGGGATCTTCCACCACACCGGAATTATCCAGTTCTAAAATTCAGATGCAAAGGACACTCATGGTTAAAATTTATATTGACCTTTGTTTTAATAACTATTTATTTTATTATTATCAAAATTGACAATTACTGGTATTTCATACTTAAAATTTCAGATTGATCAATCTGTTGCACCATCCTAAAATTACCCATTCATTCTGGAATTTACTTCAAAGGAATAAACTACTATTGCATCAATATTATGTTCATGAACTAAATGGTTTTAGGCTTCAAAAATTCAGAAAAAGGTTTCCAAATTTCTGGACATTCTAAGTTCTTTCAATCTGTTTTTCTTTTAGGTTGCCGACTCTGACACATTTTTATGGTCATATTTTGACAGTCTATCCTCTTAACCAACCTCCCTGGATAACTAACCAGTTACTACCATATATTATCACAGAGAAATTATGCCTCGCTCCAGGTTCGGACCAGCAACTCATGGATTACTCATATAAAAATAGTACTTGTCAAATTGGTTGTTTATATTGGCACATCTTACGGCTCAGATAAAAATGAAAACCCTATATTGTAGCAATACTCACCAATATCACTTTCCTCACTCTCGGGTTCCGGCTCGGGCTCTGGTTCTGAAGCTTCGGGTTCCTGTGTTGGTGGCTATACAACAAAATAAAGTACAAAGTTATACATCTTCATTATGTTGCTTTGTTTGCATTTATCATAATAGGTCTGTCATGAGGTGTTGATGATGTTTAATACATGCATTATAATAATAACCATCACTTTATTGATAACTTTTTTCTCTTTAAACATATGAATTACATAGTTACTTTTTTGCATACTAAACTTATTTTTAACCTTATACTTATTACTTTTTTAACATTATTCTTACATTCTTCAAAAATAATGTGTATAACCTTGACCTTTGAGCTTTTGATTTAAAATGAGTATGAGCTGCATCTACATAGAAATTCCTACGTCAATGCACTTTGATTTAATGGGCAATTAATTGTTTTTTGTAATTACATGTCTATTTGACCTTTAACTTTTACCGGTAAATTGGTAGTGCAGGTAGAACTCATCAATGTAGTTTCCTAATGTTTCTCTGATTTATTGGCCAGTTTCATGTTTAATTATGTTTTTGTTCCAATGACCTTGACCTTTAACCCTTTGACTTCATATTGGATGTGACTGGTAGACTCCTCATATAGGGTTTCCCCTAGGTCAATGCCTTTTGAACTGTCTTAGGTTTGACTTTGATGGAGCACTTTAAAAAATGAATCTTTCTTCTTTTTATTTTTTTTTGGTTGGGTTTGACATCATTAACCCAAACTACTTGGCAATGGATTTTGAGGTAATAATGCTGTATATTGACTATTATAGATTTATAGCAAAATGAATAATATAATAACATACTGGAGTTGTCTCCTCCTGTGCCTTTGGTGGTGGAACAGTTGCTCCCATGCTGGAATATAATAATTATAATAAAAACAACATTGATAATGTTTGTTTTCACTGTATTAATCTATACCATGCTTTCACATGCATTTAAAAACTTAAAATGATACGAATAAATATTCAGGGGATTTCGATCTAAAAAGGTAAAACTGAACAGCTAACAAAATAAACTTTTCAGACTAAAACAATGTACTGATTGCCCTGGCACCATATAATTATTGGTGTTAAAGACCTGTTCAAAGGAGCTATACTGATGTCAAAGGCCTGTTCCCAGGCTCTATATTGTTGTCAAAGGCCTGGTCCAGGCTGGTACTCAGTTGAATACCAACCATTAACAATGAATTATGATGCAAGCGTCACAAAACAATGTGATTAATAATCGTGCATTGAAGGTCTGATACAAATGAGTCTGTTTGTTTGATTGGGTTTTACGTCACACCGATACAGAAAAGGTCATTTGGCGATGTTCCAGCTTTACTGGTAGAGGAAGACCTCAGGTGCCCTTCCTATATTATTTCAGGCACAAACGGGCACCTGAGTAGAACCACCGACGTTCCGTATGCTAGCTGGATAGCTTCCTCACGTAAAAAGAATCCAAAGTCCCTGTCGGGATTCGAACCCACAGCGGTGAGGGGCAAGTGGTTTGAAGTAAACGAACTTAACCACTCGGCCATGAGTCAACTTGTTATATAATATCACAATCTCTTCTGGTATACTCCTCATTTTCAGCTGAAAAGCAAAGTTTGAAAAATATTTTAATACAAATTTAGAACCATATGTTAATCTCACGATCACAAAAAGTATGGTGTATTTGTAAGCCTTATGATCCCAAAAAAGCAAAACAAATCAGTGTACCTTTCTAGCCAGCTTTTTAAAAAGCCCAATTCTGGGATATGCAGGATGTTTGGATTATTCTGACATGCCTGTACAAACAACTTCAGCTGCTGCACTTGAGCTGGGGGTATTAACCCACTCATATTTTATTTCTGAAAATAAAAAAATTAAATAAGTTAACACATAATGACTCAAGACAACTATTGCAAGCAGTTAAAACAGCATTATTAAATACAATAAAGGGAGATAATTAAAAAAAATCAAGCATGGTAGCATTATAGATCTTATACAGCACACATCCTCTAATAAGTTCTTTAAATATGTTTACAAGCTATTCCCTGACCCAGTATTATTATGTATCACAAAGGGAGATAATTTAAAAACTAAGTCATGTAGAATTATTGTTCTTTAAAAATGCACTTCATCTGCCTAGTTTCTCTTTTTTTATAACCACTTAAGGTTTCAACGAGATATTATTGATAATTCGAAAGTCGTACTTGGGACAAGCATTATTTAACACAAGTATCATAAAGGGAGATAATTAAAAGATTAAGCAAGGAAGAATTATAGTTCTTTGACACTGCACTTCCTTACAAAGGTATATATCAGCGTAAAGCTTTAATTAAATTCCTTCGATACAGTATTACTTTTTCAAGTTATTTTCCAGACATGCATTAAGTATTATAGAGGGAGATAATTAAAAAAACTTGACTCGTGTTATAGTTATAGAGTTATGGTTATTTGACAACATACTCCCTCTTTTTAGTCTCTACAATTGTGAGTAGATACCTGGGAGTGTTAGCACGAATGCACTCGTTTGCTGATAGATATTTCATGAACTGGTATGGCTAGAGACTTGGGATCAATTTCATTTGGAAGCTTAATACAAACGTGAAATAGTGATAAAAGTTTTATTTAATTATCTGGACAATTGTTTTCACAACGTCCCGGTAGACTTGAATCTGGAGTTTCCAGCCTTCACTTAACTTAAAGTATATCTTAAAGGGGGCTCATATTTCATCTTTTTTTTGGGACACATTTAAGATGAGCAATATAACAGCCATTACAATCACTGGTATTTTGTTTAGTCCATACGATTATTACCCATAACCAAGATTTTGTATATCCGAAATTATGTACATTTATTTCAAAATCTTAATTGTTTATATTTTAATTTCATATGACATACGTTAAGCTCACAATTGAAGGTATTTGTTAAATAATCAAGTGACTAACTTTTTGCTGATCATTGGAGAACTCAAAATACTCTTTGGCAGTTGTAAATATCCAAAACTTTTTTCTTAAGACAGTACATGTGACGTTAGTCCAATATATTAGACGTTACAGGCTTGTTATAGTTTATGTCGGTCAAGCCTGACGTCTAATAGGTATTGCTCAAAAACGCATATCATCATAAACAAGAATGTCGAACGACACATATACCCCCCCTTTCTAGCCATTGACTCACATAATTGGTAATTTTATTAAAGAAACTTGCCAAAAATGGGTACATGGAAGTGTTCAATTATGGAAAAATCAACGGAAACCATTTTGACATTTAAGGCCCATGTGACATTGACCTTTGACCTAATGACCCCTAAATCAATAGAGGTCATCTAATACTTATGACCAATAACTAGGTGAAATATGAAGACTTTGTGATGAATACTTTTCAAGATAATCAGCGGAAACCCTTTTGACATTTAAGGCCCCTGTGACCTTGACCTTTGACCTAGTGACCCCAAAATCAATAGGGGTCATCTACTAGTGATGACCAATCACTATGTGAAATATGAAGACTTTGTGATGAATACTTTTCAAGATAATAAGCGGAAACCATTTTGACATTTTAAGGTCCATGTGACCTTGACCTTTGACCTAGTGACCCCAAAATCAATAGGGGTCATCAACTAGTGGTGACCAATCACTATGTGAAATATCAAAACTTTGTGATACAAACTTTTCAAGATAATCAGCGGAAACCATTTTGACATTTAAGGCCCCTGTGACCTTGACCTTTGACCTAGTGACCCCAAAATCAATAGGAGTCATCTACTAGTTATGACCAATCACTATGTGAAATATGAAGACTTTGTGATGAATTCTTATTAAGATAATCAGCAGAAATTATTTTCACATTTTAAGGTCCCTGTGACCTTGACCTTTGACCTAGTGACCCCAAAATCTATAGGGGTCATCTACTAGTTATGACCAATCACTGTGTGAAATATGAAGACTTTGTGATACATACTTTTTAAGATAATCAGCGGAAACCATTTTGACATTTAAGGTCCCTGTGACCTTGACCTTTGACCTAGTGACCTCAAAATCAATAGGGGTTATCTACTAGTGATGACTAATCACTATGTGAAATATGAAGACTTTGTGATGAATACTTTTTAAGATAATCAGCGGAAACCATTTTGACATTTAAAGCCCCTGTGACCTTGACCTAGTGACCCCAAAATCAATAGGGGTCATCTACTAGTTATGACCAATCACTGTGTGAAATATGAAGACTTTTGTGATACATACTTTTCAAGATAATCAGCGGAAACCATTTTGACATTTAAGGTCCCTGTGACCTTGACCTTTGACCTAGTGACCCCAAAATCTATAGGGATCATCTACTAGTGATGACCAATCACTGTGTGAAATATGAAGACTTTGTGATACATACTTTTTAAGATAATCAGCGGAAACCATTTTGACATTTAAGGTCCCTGTGACCTTGACCTTTGACCTAGTGACCCCAAAATCAATAGGGGTCATCTACTAGTTATGACCAATCACTATGTAAAATATGAAGACTTTGTTTTAAAAACCTTTAAAGATAATCAGCGGAAACCATGTGGTCTACCGACGGACAGACCGACGGACGGACGGACCGACAGACAGACCGACATTAGCAAAACAATATACCCACTCTTCTTCGAAGGGGGGCATAAAAATTAAAAAAATGTCTATTGTCTTGCCTTTTAAACTTTATTCAAAAGCTTATCTTCTTTTCTTTCAATTTCATGCTCAATCATACAAAAAAACTCTCAAACAATGTACTTATCAATTTAATATAAAATATAAACATCAATCTATTTTTGTCTATCAGCCATACTGGTTAAGCAAGGTGCTTTACAGATTGATTCCAAATTTTTGAACGGAAAAATATATTCGAACACACTGACGGTGCATGGGCAATTATTTCGTTAAAAAAATATTCCGTTAGATTGTTCTGACTCAGTTAAACGCTTGCATTTGAATTAGCCAATCAGATTTCTTGCACTTTATGGCCGCCATTTGTTTATCGGCTGTAAAAAGAATTGAAATACATGAGAGGATTTAATCATGATTTTTTCGGATTTGACAGTTTAATTATTTTGACAAAAGGTATTTATTTTTTAGTTTTGTTCATAAATAGGTCAAAACTTATGTAAATACATGCTGTCTTCATTGTTTTTCGTTCCGCCCGATTTTCTGGCGGAACATGCTATGGGTTTTTGAGCAATTTCGATATGACGTTGCTTTGCCCAGAAGCAAAAACATCTCAAAGCGACGTCATATTTATAGGACTAATGTGACGTCAAAACATGACTAAAATATTTACGAATCAGACTGACATGACTTTGAAAGCAGACATGCAATTGTGACCGAGTTTAGACTGTTCTAACCATTGGTAGATGGCAACAACATTTAGTTGATATGCATATTAGGCTATCCCAAAAATTGATTCCCACAATTTTACGTTTTGTGCATGTACCCCCTGCTTACAATGTTTATGTGTGCATCTAGTATTTTGTGCGTGAATTACGCACTGTAGTGCGTGAATGGGCATGCTGAATCATATGTCAAACCCCTTGCGGGATAAGAAAACAAGATTAATTATTACTATGAAATTAGGTTGTCATTGTAATCTGGTAACTGCATCATTTCCATCTTTTTAAATAAAAGAAATCAGTTATCTTAAGAAGAGCCTTCTTGCAGCCTCTTATTTGATACGGGGAAGTCAAAGACCGGGCCCGCGCTATAGACTACACGTGTATATTTAAAAGAAAATCAAATAAAAAAACAATTAAAAAATATATAGAATTCTATACCTATCAATGAAATTTTCAGTGTCAGTTCTAGTCTGGCGCCGCCATTTACAATGTAACTCAATGATAAAAGGCGGGGTATTCCGATAACGGAACAAACCTCAACTTTTCGGATAAATAATAAACGTCGAGTGTTCTGAGTGAAAACGGTGCATGTAATACCGAATGACAATTTTAAAACGGAAAGAAAGGAATTTTTTAACGACTTCCCCGTTCATAGGCTTTGCCTAATTTCATATTATCCCTCAAAAATCGTATAGAATTATGGGTGGGCCACACTTTGACAAAGGGTAAGTATCCGAATCCTATTCATCTAAAATAAAATTTCATTAAAAGATAGCAAGAGAAAAAACGGGTGTCACCAATATTTAAGGTTTGCATATCATTAAACACATAGCTAACACGGTAAATACAATTAATAACTTAGATTTAACCCTTCAGAACCGTGTATATTACCTGTTTTGACCACGTTTGTTAAAAGAAATTTCGAGCAAACTGTTGTTTATGTCGCTTAAACAATAGGAAAAATATATGCACAATTGTCATATTTATGTTAAATCTTCTCATTATTTGAATAATGGATATTTTTGTGTAATTCAAGTAGCATTAATTTGATCGTACTTTTCTTATGATATTAAATAGACATATTTTTTTCATTTGTGTTTGATGTTGCAAGTAACAAATATGGCGGCGCCCATGAGCTGTCAAAAAATGAATAAATCTATATTGAGATTCTGTAAGAAATTTCTAACGAAAGCAACCAGGACAGGATATGGTACTTCATTCCTCCAATATATATTGTGAATAATGATGTTATTATTATATGAAAATAGGAATGTCAAATGGCAAATAATGAAAATATTCTCAATCCATTAATCTTTGGTGGTGGGGTTTTGTTCACTCTGTAAAATTTAGGTGCGGGGTTTTGTCCACTCTATGAAATTTTGATGTGTGGGGTTTTGACTGGTGGGGTTTTGTCCGTCTTCCGTGTCATTTACTTTGGTCAAGAACAAAAGAAGTCTGAGGTAAACCAATAACAAGGAGTAATTTTTGTCAGAATATTTTCATTATTAATTTACCCTAAATACAGTGCCATCCATAAATACCTTTACATTAATTAAAAATACATTTTGGTTGATATGCCAAGTATTTATCAATTCCAGAAACATTGTTTACAGTATCAATTAAGTATACATGATTGTTGCTATAATAAATACATAAGAAATTTATTGAAAATCAAGAAAATAATATCAATTTATACATATTTTCACTTTTGACATGTTTGAAGGAAATTGAAATTAGTTAAAATCATGCATTCAGATGACAGTTTCATCTTTGGCTTGTTCATGTTTTGCCTCTGACCTATGTCTGACGTTGTGCAACACTAATACATTTGTACATGTATCTATTTCGAAAATCTCAGATATACATTTTCAGACCTTGCAGGCTGCAAGGGTGTGTTTTTCAAATTGCATTTTTGGTGTACCATACGTTTTCGCAGAGGTTGAGGTCTGGCAACTTAAATGGACATCAAAAATACATTGCATGCTTTCCCTTCTATATTCTGTGTTACATCTTAAAACCAAGTTTAATCTTCTTAACATGATTGTCGAGTTACAGTTGTAGAAGGTCTTATGAAGACTTTGTAAGATTATGGGGTACCAACAGTCAGGTGCACACAGTCAAGTCCCAGGAAGCTAATTTGATGATGTGTTGATGTAGTGTTGTGCAGGGCAACAATTAACTGCAGAAAGTATCTGGAAGACTGTATGGTTATCAGTGACAATTTGAAGGGCATAACTATTCCATATGCACACTAGTCCAACTAATTGTACTGCGCGACGAGATATTGTGCTATTTTCGTGTCTGGGCAATATCTCGCCTCTAGAACGAGAATATCTCAGAATCAAGCTTTGGCACGTCAACATATTTTGACTATATGCACACTTGTTGGAACAGGTCAACAAAGAAAAGGCACTAGGATAATGGTGCACTGTGTTACAGGATCAAAATAGTCAGTCAATGAAGGGAGGGACATGTAATTGCGCAACTATTAATTTTTAACTTTGTCAAATGCTTATTTAGAACATGCAAGGCTTTTTATTTATGCTAAAGGTGATACAATTATAATTAGATGACGGTTAACTTATGTGAAGAATTTTTGTTTTTTGTTCATTTCTGTTTTATGAAAATGTGGATAATTTTCTGTTGATTCTTCATAGACCTGATATAATAATGCATTTATAAAGACTTTAGGCAATTACACTCATATTATGTAAAAACAATTATCTCAGAAATGTATAAATCTTTGTAAATTGTACATTTGGTAAATCACAAGAGGTGTAAAGATATTTATGGATGGCACTGTATTTGTAACTTCTTTATTTCTGTTGGCACAGCATGTATCTTAGACAAATTCAAAAGGCAATCAATTCAGCACTAACTATATTAAACCCACACTCGGTTTATGAACCAAGTGTTTACATAAAACACAACAAATACAATACATTCATCTGACTCTCTCCAGTGTGCTGTTAATTAATATTGTCAATAATAATAATATTCCATAAATCACAAAAATTTAAAAACGTGAAAACAATGTACATGTCTCTTCATCAAAACCCTGAGCTGAACAGAACACAATAATAGTCACATGATCAACTGGCACTGACCCATAGAAGACCACTGGTCCAGGGGAAGCAACTCTCTAAATGACAAATAATAAAGAATCACAGATCCCTGTTACGTATTTATTAATGATGTGTGGTTTCTTTGTATTCTTCCTTTTCATCCAGTTTAGATATTTCTTTATAACATAACTTAAGATAAATGAATTTGTCAACATCTGTCTGAATTAAAAGAAAAGAAATGCAGGTACATTGTATTTAAAACCAAACTTTCATGGATTAATTTAATATTGTATTTTTTCTTTTTCAATTCAGGGCCATATAAAGACTTGTTAAGTTCTAACAAAAGTTTTATTCAGAAAAGACATTTTGGGCAGCCATCAGCACAAACACATCCCCATCTGGTTAGTCAAGGGGAGGTCACTCCAGGGATAAGCAAAGAAGAGTATGATTCTAGAAGAACATGTTTGGTGAATAAGATAGTGCATGCTTCAGGAAATAAGTCAGAAAATCACATAGTTATTTTGCCGTCTGCTTCAACAGTTTACATGACATATGATATCCCTTACCGTTTTAGACAAAATACAGAATTTCTTTACTTGTCTGGATTCCAGGAGCCTGATAGTGCCTTAGTTATTCATACAACAGGTGAGGGATACAAGTCTGTGCTCTTTGTACCAAGGAGAGATCCTCACAAGGAATTATGGGATGGTCCAAGATCAGGGGATAAAGGTGCACTAGAATTAACAGGGGTCGCTGAAGCTTATAATACGGATGATTTAGAATCTTACTTGTATAACTATTGTAAATCCTACAAAGATTATATAGTTTGGTATGATTTAAATCAGCCGATTCTTAAACACTCTCATGAGAATGTGATACAGGACTTTCTGAAACAAGAGGGGAAAATGGCAATTGTAAAACCGACAGGTCATATTCAAGAACTAAGTGTAGTAAAGTCTTAAGCTGAGGTACAGCTTATGAAACATACAACTGAAGTTGCTTCCGAAGCGTTTGTTGATGTCATGAAAAAGACCAGATGTTAGTATTTTAAACCTAATTTAGATTTGATATTTTTACTTTTTTTCTCCTCAATTTACTAGTGATTACTGTTAATTGGTTATTTTACGCAGGCATTAACAAAAAAAAATCATCATTGATAAAATCATCATTGATAGTAGAAAAAAGAGAGTTTATACTGATAAAACAGAGATGTTAAAGTCCCTAAATGCAAATCATCTTTAACTATTGCTATATACATTTTGTATGTAGTTTAAAGTCTTGACAAAAGGACTAAATCTTTCATATATGGAAGCTATCCCTCTAGCTTATGTCTTGAAATACATGTATTGTGCAAAAGGCCCTCTGATGTCTTTATTCACCAGTAAACCTGTGAAGCAATATGGCTTGTATATTGTTGTTGTGACATAAAACCATTATGCATATAAAACATTTAGATTAATAACAGAGATAATATAATATGGAATATATAATATGTCTTATCTGTATTGATATTTTGTAGATTAAAGAGTCTCATTTGTATGCTAAGATGGATTATGAATGTCGAATAAGAGATGCTGAGATTTTAGCATACCCTCCAGTTATTGCAGGTATAGTTATGAATATTTATAGAAAATAAATATTTGTTTTGATATTTTATGTAATTTTAAACCACTGCTTTTAGTGGTGTTGTTATATTTTACTCCTGACATGGCAGTAAGCCACATTGAATTTATCAGAGCACAGTTCAGCTTACGCATAGTTCCTGGACAAGCTGTCAAGCAGTTTACCAGTACTAGTTGCCTTCATTTTTGCAAGGAACCGATAACTTGTGTACATGCAAGAGCAGAGATACAGTGTGAAATGATTTCATGATCAATCACAATGAAAGTGTCCTGTGCCCTTCGGGAATCAAGCCCGATTCACAGTCCAATGTTCCACCTACTGAGCTGTACCACTGCCTTTAACCCTTTCGCTGCCAAAGGGACGGCTTATGCCGTCCCTGTTATTTTCAGCATATTTGCCATATGGACGGCTTTTGCTGTTTCTATAATAATAATAGTAATACATGTAATAATAAATTAATTATAATGATAATAAAAATAATTATAATTCTAACACTATCGGAAATTTTTCTATATAAACAAAGAAGGCCCGAAGCGTGCATTATTCTGCAACAATGCACTCGCCGTTCTTATTACCTCCCTGTGTATTTTCACATTGAGGGCGCCATTTTGTTTGAAAAATCTGATAAATAAAAAACATTTTTTGTCGAATTTTGTTGTGAAAACTATCTAGAATGAAAGAAAATAGTCTAACTAAGAAAATTAATCCGAACACCAATATCTTTAATTCAGTCGTTAACGCTGTACAGACGTTTAAAGTGTTGTTTACATGACGTCACAATGTAGCGCCAAACAGCACGTGCAAAACAATCAAATCAAGTACGCTATTTAATGTCGCAAAGGAGTTAAGTTTTTACATTTATTTCACTTTTATTAATTTGTATTTCGCTTGAAAAATCGTAAAGTGAAATAAAATAAACAAACAAAGTTTTATCAACGTTTTCAAAATTCGTTATTCTCAAAATGTTTCTACACACGGTAGATTTAACGACAGTTCTTTTCCGACCCACTGGAACAGCCTTTAAAGAACGTTTCTAATGGAAACTCTTAGGCGAAAACAAATTAAACCACCAAACATAAAGTCCAACTTTATAATAATAATTATATTTTTTCTTGACGTGTTAGAATGGAAATAGATATTAATTCTTCGTGCATTATTGTATATTCTAACACGACCCGCATTTTTCCCTATTGAACATAGAAGAACCGAAAGTGTGTGTTATTATGCTATAAAATCACTGTTTGACGTTCTATATTTAGACATGTGACGTAATCATTATACACGTGACGTAA